GACGTTTTCGGAAAAGAAATGACCACTAGTTGCTTCATCATACTATCATGAGATAAGAAATAAGTTCGTTTCAAGAATCAAAAGATAAAGATTAGTCTCAAACGGGTACAAGAAAAATCGAAAATCGACCAGTAAAGCAACTCGATACCTATTTGTTGTTCAAAATCAGAACCATATGTAGTTCTACTAATAGTGAGGTACAGGAATAGTCGTAAGTGTGCAAACGGTGCCTTTTTATTTTGTAAAGCCAACAATATAATTTTCCTTTATGGTAAAAAATAGGTCAAATTCGTACTTTTATGACAAAAACTATTATTAATATTCCATGTACCACTCAGTAATACAGTATAACTTTCTCTTGTTGTTGTTGTTGTCGTTGTTGTCTGTTTACAATTCCAAGTAAATAAAACAATTGCAATTCTCCACTCAAGCCAACAACGAAGAAAACAGTAAAAGATAGAAACACAAGTCATTCTCTTTGTAGAATTGATGACTATGCCATACTGTACTAGGCTCGGGCTCATATTTGTTGTTGTTGCTGTTCTGGTTGAATTTCAAGTAGTGGCGAATGGTTTGATTTTGCTGCGATAATCGAAAAATGCTTTAGGTTCGTGTCAATGTGCAAACCAATTTGTTCGTTTGCGTATGCTTTCTAGGAATTATATACCAAAAGTTGCACTTTATCTTCAGAGTTAAACCAAAACTCTAGTCGAACACGATGATATCAATGTGTGCACTTGTGTAACATTGTAGAAGTTCAACCAATCCTTCGTGAGTTTCTTTGAGAGCTACTTTGTATACTATTCAAACGCAAGCTGTTTGCACAAAATGTGAAGTTTCCTTTTCACTTTTTGAAAGCTACAACTACCACTACCTTGAACAGAATGACTTTCAGTGTGTTGGGAAAAAGACAGTTCAGCAGCACTCTTGGCACGGCAAGTACTGTTTCACACAAGTCGCCTTGTTTCCCATTCACACCGTACTACTAATGTTACCCCCTATCCAACTATACAAGGACCAAAGACGATTTGCAATAGATGCCTTTCAGAAACACCATCAATACTAGTTCCAACTTTATCACTCTTACTACTCACATATCCTTTTAGACATATTTCAACTTCGGTAAACCCACTAATTCAAAAAACAAAGGCGTTTCTCAAAACGGACTAATAGCTACAGTCGCCATCGTCAAAACATTTTACCCAAGTGAACACAACCAAGATTTTCAACAGTGTCCTTTTGCTTGCTTTATTTCATGGTTCCCAACAAGTTGAGTTTACTGTGAACTGAAAACTTTTTCCGTGCTTTCAAAATACAAGTTTATTCAGCTTTCGTTATCTAAAGCACCCATCCATAATATTTCAAAATATATACTCGTATCAATAGAGAATTGATATAAACGCTCGACAACACAAACAGCCACTAAAAATATGCAATGATGGACTCGAGACTTTCCTATGCTATTCTGGAAAATGAATGAATTTTACAAAGAGTGAGAATATCGTTCGTTTACACTATAAAACCTGTTGCAGAGTTACAGACCGCGTTTTCTATCTTAAAAAGAGTCACAGAGTACACAAAAAACTAATATACGGAAAGTTACTCTGTATACTGACAAAACACTCAACTGAGAGGCTGACCGGTTTCTTGTTCTTGTAGAATACCGTGGAAATATTAACCCTCGAGACTGATTCTCAACAATCGACTACAAGACTTTCAATTGCTAATAAATACGCAAAACTGCTCTAACAATTATCAATAAAGCTGAATGGACTTGCGAGACAACTAATTGAGTAATGTGGAAAAACTCAACAAAAGCTTAAACTCCTTTTTCTTTGCTCTTTTCTTGACAATACAGCTCTCAAATTTCCACCAAAAAAACCAGAAGTGAGTCTCCTTGTTTCCCTTTCACACATGCTACTAATGCTACCATCCTCTCTACCTATATATCCTTGACTATTGACAACTCTCACTAGATGGCTTTCAGAAACATCAAAGGTGACAGTTTCACTGTTATTACTCTCACAACCTACATAGATTTTTCGATTAATATCAACCTTGTACACTTTTACTTTCATAAAGAGAAAGTAGTCCTTCAAGAAAAAAGAGTCAAACCAGTAGTAGCTACAATCGCTACTGTCACAATTTTTACCAAAAAGGAACACAACCCTACGCTTTCAATCCTGCCTTTGTTCCTCTATTCCTAGTTACCAAGAACTTGAGCATATTGTGAATTCAAAACTTTTCCCTTGCTTTCAAAAAAAATGGCTTTTTTCAGCTTTCGTTGTCAAACTGACTACTCTAGGGCTATGCCCCACCACCCATCCATCTCATTCAAAATTTTCCCAAAGCAATCATCATTTATCTCTGTTTCTTGCAGTTTTTCTATTTCACTTACCAGCCTGTTGGTTTCGTCGTGATGTTTTGCTCTTTCAAGCTTGATTTCTTGGAATTATCTGATTTTTCCAATTTTTTTCTTATTTCTTCCGATATCTTTATCTTCTTGTAACGTTTTACTGCTTTCTCTCTATGATGATTAGTTTCATTTGTTTCTAGTCTTGCTACTTTGATGCTCAAGTTTTTTTGTCTTCTTTTAGTGGTGTAACTTCCAGGTATTGTTTTTTGCTTCTCTTTATTTTGACTTGGCCTTTTTGCAAATTTCACATCTATGTTTAAATAGAATCGGTTTTTATGAACAAACACGACTATGACTTGCAGTAAAATTTTTGTTGAAATTTTGATGTTTTTTGCTCTTTAGACTATTTAGACACTTAGTCTTACGGAATTCCTTCAATGCTAAAAGAATAGAAACATTTCCCGAGCTTCAAAAATTTCGTTCTCCATCTTCAAATCAATTAAGACACTGATGCGATAGATCTTCAAGATTCATTTACAAGATGACTTCGAGGTTGATAATCCTCTTCCAATCTTACGAACGTCCAAACTCAATCTCCACAAAAATATCAGTTTTCTGAATTTCCAGTATTTTGCTACATTGTTCTGTTTTAAAATCATCTGTAAATAGATTTGATTAGAAAAAAAAGAGACTTTTCAGCAATATGCAATGACTTGTATATGCTCTTTTTCTATCATAGCTTTTTGAGCATGGAAACTTAAGTGACCTTTGGATTGAAAACTTCCTAACATATTATCACAGACCATAGCTATCTAGACTTTTCAGACTCGCTCAGCTATTCATCTCTGCCTCTTAGTCATGAGTTTCTTCATTATTGCGCCTTGGGGTTGTTCATAGATTGGCACTTCTGATAGAGTGATGTTATTATACAATCAATATTCTCCTTTGTAAGTTAATGAGGCGTTTAAATAAGGCCTTGACCAAAGATAGAATATTTTATCCTATGACTTCATTTCCGATTATATCTATCTTTTTACACTGCTGTCCATAAATATTCATACAGTTTATCAGCGTCTATAACTGCTTGTTTACGGATGATTGTTAGTCTATTCATTACGAACTTTGCTAAAATACGAACTCGATTGCTTTCTCACCTATTCCTTTTTGTGACACCGTTTAGCACAAATTATGAAATAAATTTTGAACTAAAAGAAACAATGCGATGCTGGCTAGGAACGTTGTAACTCTTCACAGAAGGAATACCAAAAAGTTGACAGTCCTAAGATGTCTGTGCGCTATTCTGCAAATAGAATCGGCTTTACCAAAAGTGGAAGTAACTTTATTATATGGTTCGTCTCTTTGACGAGATTCTCTCACTATAAAAAGCATACATATGAAAAGTACAGCATAAGCAATAAACATAAGACCCGACTCATAATTCAATTAGATTACTATAATTTACCTTGAAAAACTTAAACCAAGGGCTAATTCTTAACTATCAATTGGGGACAAGATTTATTGTACAGCAGCTATAAAAGTTAAAATACGCTGAAATAAGACTCTATAAAGTTTTTCTGACTTGTGAGACAGCCAAATCGGTCAAGTACTAAAATTCAAAGAAGGCTTGGAATCCTTTATCGTGACTCTCTCCTCTATAGCGAATTTCCACAGAATTCCAGAAATTAAGTGACAAAATTTCTTTGTACAGAGTATATAGGCGTAACAAAGGTTTGTAACACGTTGGGCATTCCAAGAAGATACTAATGGCTAAGTGGAGCTCAAGGTCTGTGAGGAATCGTTTAACTGTTACAACAGAAACAATTAGAGCTTGAAAGATGTGCACAAATTAAAGCCTCGATGGAATTTTAAATGGCTAAAGTTTCACTACCAAGCTTGAACTCGATGCACAGTAGATATACAGCATTGGCTCTTTCCTTGACGAACATTGGATCCTTTTACAACCGGTGTAGTTTCTTGCATATGTAGTGATTGCCCTTAAAAACAAATATGAAGGTATTGAAGCAGTAACTGGCCTAGCAAATACAAATCTCACCATATCACCGTGGCAAGAAGAGAACGTTAGTGTCTAAAGAAAGTTGTTGACAATTCGCAAGTGACACTAAAGCTGACGCAGATAATTGGTTTCAACAAAGCTAAACTAAGGGTTGTGAAAATTTAAACTTATTGGAACCGAATTTGGGTGAACAACAGTAACGCTATGTTGCTAGAGCGAGTGCTGGCTTGTTGCTGCGTGTGAGTTTTTTTCCTTGATTTATTTTTACAAAACCAACGAGAAGTTGAACCTGAAACATTTTGTTAGTTTGCGATGTAAGGGCTTTAATGATTCCGACTATGCAGTTTGGGTTCAAAAAGGACCCTGCTACGCTATGTTTTCAAAAAAGAAGGTTGTAAAGTTGTACCTAATTCTATTGAACGAATGGTGCACTGTGGTTGTTTGAGTTTAAGAAACTGACAAAGACGGTGGGATACTAGTGTCAGTGGACAAGTAGACAAAGTATTCACGATAAAATGGATTGATTATGTAGAGTGACAATGGTCTTGAATCGACCGAGCACAATTTGACAGTTTTAAAAGTTGCAACTGTGGAATTGTTGCAATTTTCCCTTTTCTTTGATGGATATTTCAAGATTCATTTCTACTCTTTATTGTGCAATGCAAAATGACATATTCTTTATTTTCCAAAATTTCAACAAGCATTTTCTTTCAATAATTGAAGAAAGTTTGTCTCATAAAACCAAATTTTTCCAAACATACCAAACAGCAATATTTTTGCTAATTTTGATTATCATTAATGGAAACGTTTGGCAAAAGGGAAATTTGGGTGCCTACAGAAATTAGCAAAAGCTTGGGTTGGATTTTTGATGCTTAGGCCTACAAATTATTGTCTCTACACTTGGAAAAAGACAAATCGTTTATCATATGAAATGGAATAACAAAACGAAACGCCAATCACTTGTTGATAAATGTTGAACAGAAGTTTTCACCTGTTACAACCAAAATATCATGAAAAGATATTTATACCATTTGTTCGCAATCCTTCTTTTGGCAAGTATCGTTGATCATTCTGGAAAAGCTAACACCGCAAGGTCTTCGTCGGTAAAGCCTGAAGCTTCGGGTTCTTCTGTACCACCAGGTGGCGAATAATCGTCTATTTCCCAACCTCAACATAATTAAATAAAAAAGGTTCTACATTATCCGATGATATCAGCTATACCTCTTAAAAAGGAAGTTCAAGCTAATCCATGTCATCTTCTGAGGGCTCTGGTAATGCTAAAGGAATATCAGCTGCTTCCATTGGGAAAAGTTCCCAAAACGCTGGTTCAAATGTAGCTTTTAAAAATAACGATGCTGCATTTAGTTCGAATGGTTTAAATAGTTTCAACTAAAAGTGGTTTCAAATGCAAGGATTTCAGTACAACTACTTGTATATCTTCTTTTGGACGTGGAGATTGTTGTTTCTGCAGCTGCTCAATAATTTTTTTGTTGATAACTTCTGGCTGTTAGCTCAGTTTAGTATTTGAACTTCCGTTGCTGGGTCACAGTGTACCTTTCGATACAACTATTTCCTGGCAAGTCCACACCTAAGCAAATACTGCAAAAGTATTCGTACTAAAGTTAGACTTTTCACAAACTGAAGAATTGTCCGAATAAATAAAGAAGAGTCCGTAAGTAAAGCGATGCACGTGGTAGACCAGATGCAGAAAAGGGTTTCGGAAAGTCACAGTCAACCCTGGCAAACTCTTCCAAAGAAGAAGGTTCAGAGATTACAATACATCTATGTATCCCTTCCACGTGCTAGTCATCGCAAAGTTTCCATAACCTTCTTCCACGATGCCTTTTGTCAACAAAAGAGTCCCGAAACCTTCAGCCCAAAAAGCACCGCCAAACGGCACGAAGCTTGAACTTTGAAGGTTTGTTTCGACTGTCGTTTCCTCGACATTCAAGGTTAGTTGTTGGATCTGGCCTGAAGCAAAATACTAGAGAATGACAAATAAGACAATCGGTTACCGGGAACGAGTGAAATAACTGAAAGATCGTGCAGCAGAATGAAACCATAATAGATTCTATTTGTATTATTTAAAGGATACGACAAAATATATATACAAGTAACGCTTCAACAAAACTCTGAACGACACTCCAGCTACACTCGTCGCTTTTGCTTATGTGATCTGTTAAGGTATTTAAGACCTAGAAAGGCAAAATATCGAAAAGCAATTCCATAAGCCAAAACTATCGCTATGTTGCCTCCTCGTCCTATATTGCTTATTACACCTCGCATCGAGTAAATATCCTGCGCAGTCAATGGACAACTCAGTCCAGAACTTGTGACACCTGAAGTGTTTCCCGGTGGACATGGAAAATACTCCCCTTCGAACTGATTAAGCATGAAAGAGTCGTATATATAGTGAATGAATGATAAGTATTGAATCCATTGTATCCAAACAGGCATTTGATTGTCACTGACGAAGAAGCCTCCCGTTAACATACTTCGTAATTCTCAATATTGTGCAATCTAAACTACGTGCATGCTCACCTTGTCAACATAAAAACAGCTGCAAGTGTCTGTGATTTTCGGAAGTCCATGAATACTGCAGCGATAAAGATACCAATGGACTGAGCCGTGAAAACAGTTATCCCAACGAAAACCAAGAAAAGAATAAAACGACTAGCTTGGGGATTCAAATTCAACATCCTACAACAATTATTTACGCGAAAATAATATGAATGAGACAAAGGCTCACCAGTAGATATAAACGCTAAAAAAGAAAGGATAGATCAAATCCAAAGGTATTTCCACAAGCGCTTTCCCAAGAAAGTATGCAGAAAGCCTAACGTCGTTCAATTTCCATTGACTCCAGGGCTTTTCCTCTTACCTGTAGGCACCGGATGCCCGTTCCTTTGAGAGAACGGGCTTTTCTGCTGGCAAAGTCGTCAATGATTGGAACAAAGTAAAGAATCCCCAAAATAGGCCAGCGAAGAAGAGAGCACCCATGAGGTCTATCAGATGGTCAATATCATTAGGGATTCGGAACCAAATAAAAGAAACTATTAATGCAATGAACGAAACCTGAAAGACTGTAAGCAACTCAAACATCTTTCCCTTCTTCTGAAGATATGCTCTCCAAGCAAGGACACGAAGCTGCTCGAAAAAGGTTGTCGGGTATTTCCCAGTTTCAGAGGATGTGTCAAACTCAGAACGTACATCTGCGAAATAATCTTTCACTATCCAACCAAGAGACCTGTGTCGCTCTGCTTCTGCTTGTTCCAATGCAAGCTTCTCCTCAGATAACTTGTAGTCGAGATCAGCGTCTATTTCATACTCTTTCCAGGCATCTATTAGTTTCTGCCTTATGGGTTCACTTTGACCAAAGTCTTCATTTGTCAATAGAGCAATGAAATAGTCCGCTGGATTGAATCCGTAAGGACATTCATAACCTAGACGACTAAAATACACAACTGCTTCTTTCGCAGGGCCATAGTATACTGTTTGTCCACTTGCAAGTAGTAATAACTTGTCAAATTCAGCAAACATCATAGAATTAGGTTGATGAATCGTGGTTATAACAGTACGTCCTTCGCTGGCTAGCTCCCTTAAGAGTCGAACAACTGTAAGGGCTGTATTCGAGTCAAGACCTGAAGTAGGTTCATCCAAAATAAGAATCGACGGTTCTACCAGTAGCACGTCGGCGATATTAGTTCGCTTCCGTTCACCTCCACTAATTCCTTTTTTGAACTGATCGCCAATAATAGTATTTTGACAACGCAAAAGCCCTAACCTCTGAAGAATATATTCCACTCTTTCCATTTTGTCCTTGTATGAAACGTCTCTTGGTAGACGCAAACGTGCAGTTATTTCTAAGGTTTGTCTCACTGTGAGGTGAGTGAAGAATACATCATCCTGCACGACATAGCCAATTTTTCTTCTGGTGTCAGCAACTCTAGGCCTCTTATCAAACAGTATAACGCCTTCTGAAACAAAATTAGCCCTTCCGGCAAGGGCGTTGAGCAAAGTTGTCTTCCCTCCTCCACTACAAAGCAGTCTTAGAAGTTTCAGTGTAAAAGATAAAATAAATAACGTACCTTGGACCCATTACAGCAAGTAACTCTCCTGGTCGCACAATTCCAGAAACATTTTTTAAAATGGTAAACTTGTTCGACTCCTGTATTTCACCTTTCTGAAAAAAATTCCAGTTTTTCTTTCCCAAAAACGCTATTGAGTAAGTTACGTTATGCCATTCAAGAACCATCTTGGAAGAATTCAATCAACGCGACATAGACGAACCCCAGAACAAACCTGTTTTCTGTAAGGACTCCACTTTAAGGATTGACTTTCGGAACTTTTATTTTCTGTCCCGTCAAGTCCAGTTTCTGCAACATCCAATACAGCACTCTTCAAGTGTTTCTCTACACTAACTAAATTCTCTCCCGAAGAACCTTCTCTACTGCCTTCACCGTGGTCCATATTAGTCAGAAGAATGGTCACTCAACCGAAGAGTAAAAAGAAATAAGTTGATATTATAAGGCAAAGGTTCATTTTTTTTGAATGGTGTTCGGATAATCAACCGTATCTGAGTTCACGAATCTAAGAATGAACGGTGCACATCTACACTTGGGTCAGGAGATATCCATTGTGGGATGGGCATTGAATACCAGCCAGTACTACGTGGAAGCTTCAAAGAACTGCTCAGCATGAGTATCTTCATTAAAGAAGGCCCATAAGTTTTTGGCTATAAATAAGAAGCCGATAGCAGAGGTCATAGACAGGTTTTGGAAAGTTTCTCTTGTAGTTTCCTTGTGGCCACATCGAATTGAATGTAAAGTCAAAGCTTTCTATCGACGAATCAGTCGTAAAGAAGCCTCCATACCCCGACTTCTCGGGTTTTCTCGAAGGTCATTGAGTTGACCCGTGAAGAATACACTTGTCCGTTGTTGCTTTTAACCTTTTTCCTTTGCTTTGCTGGCTTTTTATTCATTTTATGACTCCTTTTCTTGCTATTGATAGTTACTCATATGAAAAATTTTTACAGCTTTTCAATGTTTTTATCGTTCAAAGGATGCTTTTAGCAACAAATTTACTGTCTTGTTTTTCTTTGGCTCAACTTTCTTAATATGTTTTCATCCTTTGGTCTAGTTTCTTGTCCTTGTACTCTACTATCTTCGTAAATATCATCCCAATTCTATATTTAAAGGAGAATTAGTTTTTTTCCTTTTTGAAATACAACACAACTATGGTCCGAATTTGTTTCTCTGTCGCACTGGTTCTTTTTGCCATCGAATTCAACATAACTGTAAATACCTTGTCAACACTTGTTTTGGGTGGTCTTTCTTGTCTTGGCCTCATTAGTAAAATGCTGGATTTGTTATTTCATTTTCTCGAAGTGCGCATCATAATTATTGTTTTGTTGATAACCATGTTGTTTTTCTTCTTACAAATGAGAAATAACACTTAATTATGGATGACTTACAATAATCGAGCTCAATTTAGTGATAGAGGTTGACACGGTCCAGCAGGTTGTGGCCAAATGACATGTCCAATGCCATACGTACGAAAAGACTGTTCAATAAAAAAAAAAAGATTCCTAAAGAAAGACTAGTTAACGTCAAAAGCACAATGAATAGCCAAATTTTGGAGAGAGTCTTCTCTGAGAAAAAACTCTTTGTAATATTATCCATGTCTGTATATAGAACTGTTTTTGTAATAACTCTGTATTCATATATTTTGTCCAAAAAGATCATCTGCATTAACTCGCCTAAACAATTTTTCCTGAATTTCTTACCTTTTTTCCTTGTTGCTTTTGGCTTCATTGTGCTATACCATGTCTTACAAAAGCATTCATCAACCGCTTCTTTCCTACTGATGCCGTTTTCCGTGAGTTTTTTGTAATGTATTTTTCTTCTTTTTGATTGACTGCTTTTGGACATAGTTCTGTCTCTTGTTTTTTTATTCGCGTTAGCGACATTTGTAATCATGCTAATTAATGTTTGTTTACTATTTTTCTCTTATTTTCAAGCGACATAAGTACTACTCAAAGAAAAACAATAGTCGCAATTCTACTTTGTAAGTGTCTATTCCCGTTGTCACTTGAAAATTTCTTGAGGAATTTCTTTGAGTATCTCTATAGGACTCATCTTAAAATCGCTTTGTTTTAACTTGCTCGTTTCGTCACTATTTTGCCCATTTTAGTGCAAAGTGTCACAATTTAGCATTCGTTTGGAAGTGAAAATATATAAAAATTATCTTCGAGATTCTTCAACCGATATTTTTGCATTTTGTAACATAGTCATGAATTCAAGCACGTTTTTTCCACTGGAAATTTTTAATAGTAAATTTCTCGTGCATACATTGCAACGACGGTATTGCCATTTATGTTGAGATTTTTCCTGACTACAACCTTTGTTTTCGTACACCAACCCACATTCAGTTATCTTGTTGTCAAGGTATTTGAGAATTCATGTGGAATCCTCTCTTTCCAGAAGTTTCTGGCTAAATGGCAGTACTAACTAAGATACTCAATAACAAGCAAGATGCGAAGAAATGTCGTAGATAAAAAATGCAGCCATCTTAGATCTCACAAAGCGCGCTGATTGTTTCGTCTTGAAAGCTTTCCTTTAATGCATTGCAGCTGTCAAACATGAAAGAATGAATGTTGTCAATTTTTGCCGTGAATAGAGCTTTTCATGTTATACATATTATGATATGCTTTTGAATATTTGTTGTTTCAAGTATAGAAGCATATACTTTGATCCAACTCCACCTCAGCCTTTGATTCTATTAGTTTTGAAGTTTCTTTCTAATTCCTTGGATCATCACTCGCATCTAGAAAATCTTTAGAACGTTTTTCCTTTTTTTCTAGCGTTTCAATCCGACTGAACTGAAACAGTAATTCGTTTTTGTCTTTCAACGACATAGGCAGAATGTATTCTAGGTTCTTTGTTATGTTTTCTGCTTTTTACAGAAAGGTTACATCTGTATTTTCAGTTGTTATTTCGTGAAATTTCCGATCCTCAAAGGTAAAAAGTTGATCCCTTCTCTCTCTCTCTCTCTCTCTCTCTCTCTCTCTCTTCATATATATATATATATATATATATATATATATATTTATTTATTTATGTATTTATTTGTGTGTGTGTGTAGCATTGTATTTGAGTAGATACTTTCCCGAAAACCGTTTTCCAAAGTCCATTTAAATAAAAATTTGCTTTGTTATATTTTGCTTTGATATCTACAGGATGTTTTATTGTTCAACTTAGAAATGTAGTATGATTTATTAGGATTGTCCTTCATCTTTGTTAGGTAGACTTCCTTATGTTCCATTCTTTAAATACTCATTAATATAATTTTCCTGCTTTCTTAACTGTTTCAAAAAAGTTGATAATTCAACATGGATCAGGCCAAAACTAAATTTGACACTCATCTACTCAGATGGGTCATCTCTGCAAACTGGAGCGTTCTAACAAAGCAATGCAACTTTAGGACATCTTTTCCTTATATAGTATAGGAATAATTTTGTCAAATAACATGTTCAGCTTTATGCTACAATTGTTTTCATAATCAGTAACGGCCTTTGTCTAGTAGAAGGAAATTTCTTTGCCCAGCTGTGTCCTCCAGTCCTATAATAATAGTCTTTGACACGTATTACAGACTCAGCCTTTTTTCTTCTCTCCTTTTGTATGCAACATAAGGAAACAGAAGCTATCGCACTCTAAACCTTAGATAGGAGGGCATTATACTCTGTTCTCACACAAAGATATAATCAAAGTTCCAAATCCGTCCTATTATAGTGAAGAAAGTAACGTTGCTACACATATAAATATACTAAAGAGAAAATGAAAAAAATAAAGCATATATGAAATAACTACTGACAGATTTCTTAGTTAAAAAATCCTGGCTGTAGAACGAACGAATGGGCGAATGCTTTCGTTGTTTTCAAAATACACAACCACAAGAAGACATTGATCTTTGTCTCCAAATAACAACGTTATATTATCCTCTCACTTCAATTCACAAGGAAACGTTTCAAGCCCTCGTGTTGGTGTATTCTATTTGACCGCCAGAAAGAGAAAGAGAGAGAGCAACAAAAATTTCAAATGACACAAAACCCCTCTTTTGGAATGAAACCTGGACACAAACCAAGAAAGGACTGTTCTCCAGAACCTTCAAATTCGTCTGTAAGTAATATTAAGACTAGTGACTATCCTATGCGTCATTGAAATAAAATAGGAGTCAAGCTACGAAACAATTGAAGAGCCGCCTACTAAGGTATACAAGAAGGATAGCTGGACTAGAGACTGCGATGGATATCCCTTTTTTGAGGTGAGATTACTTTTTCTTTGATTCTCCTTTCTTAGTTTGGTAGCTCTCTAAAACAAGAAGAGTCACTGTTCGAAAGTTTTCTGGAAAGATGTTGGTGGATATTCGTGAATATTACAACAATGGTGAAACCTTAGCACCTGGACGAAAGGGTATGTGATGAAGCCTCTAATAAGCTATCAAGCTAAGGAGTTGAGCATAATAGGAATTTCTCTTTCCATTGAGCAGTATGAGAAGTTGAAGTCTTACCTAGCGGATATTGACGATGCAATCCAAAGAGGGGTTCCATGAAATATTTGTCTGTGTTATCCAACGTGCATCTTTTCTATGGAGCTTATATTGCTTGCCTTTGTTCAATTTGTGTTTTATATTGTCAGCTTTCGTACTTTGCTGTGTTGTAACTTTGAATCATACTGTTCTTTGCATGAAACAGAACTTGAACTGTTATGCGATACTTGATAAAATACAGATACCTCCACAGAATTTTCTCCTGTTTCTGTTATTCAACTACTGATACTGATGTTTTCCATTGTTTTAGAATTAACTAATATTTTTGCTTTGCCGAAATTCACTATATCTCTTCAAAGTTTAGACAACTCGTGTTAGATGCTAGTTTCTGTTTCTAGATAAGGAAGTATCGCCTAATGTGAAGAGCAAGGCACTTTTGATGCTCTTTCAATCATTACTAAATCGTCGAATCTTCATACATTTCAGATTTCAGTGAGCAAATTAAATAATCAGGGAACGTGGATACGTAAACTTGGAGAAATTGAAGGCTTTTCTGAAGAATTCGGATGTTGCTTTGGTCAAAAGGAAAAAGCTATGAAGTCTGCAAAAAGAATGTGATGGATAGCAATGAAGCAACTTCACGATAAATGCACGCTCCGAATAAACATCGGGACTGCAACTCCAGAATCACCTTCAATACCAGCTTTCAAGATGAAGGAACCTGAAAGCTTATTCACTCTTATACGAGTCTGCACAAACAACGCGACGATAGTCGAGATCGTCTTCTCTGAGTGAGTGGCTAAATTAGATTTTGTCGAAATCCGCAAAACCCCATTTACTTCGATCATCTTCCATATTTATCTTTATTTGTCATGTCCTCTTAAGCTAACAGACAAAAAGGTCCACAAAGTATATACAGCAACAAGACGGTTTACTTATCCATATTGTATGGACGTCACTAGCGTTCTCAAAAAAATCCAAATTATCAGCAACATTGTCATCACTGGTCAATGACTCAATGAGCTGCTCAAAGTCTCTTCATAAGATACAATCTTAGGAAAAATAACTTTCGGTCGATCGAACGAAACACCTGCTTTCAAACCACCCCACTTCATATCCCTATCCCAGAATAACATTTTGAAATATTCTTCAGGATAACCTAGAGACAAATAAATTTGTTTAGAAAACTCGGGTGTTACAGGAGATAAGCCCGTAGCCACAATTCGAACAGTTTCTAAACAAGCGACGAGACACTGGACAGCCTTGTTCGCTTCTCCACTTTTAAAGCAAGCCCATGGTTGTTCATATGCAATGTATTGATTTGCTTCCGCTGCTAAGTGTATCATAGTTTCACAGGCTGTGGCAAAATCCAAACGATGATAGCAAACTTTCGCCTTTTCAGCCATGGACTCTGCAGTTAGCCTTAGTGGATGTGTTGCTGACACTACAGCAGACGAAGATACCGGGATTTTAAACTCGCAATATTTTCCTAATAGATTCAAACTGCGATGAAGCAAATTGCCTATATTGTTGGCCAATTCTGAATTGACAACTTGAATAAACCTTTCTCTCGAAAAGTCTCCGTCATCTCCAAAAACTATTCCCCGAATAAAATAGAATCGAACTGCATCTTTCCCATAGGAATCCACTAGTTCAACAGGATCAAGTGTATTTCCGACTGACTTTCCCATCTTCATGCCATCCTTTGTCAAGAAACCATGTCCAAATACTCGCTTAGGAAGTTGTAATCCACCACTCATTAGCATTGCTGGCCAGTATAGAGCATGAAAGCGTAGTATATCTTTACCGATAATGTGTACTTCTGCTGGCCAGCCTAAATCTGACAACCTGTCCAAGGAGATGCCTTCTTCCTCACAAGCAAACAATGCTGAAAGGTATCCGCTCAATGCATCAAACCAAACATACACAGAATGTGTTGGATCAAAGGGAACCGGAATTCCCCAAACATTGTTTGCACGTGAAACAGCAAAATCTCGTAGACCTTGTCTCAACCAACCTTTTACTTCGTTTAGTCTTTCAGGTGGCTGCACAAAGAGGGGATTCTCATCTAATAGCTTCTCTAGCTTTTTTTGATACTTGGAAAGTGCAAAAAAGTAGTTTTCTTCCGAACGCTGCACGCATTCTTTACGGTGAATCTTACAAAGGTTATTTTCTGTTAAGCCTTCGCCATCTTTATATTCTTCGCAATCGACGCAATAAAGACCATCATAAGTATCTTTGTAAATATCTCCGTTGTCATAAACTCTGACATAATATCAAGCAGGAGAACACAACCAAAAATACAAATTACCTTTGAATAAATTGTGAAACCAATGCCTCGTGACCTTTTTCTGTTGTTCGGATAAATCTGTCAAAACGGATGCCAAACTTATTCCATAGATTTAAAAATTGCTCCACAACAGAGTCGCAATGTTCGAGAGGACTCTTTTTGTGTTTCGCAGCAGCAGTTGCAACTTTCTCTCCGTGCTCGTCGGTTCCTGTGATGAAAACTGGCTTTGCTCCGAGTAATCTGTAGAATCTTGAAAGCACATCGACAGCTATGGTTGGATAAGCACTTCCCATATGTGGTGAGGCGTTAGCATAGTATAGTGGCGTTGTCAGTACTACGCGTCTGCCTTCATAACTTTTTAGCTCTGCTCTTTCCTCATCGTTACAGCTTATTCTCCATATTTTCGACAAGTCTGACAAGGAGTTTGTCTTCTGCTCTCTGTTAAGAATTTGGTGGCGGTCCAGAGAGGCCTTGTATGAACGGCTAGCAGCTACAGATTTGCCTCTCTTCTTGAATAGGGAACCTAACTTTCCCAAAGATCTATTGAAATGACAGGGTTTGAAAAAGCTATGTGTCTTCTGAACGCACGTAAGCGCTTGTTGTGCGAAACACAAGTGGATATGAATTCGACTGATCGACATTAAAATCCTTCAATATTAAATTCTTTCAATTCGTTCGACAATGTGTATAAATAAAACTTTCTTTTCAATGAAGTCACTCGAGGAAATGTTATTCAACTTTCGCCCAGTTCTGTAGGAAGATAATATAACTGTAGTATGCGGGCCCCTGTTTGTTTCGCTTCATTTTTAAGTGGAGACGATCAAGTATACCCACGACTTGTACTATATCGTCATCATCTTACCACTTTAATTGCAAAATGAAAATACTTTCCCTTACATTTTGTCTACACACCCTTCTATGACATTTCAAAATGATAAAAGTTGAATATTTTTTTTATTACAATTTCCATATTCATCCTCACACATTTTATATAAAAAGTTCTCAAATGCTGCCTGCAAACAAATTTACATCGGAAATAGATCAGAGGCAATAGTTTTTGGAAATTATATGGACTCTTTTTTCGGTAGGAGCAAAAATTTCTAATCCTACTTTAGAAACTATAAGCAACAATATCTCTCTGTAAAGGGTATCTTATCTCCAAGAAAGTTAAAATTTGCAACCAGAAGGATCTAGAATATTACTTAAGCAAATTGTTCGGAAGATCGACGTTTAAGAATTTTCAAAAATTTTTAGTGATTTATCGAATGTGTGTCAAACAGCCATATGGAAAGCGAGAAAGAAGCATATTTGAACTTTTCGCTTACTGGTGAAACCCCCCGAGTGTTTTTTGATGCTCTAACCTGTTTATGTAAGAATTTTGGAAAGACCAAGAAACAAGTTTTATGGGTGTCACAAGCTGCTCGTGGAGGTTTGAAGTTGGTGGTTGAAGAAGAGTTGAGTTTCCAAGCTTCTATTCTTGTTCGTCAAAATGCCTTTGCGACGTTGGAGGTTTCGGAAAATTTTGAAGGATTCTGTGTGTTTCTAACCGATTTCATAGATGGGCTAAGTGTTTTGGGCGTCACACAAACCTCACAAAGCTTCAATAATATGTCAACTTCAAGAGCCAATGTTCTTCGAGTTGTTCAAGTCATGGAAAATGAACCGATTTATCTAATCCTGCACGATCCAGATTTTGTGACGCAGTGTCGTTTGAAAACAATCCAAGCTGAGCCTCCTGTTGACTTTTCTTTCTTTGCATCATCCGTAGTTTGTTCTGCAATTTTAGCGTCTGATTTGCTGCGTGAAGCTCTCCAAGAAATTGATGTTGCGGGCACAGAAGCTCTAAAAGTTTCAGTGAAGCGGGAAGGTCCTATGCCGACCATAACCCTACAGGGTGTTGGCAGAGATGGGACAACAGATACGTACGGAGGCTTTATTGGGATATCCGTATGTATCGAATTTCCATCTCCAACAGAATCTTCTTCCGATGTCTTTGCCGAATTTCATGTGTCTGATGAGTTTGGTGGAGTTGTGTTTCCTATGCATTTTATCCGTCGATGTGTGCGAGCTTTGGCCTTTTCTGACACTTGTCGACTTCGCGTAAACCAAACTGGTGTTCTTTCTCTTGTCATTCGTTTCCGAACTGGTTCGAAAACCCCAGAACAATGGATTGAAGTTGCTTCGAGTTACTGTTTTCTGGAGTATTTGATTCGCTCTTTGGAAGGTTGATAGTGGAGAAACCGTTTGTTGCACATTTTTAGTCGGTATTACAATAATAATGGACTGTTCATTACAAAACTAATTATTTCATACATTCACATGATTTATCTATCAAAGAATGGTTTTTTAGAACTAGTACTGGTGAACCTGTCTATATATTCGAGTCTGTAATTCTTCTTGGCTTAATTGACAATTGCGATGAAGAAATTATAGATATCACCAGCCATCGAAGGCTATTCAATATTTTAGAATGAATATAGATATTCTATTGAACTTTCATGATTCGCTCGCTTGATAATTTTTGCATATAATAGAAATCAGCAGTAGCTAAGTTTAGGTGAATTGTTTTTTGCCCTTTTCATTTCATGGTGTGTCGGGAACAAGTCTCTAGTCACAAAAAGAATATCCAGCAGATACGGATTGAGGAGACACTGACATCTTATATATTTCCATGTTTAACGTTATTAGAGCCGAATGAGGGAATATCCTGAGAGTTGCGAAGGATATTTTCTCAAAGAGCTACATGTTCATCAGAATGTTAGTGAAAAGAATCCAAACACCGAGAACCCGTTTTAGAACATTGTTGAAGCAACGCATCATTCCGAATGTCTTAGGAAATGTTTGGAAGAAAGCTACTTGTTGAAGTCAGAAAGACTGCTTCATTTGGTTTCAGTGGAGATTGAAAAAGGAGTGACTGTTAAGAAGGAAAATCACTTGCAATTATGACTGAATTGAATTTTTCAGACTGTTTGAATCATTTTGAATGAATTATTTTCATAAGACAGGTTAGATTTTGGAAGATAAGTTGACTTGGAATATGCTGGCACTTCAAACATTTTGTAGCTTTCACGATACGTTGATGAATTTGTACTAAGAGGGTAATCTCTAAACTATAGAAACCGAATGGTTTGGCTTTTGTGAAAAAGAGAGTAGTTTCCACTTGCACACAATTGGACTTTATTATCTTTTGAGGGAAGATGACTTTTCAGGGTCACAAGTTGCTCGAAATTTTTGGTCTTGCGCTTGCAAAATTTACAAACTCAATTATTTGAGACAACTGCAATATGATATGCAAGTACTTTTCTCTGCTTGTACCAATCGAACAAGTTACTTTTGATTTTTGCAAATTCTTTCAAGTCTGGTGCTGGAAGTCTGTAAACACAAATTCAACCTTTCTCTTATCAGCTCAGTTTCTCATTTTACGAAACAAAGAAAACAAGACATCCTAGAAGATTCCGTTCGAATGAACGATCTCCTTTATATCGACTCTATAACTGCACGACAAACTCGTGCGGGGTTATTTTATTAATGTCTTCTACTGACAGAAGATGAAACATTCTATCAACTACTCATTAGCATATCATCAGATATAGTTTGAAACATAACTCGGACAAGTTATCGTTTTCCATAGTTTCGAATACTCCATCATTTTTACATCCAACATGCTGGTTTGCCTCATTTTTGAATTCCTTCCCGCCTTTTAAATGGTGACTACTCGAAGCTCTTCAAAGAAGTTACAAAGTCGTTCTCGGGTAGAGAAGGAAAATGAGACTCCAGAAACCAACGAGTTTGACTCACCTCATAAGGAATCTTTCATCAAAAACGATAGTAAGCTTTCTTAGATCTCAACAGAGTTTGTTTTACTCTTATAAAAAGGTTCCACAGAGACGACCGGTAACAAATTGACAAGAGAACTTGTAGCACTCGGTATCATTGCTAACCAGAAGAGAACTCCGAAAAAGAATCTTGATTTTGAAATGTTCTCTTCTATGACTTTGAAAGCTGAAACCGTTGAAGAAAGTAAGCAGCACTGTTGAACGAAATTAACACAAACTAAAAGGAAGCTGTGATAATTATTTGTTCATTTTTGTATAGATAGCCATAATACTCAACGAGTGGATAGAAAGGAAGAAAGTATCGAAAATATCAGTAACATTCTTTCTGAAAACTGTTCACTTCGAGAAGAAAGAGAAAAGCTCCAAGAGAAGCTAGAATATACCTCCGATATGAAATATAATAGAACAAACTTTATGAATACTTATGAAATAGGATACAAAAGACCAACTGCCAGTTGGATAGCAAAAGAAAAGGGAAAGGCCAAGAAAGAGGAAGAATCTTCACAAGTGAAAGCTTTCAAGCGTGGTAAGTCTTCATTTTCTTTATAAAAATTTGTTTCACTTGACGGAATATAGAACCAAACCATGTGCGTCGTTCCAAACCTGTCCATATTGGTGAAGCACATTATATGATGCCAACTATTTCCCATGTAGCAAAACATGTTTCAAAACGATCACACTGATAGCTGAATAATGATACTAGCAATACTGGACACTTATCTCGTCTAATACAATAAAAGTGTTAAAAATATGGAGCTTTCCTGAGGTGGCCCACCATTGTCCAATGGACGTAATGTGGAAACTGAACCGGCGCGCATTTTATCTCATAAGGCTTAGGATTTCTTGTTTGGGTTTCGTCCCCGCAAGTGGAGTCTTAAAACCTCCTTAGGAAGTGAGTTTTTGTTGTATGGAACTTGAGTTGACCTCTTGTTTTTGTTGAGAAAGGAAGTTGCTACCGTTTTAAACTCTGTAACAATATGTTGTTGACAAGAAAGAGACTATTTATTGGCCTGGGAGCCTTTTTCTTGTTAGGAGCTTTGGCTGGAGCTGCCTACTGGATGACCATCAGTTGGATAAAAATAAGGGTACGTTCAAAAAAGTCAGTTAAGGACGATTACTGAATAAGGGGAAAGGATTCCACTCAATATTGGACGGAAACGTCTTGTACCGTGTTGAATACATCTATCGAACAAAGTGGTACACTCTATAGACCGGTTGTTGAAGTTAATATATCCGGAAATATAGAGTATGCTTATCAAACGAAAAGCGCTTCATTTTTAGACACTAAGCAAGAAGCTCAGTCGTATATTTCCCAATTTTCGATTGGATCTTCGTATAACTGCTATTTCAACCCTGCTAATATCTCGCAAGTCGTAACTGAACAGGAAGGTATTCCAGCAGTGGATACTGCAGGAGCAGCTATTGGAACTGCATTGGTTGTAATTATTCTTATGACTTTTGGTTTTGGTTTGTGTTACTTGGATAAGAGGAGGATCTTGCCCAACCATCCCAATTTGTTTATGTATACTATGGATGCAGACCGTGCAATGAATCGAGGTATTGATAGTGAGAATGGGGCATCGCATCCACTTCGGAGACCTAACAATCCAGCTTTTACTCTTTCAAAACAACAGATCGAATATGTATGCAATCTGTGTCAGTTCTCTCCAGATTTGCTTGTTTCACAAGCAGTATGTGCTATTTGTTTAGAGGAATTGTGTTCTAGTCGTTCCACCAATAGTTTTGTCGAATGTGAAGAGGAGAAAAGTAGACAGAAGGGATTATTGAAACTTAATTGCGGTCACGTATATCACACAGCCTGTATGCAGCGGTGGATGATTCGTGGAGGTATCCACTGTCCTTTATGTCACTGGAATATTTGGTCGCTTTTTGGAAATGTAGACAATTCTCAACAAGAGACAACAAACAACTGAAACTGGAAAGAATTTGGGTTTCCTATGTGTTATATTTGCAGAAGATAAGTCATGGCAAAGCTGCTTGAATAGCGAAGAGGGAATTTGCTAACAAAAAGAAATTGATTTTACGAAAAATTCAACTACTTCCAAACTGGATTCCTTGAGCAAGCGGAAGAGCATTTCCATAATTAACGGTAGCTGTTACTCTACGCATATATTGTTTCCAGGCATCGCTTCCACTTTCACGACCACCTCCCGTTTCTTTTTCACCTCCAAAGGCACCGCCAATCTCTGCTCCACTCGTTCCAATATTGACATTCACGATGCCACAGTCTGAGCCACAAGGGCCTAGCCATTCAAATACATGCTGCATATGACTACTGAAAAGTGAACTACTTAGACCTTGTGAGACTGAGTTGTTGAGCGTGATCGCTTCTTGCAGAGTGTCAAAGGGCATTACATATAAAATGGGAGCAAATAACTCCACTTGCACACACTAAAAAGAATGAAAAATGAGTGAATGGGTAAAGAAATAACTTCAATCGCACCTTTGCATGTGGCTTCACTTCAATAATAGTAGGCTCCACAAAATTGTCTCTAATCACTTTACCACCATAGAGGACTTTACCTCCTTGAGAAACAGCTTCTTCGATACCTTTCTGATACATTTCTACCGCCATTTTTGTATGTAAAGGACCCATCAACGTCTTCTCATCTAAAGGATCACCAATAATAACCTATTTCCAATTCAATACATGACAAAAAATGATAGGAATGGCCTAGAATACCTGTCGATAAGAATCCACCAATTTCTCCACAAAGTTATTATAAATGGAACGATGAAGATAAAGTCTTCGGGTGGATGTACAACGTTGACCTGCGGTACCAACAGCACCAAACAAAACAGCTCTATGTGCCATGTCCATATTGCAATCCTTATCAACAATAACAGCATTATTTCCACCCAACTCTAAAATGGTCTTTCCTAATCTTTCGTGTACTAACTTGGATACTTTTCGTCCAGTCTTGGTAGATCCTGTAAAGGATATGAGTGGCAATCGACTATCTTTAGCCAGTCTTTCTCCAATAGCACCACATCCTATTACTAGGGAAGCGATTTCTGGAGGATATCCATTACTTTTTAAGACTTGAGCAATTATCTTGGTCAAAGCAACGGCTACCAAAGGAGTGGTCTCACTTGGCTTCCAAATCTGCACATTTCCACAAACCAAAGAGATTGCACTATTCCAACCAAACACAGCACAAGGAAAATTAAAGGCAGTTATATATCCAACAGCTCCTAATGGATGCCACTGAAATAGATTGCTTCAATAGAATCAACGAAACCGATATAGGAGCTTACCATCTCGAACATAACGTGATCTTGCCTTTCACTAGGTAAGCACTTGCCAGATAATTGACGAGATAAACCCACACCAAAGTCACAAATATCAATAAACTCTTGAACTTCACCTATGCCTTCTGCAAGAATTTTACCCATTTCCAGTGAAATGAGCTTTCCAAGTAACAGCCTCTTCTCACGTAGTGCATCACCAATTTGTCGCACTATTTCTCCCCTTGTAGGCATAGGCAACTTGAAACATTGTGAAAACTCTCCAACAGCCAACTTTAATACTTACTGAAGACCAAAGATTCCTGCAATCAAGGGCACGTTTGACACACCACTCATAGTCCTCTTCACTTGCTGCTCTTACTTTGGCTATAACTTTATTGTTTGTAGGATTATAACAAAGAATCTCTTCCCCTGATCCTTTCCATTCACCTGAAAAACAGCCCAAGTTTTCTGGTTCTATGCCAAGCTCCTTAAGAAACAAGTGTTGCTCATATTCCAATGCCATTATCAAGTCCTTTAGACATTTCCTGTTTGTCCTGAGACACAAATATTTTGAGTATTTGTGAAGTTTTTGGAGACCGATAGCAAAATATGTCGGATGAAAAATACTTATCACTTGGTATTATTAGAGAAACTAGAAGTCACTGGGAAAGGAGGACTCCTATCGTTCCAGATCATGTAAGGAAATTGGTAGAGTTAGGAATAAAAGTTTATGTTCAACCCTCGAAGCTTCGTATTTTTCCTGATGAGGCATATGAAGAGGCTGGAGCTACTGTAACAGAAGACTTGAGTGTTTGTGGGACAATTTTGGGAGTAAAGCAGGTTTCAGTTGCTTCGCTGCTTCCTCAAAGAACTTTTTGTATGTTTAGTCATACTATCAAAGCACAGCCAGAAAATATGCCTTTACTAGATGCAGTATTAGAGAGGAAAGTTCGTCTCATTGATTACGAAGCCATAGTTGAAGTTTCCCTTGATCCTTCTGAAGGAAAACTTCCAGGGAAGAGGCTTGTTGCTTTTGGAAGATTCGCAGGTTTGGCAGGAACTATAACCTTTTTAAGAGGTCTTGGTGAACGTCTGTTGGCGCTGAGATACAACACTGCATTTCTTCATATGGGATCAGCGTATATGTATCCAGACTTGGAAACTGCCAAAGATGCTGTTATACGTGTTGGAAGAATGATAGAAGAGAGAGGTCTACCAAAAGAGTTGTGTCCATTTATTTTTGCAGTCACTGGAAACGGCAGAGTTAGTCAAGGGGTCCAAGAAATATTGACTTTGTTGCCTTGTATGAAAGTGAATGTGGAGGATTTAGCAACTCTTTCATGCTCATCAGTAACGGAAGATATGAGACGTCGAATATATTATTGTGTTGTCACAACTGAACATATGGTGACTCCAGTAGATTCTAATATGAAGTTTTCCAAGTCTGATTATTATTGTAATCCTTCCCGCTATAAACCCATTTTTCACGAAGTAGTTGCACCTTATGTCTCAGTTATTGTACATGGTTCTTATTGGGATATGTAAGTTGACTTATCGGTATGTAGCTGTATATACTCAATATTGTGTGCATTGAAAAGGTCTTTTTGTCGTTTACTTACTGACAACCAACTACAAAGCATTGTAACTTTGCAATCTCAACAAAGAAAGAGAAAATTGATTGGAATATGTGATATTACTTGTGATCATGAGGGTGCCATTGAATCTCTTAAGAAATTCACAAGTATTGAAGATCCCTTTTATATATATGATCCTATCAGCAAGGATTGTTTGGATGACCTGAGTAGTCTTCCGGATCGGGGTATTCTATTTCATGCAACAGATAACTTACCTGCAGAGTTAGCAAAAGAGTCTTCGGAACATTTTAGTAATTCTCTTATGTCCTTTTTACCTAAGTTGGCAACTCATGTGCCTAACAAGTCCACAGAATTGAATTTTGACGACTTACCTTTAGAGTTGCAACGAGCTTGTATAGCCACAAATGGTAAATTAACTCCTCACTTTTCCTATATATCTCGTTTGCGAGAAATTCATGAAGCGAAACCAAGCGAGTCACAAAGGTTTCACCGACAAGTGTTACTTAAAGGACACTTATTTGACTCTAGAGCTATTAACGAAGCATTGGATATTATTGAGGAAGAGCATTGTAGTTTTGAAATTCTCCGTTGGTCAATAGGACAAACTAGGAATATGCCATCCACTTTATTGTTACGTTTAGACGCCAATTCTGAGGAACAAGCAGAATTGGTTATGAAGAAGTTGGAAATAGTATCTGTAAAAGACAGCAATATCTTAAAAGAAACATCTCAGACAACACTACAAGTCAAGGATGTATACGAGAAGAGTCATTCATGTTCTCCAAAAGTACTCGTTTTGGGTTCTGGAAGAGTAGCTGCTCCATTGATAGATTATTTAGCAGATAAGGAAGGATATGAATTGACTATTGCAAGTAACGAACCTCAGGCAGCTATTCAACTTGCCAGAAATAGACCCAATATTCAGACGATGGTATGTATTCATCTTTGGTTGCATTTCATTTCCTCATGTTTGTTAGTACTTGACTATGGAAGATATGAAAGTCGTGAAGGAGTTGATTGAGCATCATGATGTGGTGGTTAGTCTATTGCCGTCGCAATTTCATGCAAATATTGCCCGTTTATGTGTTGAAATTGGGAAACACTTTGTAACAGCTTCCTATGTATCCGCAGAAATTCAGAAATTGGATCCAACTGCAAAGGAAAGAAATGTTATGCTCGTGAATGAAGTGGGTTTAGATCCAGGAATCGATCATATGCTTGCACATAAGCTCATTGCACATGTTCGTTCCCAAAATGGAGAAATAGTATCTTTTCATTCTTGGTGTGGAGGCTTACCTGCGCCTCAGTGTGCACATTCCAATCCATTTCTTTACAAGTTCAGTTGGAGTCCAAAGGGTGTTTTAGTTGCTAGCCAAGCGGATGCGAAATTCAAAAAAGATGGTAAACTGATTCAAGTTTCAGGAAAATATTTGATGACTTGTGCGAGACCAGTTGGAAGCGATGTATTTCCAGATGTTCCTCTTCCATTGGAAGTTTTACCTAATCGTGACTCTACTCTGTATATCGAAGAGGTAAGGGCAACTTTCTTTTCGTATCCATAGAGAGAGATATATATAGGCTTTTTTTATATCCATATTAGTATCAAATACCGGAAGCAGAAACAGTATTAAGAGGCACATTGCGATACGAAGGCTTTTGTCAGGTGATGCATGGTTGCACAGCAGTAGGCCTATTAGAAACTACCAAAAATGACTTTCTTTTGCGTTGTGTTGTGGGAAACGTTGATCAACAACATTTACGAGAAGAAGCTAGAAGCTTGATTGCTTCTCACTGGGAATACGGAAGACAGTTGTTGGAGGATCATCAGTTATCCGATTGTCAAGCAGACAAAGCCATGGAGGCCTTGGAGTGGCTTGGCTTATTTGATGGCGAACTTTGTCAACTACTGAAAGACACAGAAAGTCCTGTCGATGCTTTGGCTACGATATTGGAAAAGTATTTGACACTTGATGGAGATGAACAAGATGCCGTGTTTATGCTTGTGCAAGTTCAGTATCGACTGAAAAACTCTCATGCAATGCATACGGTTACAGCAACTTTAAGTGAAGTGGGAGACATGCAGTGGAATAGAGAAGCATACAAATATACAGCAATGGCGAGGACAGTTGGAATAACATGTGCTATGGCAGTCAAACTTGTCATAGAAAAGAAAATTTCAGGATTGGGTGTAATTCGTCCATCACCACAACACCTTTCAGAACCTATTTTATCATGGCTTACCAAAGAAGGGATCGCCATTCGTTACTCAGAAACTTGACAAAGACAAAGCAGAGGTCACAGCCTTGAGTTCAAATAAAACACTATCTGCATCGAATAAAAATTTTACTGGAAGACCAGCGCAACATAAAGTTCTTCCAGATAGTAGTAATTTCTTATTTTCTCCATATTGATAAACTCCTCGAGGATCCAACATTATAGCACCGGTATCAATATTCCGTACTAGCTTTCCGGGACAAAGTTCCTCTACTTCATAAACAGTTTCATAGCATAGTCCACGGAGCAGCAAACGAGGTAATAGACGTCCAACTTCTCTACGAATATTAAAGGCAAAAACAAGAGCCTGACTGGCATCATTGTTAACAAACATCCAAGCCGCACTGGAAGACAAAAAAGGGTTCCATAAACGATAAAGATTGCCTAAATATACCACAAACACATATCTACATTAGATTTCCGTTTTCTCATAAAGCACATTACGTCTTTTTTGTATTACCTTTTCGAATCAGATGCGCAAGCCGTTTATACAACTGAATATAGGCCGCAATTTCTCCCTTTTCATCTTCTGATAGCTGCCGTGGGTCCAATTCATAACCAAATGTACCACACATGGCTACTAGTGAACGTGTTTTCATGGAGGTTGATCGTAAAGTTTGATGGTTAGGAACTGTGGAAACATGAGACCCAATACAACAAATAGGATAGGCAAGAGTTGTTCCATACTGAATATAAATGCGTGAAACAGCATCGGTATTATCACTGGCCCATATTTGTGGTGCGAAATATAACATTCCGGCATCAAATCTTCCTCCACCACCGCTACAAGTCTCAAATATTATATGAGGAAAGGCATTTGTAATACGTCCCAATAACTCATAAACACCCAACACATAACGATGAGCAATCTCTCCTTGCCTACTTGCAGGCCAATCCTGAGAAAATACTTCCGTCAGATGCCGATTCATATCCCACTTAATATATTCAATTGGACAACTACTCAGTATATTAGATAACTGACTGAATATATAATCTCGGACAACTGAACGAGAAAAATCCAGCACTAGTTGATTCCTTCCCACAGTTTTTCCTCTAGCTGGAATGTGAAGACACCAATCAGGATGTAAACTGTACAATTCGCTGTCACGAGAAACCATTTCTGGCTCAAACCACAAACCAAACTGCAGACCCATGGAATGGATTTCTTTCGAAAGACCTGCCAAACCATAAGGCAGCTATATATATATATATAAGCCAAGTTCTGTAAAAACCAACAAATACAAAAAAGCTTTAATACCTTTTGAAGATTGGGATACCAATCTCCCAACGAACTTGTTGTATCATTTCGATGACCAAACCAACCATCGTCCAAAACAATCAATTCAATTCCCAATTCTTTGGCTTTCGACGCCAATTCTATAACTACTTCATGACTAATATTAAAATAAACAGCTTCCCAAGTATTGATTAACACGGGAGGAACAAAATTTCTCCAGCGTTGAGGTATCAAATGTTCACAAAATAGCCGATGCAACTCTCTCGAGATGCCACCAATGCCTTCATCACTAAACACAAGAACACACTCTGGAGAACAGAAACTTTCTCCAGGTTCTAAGTTCCAAGCAAAGCCTTGAGGATTAATTCCAAGATTGACGCGAAGTCTTCCAGTTTCGCTTATTTCTGCCTCCAACTGGAAATTTCCTGAATATAGCAACGAAAAACCAAAGGCTGCTCCATGTTCTTCATTAGGTGTTCCACTAGATATGATAGCAAATGGATTATGTTGATGTGAAGAAGCACCTCTTCCACTATGACAATCATCAACTTCATATCTAACAAGAATAGAAATGGCATAAACGAACCTTTGAAATGCAGTAATTCCATCCAACAACCGCGTCTGAACTACTTGGCGTTCGCGAGCCCAACTTCCACTCAACTGCGTCAAGAAATACTCATCTGTATCAAAATCTACAGTACTACTCATTACTCGTTGTAAGGAAACCGAACTTGAATAGTATATCAGTAGGCCTACTATTGTATGCAACAAAAAAAGACTTACGAGTCTCCATTATTGATAAATACGACGTGTCTACATATTGCATTATAATCGTGCATCACTGTATAATGAAGTTCAACGACAAGTCCTGTAACAAAGTCATGCAATTCAAGAACGAGAGTAGTCGCTTCCGAAAGGTTGGTCAAATAAATGTTGGGAAAGAATTCAGGCATCGAACTTTTCCCTTTCAGAATGCGATGACGAAAATAATAAACTGGACTCAGCGTACTTCCATCTTCATAACGAACCTGGAAAGAAGGAGAGCGATAGTCACCTGTTCCTTGGTCAGCAAACTCCAACAGTTGAGTATTCTTTCCAATTACATCAGGATCTAGTTTCTGCCAATTAGTTACTTCTGTAGGATCATCAACATGAACGATATCATAATTGCCAGCACTTCCACGTTTCTTGGGTGATCCTTTAGGTGAAACAGTCTTTTTAGTTTCCTTAGAAACAATTCTCTGTCCAGGAATCAACAGTGGAGAAGGAGGCCTTTCTTTTCCTCGAGGTACGTGAGACATATCAAGGTTCAAACTTTCCAAATTATTTCCGTTGTCATTTACTTTTGAATTGACATCCACAGAACTTGCTTCTCTTGATTCTGACTCTCCTAGAGCTCTCAACATCACACCTTCACTCAGATCCTTGTTCAGATCTCCACCACGAACACGCTCCATACTCCACAATCTCCAGCTGGAATACAAAGTCACTATTTACAGAATTATTTCAGAAGAAGACTCCACATACCTTGCATTTTCTAGTCTTCTCGATTTCACTTTATCTTCAGCAGAATCCTTTGCCTTTGTATACACTTTCCACCTCTCTCTCAAGTCCATTTCGTCTTCCAAGTCTTCAAGTTCATTCAGGCCCATCATAGTTGCCACTGAGATGACGCCTCTGGGATCAAAAGGACCAGGAACATTGGATAGTGAAAGATACGACAAATCTTCCTCTATCTGTTAGTGGACAGATTAACAACAAATGATATAAGCTTGATTACCATCTTCTAGAGGAAGAAAGGGTCCCCAGTAAAGGTGTTCTAAAACTCTGCTATCGTTGACTCTGAATACATAAGCTGCTTGCTTAGTTCGTAACCGAAAGTTTCGGGTAGACGGCTCAAAAAATACGCCTGGCACATGCATATTCATTATGACATTTGTGAGAATTGTTGATTGTCGAATAATAATAATAATAGAGAAATGTTATCCACAGGGACTTGTGGGTTTTTCAGTTTGTTGGAAAGAAATATGACAAGTCTTCCTTTGAAATTAGTCAACTCTCAATCGGCTGTGCTCCATTTGAGACCCCGATACATTATTCGTTACTTTTGTTGTTATGGTAAGGAGAAGGAAACTCTTTGGCAGCTGGTTGTTTAAAATATTCGTAGAAACTGGTGAGTTTCCTGTGAAGGAATGGCTTATGAGGAAGATTGAAGAGAGAATCACTCACGATTGGTTTGTTACGCAACACGACCCACTCGGAAGTTTTTATTATGCTACTTGGTTTCAGTGAGTTTATTTTTTGAGAATCCTTTTGTACTTTAATGAAGAATGTGAACAAAGTAAGACAAAGTACTTGGCCAAGTTGCTAAAAGAGGTAAGTTGTTAATATCTCAGAGTCGTCAAGAATTTCTTTCTCAGTATTTTTTTAGAGAGAAGAAAGTGTCAAGCTTTCTTATCATAAATTGGTAGACGAGGGTTTCGTAGTGGATGAAAGTCAACTGAAAAGAACAAATAAATAGTTTGGCTATGGAGATGTTGTGAAAACTCATATTCAAATACACAACTGAATTCTTTTTGAAATTGTACAAAATAGAATGGCACGGAAGAGGAGGAGATGTTCCATGAGCTCGGATAAGGACACTTGTGTTGCTTTCCTTGTCAACATAAATAAACCCAAATGGATAACTTCAAAAGTGTTTTCGAAAGTTGTTTGTAGAAAGGCATATTTGTGTGAGAGTTCCAAGTGCAGACTGAGTGCAGTATTCTCTTCCAGTTTGGTCAACACACCTTTGTTTGCGAGTTCTCAGTTGTTTGACAAGTTGGCTGGTGGAAGTACGACAGGTGGTCTACTTGAAAGCATAGACTTGAACTTGTGGTTGCTTATGGGTGCGGTATTAGCTGCTGCACTAGTGGCCCTTCTTTTGGTGGTGTTGATTGTTCGACAATGACAATAGGATTCCAACAGGCGTCTTTATTATAGAAGATGAAGAAACCCATTTCTATGAATCATCTTAATAAAAAGTGTATTGGATTACACAATTTCTTCTGTGGGAATCTATCATCGACAACCATGTTGAAAGAAGGAAGTCGTATCTTATCAGACTTGAAGTTTCAGATTCTTCAAGAAGGAAAACCACAAGTATGAAATATTGTTCTTGAAATCTATTTCCGTTTATCTTTATATAGGTAATAACTTCAGATCAAGTATTTTCTGGAAAGAAGGTTGTTCTGTTCGGGCTACCTGGTGCTTTTACTCCTACTTGTTCCAGACAGCATCTTCCTGGTTTTGGACAAAAAGTTGATGAGATTAAATCAAAAGGAGTAGATACAGTTGCTTGTTTAGCTGTCAACGACCCATTCGTGTTGCAGCAGTGGGCAGAGTCACAAGGAGTGGCTGGAAAAATCTTGATGCTCGCTGACGGTGGTGCACAATCGGTTAAGAAACTTGGTCTTGATATAGATACTGGTGACTTTGGTGGTATCCGTTGTCGCAGATTCTCGAGCTTGATTGATAACTTTGTTGTCAAAAAGATACATTTGGAGGAAGGTACCGGATTCAGTGGTGCTTCATCTGCAGAGACGATATTGAAAGATTTGTGATAGTCATATATCTATTTGTTCATGAATAAAACTCCCCTCATGATTGTGTTGGTTGTGACTTCAACTTTCTTTTTTTACATTGGAGAGGGACCCATTCCTCTCTCATGAGACATTCAAAACCCAGTTTAGTTAACGTTGTGGAAGCTCAATGTGGAAAACCGGTGGAGATATTATTGCGAGGAGGAAAGAAAGTGAGAGGCATCTTAGAGGAGATAGAACCAGATATGAGGTATACTTTTCTGAAAAGTCGTTGGTTGGGCTCAATTTCTAAATAGTGTTTATCTGACACATATGGTTAGCCTTGATGAGGTATGTCAACTGCCATCGACTTTGAGTTTAGACTTGAGAGTGAATAGAATAATCAAAAAAACAAAGAAAAAGACCATATGAATTGCACCAACAACAAAGTGCTTTACATTCGAGCAAGGCAGATCCTCTTTTTTCACTTTTTGAAAGATGTGGCTGTCGTTGCTAATACCGAAAGTTGGGTAAGTTGAGCAGTGCTAGATTCCATAACTGTTTCTCTTATCTGTTTGTATCAGCATAGGAGAAAGGTGTCTTTGGAACAAGCAAGACCTGTTCGAAAGTTGCCCAAGGCAAAGTCGAAAGATGGGGAAGTTGCATATGAGAGTAGTTAGAGACAGGAGAAAGAAGAGTCATTGACGAACCATTAGTTCAGTAGAACTATATCCAGTAACACTCAAAACAATAACGAGCAGTTCTGTGTTAGCTTCATCGAACCTTTATACCTAAATAAGCCAATGTGAAAGATATTATGTGTTTAAAGTTGCCTTTGAATTTTATGCGATAGGTATATCCTTTCTGTCTCTGATATGTATATAGTTTATTATTCTGCATCATAACAGACACTAGTCCAAAGTTTTCATTTCAATAGCAATAAAGCCGTTTATTGTATTACATACTTCTATTGCATAGCTTCTATTATGTCTACGAGTAGTGCTATTGACTTTCAAAAGTGCTCCTAAAAACAGTTTGAAAAGTGGGTTTATGTGAACTTTCGCCAACACAACTTCTCATATGGCAGAACCTTAACCATTACCAACCAATATATCTTCAATATTCAAAAATTTTGTATACAACAAACGAATCTAAAGAATAAAAAATGGAGTCCGCCTCTTCCTCAACTTCATCGGTTGACAGAATCCAACAACAGAACGGGTATGGATTGAAAACAATCGATGCCGTTTCAAACCAATCATGGCTCGTTTACTTGCCTCGTGAACTCCAAAAAATACAGCTGTGAATGGAATCAACCAAAGCACTCTCGTAAGGCCTCCACAAAAGAGTCCAGATAAACCATCTCGTTGGACAATATTATGAAACAAGGGCCAAATACCTTGCGAATGTTGTCCCGTCATCAAATGCGTTTTCAAAACATCGAAAGGCGTTGTAAGAAAACCAGTACAGCCTCCCGCTAAGCCACCAAGGAACCATTCTATATGAGGCGGAAGAATATCCTTCTTGTAACTGCCGCGAAACAACCTTTTGAATTGTTCATATAAACCAAACTCCAACATAGTATATGGAATATCACGCAACAATGTCGCACCATAACCTGCATAAAACCCTGAAATGCCACGTGCTCTCCAAGTCTCTACAACTCCTGCTCTCATAGATGAATACATTCCTGACTGAAGACGCTGTTTAACAACTTCTCCAGGTACCAAAACAACGGAACAAGCAATGAAAGCCAAAGCTGCACATCCAAACTCTACAAAGGAGCGCCATTTTGGGTCAAACACACGTTCTGACTTCTGTTTCAGAATACCATAAACTGCAAACTTGATTGCACCTGCAGGAGTTTGAGCACCAACATTTGCGCCTAAACCTTGATAGAAACCTGATATTCCTCTTTTTCTAAATAGTTGACCAGCAACTGTTAGAGCACTTGAACGACTATGCAGTACAGAGTCAACAGATAAATCGGCCTTGAAACTCGGATTCTTTCCTTGAGAATGTTGAAGTATTGTCTTTATAGTATCCATAGGGTGCATGGTAGATACTGCCGCTGAAGTAGCGATCGCACCAGCAAAGAGATGATCCCAAAGAGTAAAATCCACAGAATCTGTAGACATTCCAAAAAGTAGAGTTAAACATAAACTAAAAACTGCAATTCACTATAATAGCTGTAATAGATAACTATACTGCGTTTACTGTGTGAATAGAAACGCCGTCGTCTTATCATCAGCATTCATTTGTATGGATGTCGGATCCGATGACTCAGATGTGGAGATAGTATCAGTCAAGAGCCATCGAAAGCAAACGCAAAAAGGCGAAAGTTACCAATGCAAGCTTAACTTTCAAGGAACCAGTTGCGATAATTGTAAGCATTTACAAACTGAAAAGCTTTTAGAGCTAAGTTGTGGACACAACCTTTGTAAAAGTTGTTGTTTACGAGCTTTGGCAGATGACTCGGGTAACTTGCTGAATAACTTCAATTGTCCTTTGCAGTTGTGTTTACAGAAATTGGCGACTCGAGATTGCCTCAAACTCTTTATTCATTTGTTCAGCTTGGGTGAACACAAGACTTGGTTGCAGTACTGGGATGAAGAAATAGAGAAATTAGGCAAGCTTGAAAAAAGAGACAGCAGAAGCGGTCTGGTTTCGTTATCTTCTAATTTGACTATTTCACAACCAAAATTATGTTATTGTGGTTATTCTGTTGACGCTTGTGCAGTAGAATGGAGTGCAGAACCCAGTACACTTCTTTCTTTAGCAAGATTTCACTGTGGGCTAGCCAGAATTTTAAGTATTAATCTCCAAATTGAGAGAATAACAACTACTCTTAGAAAGAAAGTGCCAAGGCTAATATTGCAGAAAGATTCCGCATTCACAAGCAAGAAATCATTGCGTTGTTCAAAGCGCATCACAAGATATTATTCTTCAGGAGTTGGTTTTGGTGGAAGTAGTCATGAAAAGTTTTCAGAGAACGAAAGTCATAAAAGAAAGTCTGACTATGATGATTCCTTGATATCTTCTGTTTTCGACTGTTTAGTAATAGTGCTCGATCGAAGACTAGGACCATATCCTCTGTTTCTTTGGTCCTTTTTACATCATAGTGTTTTGTCGCAAATTGTTGCCAATCTTTTGAGAAATAATTCAGTTTATGATGTTTGTTCTCGAATGGATTTGTATATGAGCCTATTTTACTTTCTAAGACTGCTTGCTGAGGATTTCACTCTGCAGTTGTTTCTCTTCATCCCTATTTCTTGTACGTATGACTATAATGGATCGGAGAAAGAGTCCGCAAATGTGTGCTTGGCAGAACTGTTGGGAGAGTTTGAGAGAAGTGTTTATTTTCTGCAAAAATCAACTTTGAACGTCAATTTAGACATTCCTCGCGCTGAAATATTCCTCATCAATATGGTTGCTGAGACTTGTGCTCGAGTACGAGGCATAAAAACTTTATATGAACGTTTTATGAATAATGTGCAAGACAGGACCGAAGTATCCATTCCAAAGTCTGAAAGAAGTGATAAGGATTTGTCACTGGAGTATTGTAATCGTCTAAAAGATTTGCAGGTAAATAATTTTTTGTTAGAGATAGTTTCGAATAATTTCGTGTCTAGTTCCAGACTTTGGAAGGTCTTTCACGGGTTCATTCAATTACAAACAAGAGCAATATGCGTAAAGAATGGAATGCTAGCAAAGGTCGTACATTTCGTCTCGCCAAAGAAATTTCAAGTCTCAGAAATGATCTTCCACTTTTTTATGGTTCAAGTATTATCGTCCGTGTAGATGAAGAAAATTTTGATGTTTTCCGAGTACTTATTTTTGGACCTGAAGGTACTCCTTATGCAAATGGAGCGTTTTTCTTTGACTTTTTATTACCAATAGAATATCCTGAGAAGCCTCCTGTAGGACGCTTTTTGAATACAAGACGTGGAGAAATTCGTTGCAATCCTAATCTATACAATTGTGGCAAGGTCGTATAGCATACGTTTTTTATATTGATTCTCACATATGATGTTTATAGATTTGTCTTTCTCTACTTGGCACATGGCCAGGTCCAAGCTGGTCAAGTCAATGTACTCTATTACAGGTAAGTGACGTTAATATTGGTAGCATTTGCTTTAGATGCTTAGATTCTTGTTGAGTAGGTTTTAGTGTCCATTCAGAGTTTCATTTTTGTTGGAGAACCTTATTTTAACGAACCTGGCTTTGAAGAGTTTCAATCCACTATTAGAGGAAAGAGAAAATCCAGAACATATAATTTATATGTCGAAGATTATACTGTTCGTGATACATTCATGATACAGCTTGATAGTATTTAACTGTTTGTTTTTGTTAGGTCAAATATGCCATGTTGGATGTTCTTAAGAAACCCTACAAAGGCTTTGAGCAAGTATTGAAGGAACATTTTAGATTGAAACAAAGACAAGTTATCCGGCAAGTGGAAGAATGGCAACAGAAAGCTAACGAAAGGACAATGAGTCCAAGTCATGACAATGTCTTTTCCGAGTTTACGGATTCCTCCTCCGTGAGTAGAATTACTTGTGGAGTTCAAATGGATACTTTGAAAAAACTAAAAGAGACATTGGAGCAACTGTAATAGTATTATTACTATCATTGACGTCCAAGCTGTAGAGGAAAATGTACAGAGAGATAGGTGACTGATTGGATATATCATTCTGTCAACACGATTTTTTAGATTAGCCACAAATTGTTTTCCATCTTGGAAATTTTAAGGTTGATTCATTTTTATTAAAACTCTATATGCATCCTTGTAAGCCCAAATACAACCTAAACTCCTCCCTTGGCAATTCTTCCTAATAATTCTTTACGCTCCTTCTCATTGTGAAAGTGAAAAGGCCTGAAATATGCCAAATATGAAATACAAAATCTAAAGAAAATTATCAAAGCTTACCTGCCATGACCTGGAAGAATCCACTCAAACGGTTCATCCATTAGTTTCTCTACACTTGACCTTTGTTCTTTCCAACTATACCAACATACTTCAGGAAAAGCACAAAGTTCACCAATCTCCATATCAAACGCTAAATGATCTCCAGTAAAAGCAACTCCATTTCGTTTATCTATTAATACAGTTGACCCTCTTGTGTGTCCAGGAACATGGACTAGTTTAAGATCCTCCGATAAATACCAAGGACCATCACCCTCCAGAATCCATTCTACTGACTGAAGAGAACCAACAGCATCTGCATAATGAATTATTCTACGTGCTTTCAAGTAAGAAGACCACTTTTCATGATCGGCAACATCGTCTCGGTGAGTAAGGAACATCCAGTCAACACAGTTTCCTGGAGCAATACGATTTTGGACATTTTTGGCCAACGGTGTAAAGAACCTTGGAGAGTCTACCAAAATAGAATTGGGAAAAGAAAAAGTTGGAGAGTCTGCAGAACTCAGCCAAAGATATGAATGGGCACCAAAGGACTTTGCAGAGGCAAATCCCATATAGAAAATGTTGGGTAAATCTGCATGAACTGGATAAGGAAAAGAATCTTGTGTTTGCTTCACAAGTTTACAAGGCCTTTCGAGTCTTATGCTTCCAGTAGGACAGGACACCAAAGCTTTAAAAGCTGCTTCCTCTTCTTGAGTTGACTCGGGTTGTTTATGCACATAGCTTTGACCATCCTTCCTTGAAAAGATATTAGGAGCCAACCAACGACAACTTTTCAAGTTGAGAGTCCAACTATCAGACAATTTAGTGTTTCTTACGTATCACAGTCGATGCAACTAGTGTCCACATAAATATTCCCGGCAACGTTTTCCTGCCGACGTTTTCTACAACTCGCAACGACAACACAATACTTCCTGCACTTTCTGTGTCGTCCATAAATCGTTCGACTCAAGTGTCTGCTTAACTTAAAAGGGCTCGTCACAAAACTAAGCTCCATCAGGAAGATCAGTAATAGGAATTAACCTTGGCAGATTCATTATTCCCCATTGTGAAATAATGGCTCCTAAGAAAGCTCGCGGCGTACAGAAGAAGGTGATTGCCAAGAAAACTCAGGAAGAAGATACACCAAAAAGTTTCAATAGTGATAAAAATGTTGAAGCTTTAGAAAATGGTATTATCATTGAGCACTGTACTAGCTGAGGTAACCATAATTGGATTCCTTGTGATGTCACGTAACTTTCAACCCCTTTAGGAACGTACAAAAGACAAGCAAAGTCGTTAGAGGCTGCATTGAAAGAACAAAAGCCCTCCTTGACAGTTTCCATTCAACCTTATGGGAAACCTCGAACAGGTAAAGGCACGTTCAACGTCTATTTGGTAAAGGACAAGACGGAAACTCTTATCTGGGATGGCAAGTCCAAAGGTCCACCTCGTAAACTCAAGTTTCCTGAGGTCGAGACTATTATTGAAGCATTAAACAAGTAAATACTTGGAAAGTCGTTCGGTCGCCAATTTCGCTCTTATGACGACTTAATACCAAAAAGAATCATTGATTCTAGTATAGGTCTGACAACGGGTTGTCTTTTTTCTTGCAGTCGGAAGAAAGGCCTCCTCGTGGAAAGGGATCGCACGACTATCAAATAGTTGTCTATTTTACTTCATAAAGTAGACGTTTTTCAAAAGTTGGTCAAGATCTTATCGGAAGGAACGCCTTGCGTTTGTAATAACTGAGTTACTTCTTCTATCATTCCTTTGACCCCGCATAATAGTGCTCCTAATCCTCATAAGTGAAAGCTTGAATACAAGCTAAAACACTTACCCGTTTTTTCAGGATTCGGAATGCCATCCTTTCTCAACCAGTGTTGAATATAACCTACCCTACCAGTCCACCTCCCTGAGGCATCACTAAGCACGAACCGTTCTCATAATTGTTTCAACAAGCAAACTTGGTATACTAACGTTGAACAAATCTTATGTATTCTAATTCCAGTCTGCTGCCATACTGAGAATCTATTTTGATAAGAGAATCTCTCAGGCGTACGAACACCATAATAAAGTTGCAAATCCTATCAATAACAATAATTATTTGTACTCCATAAAAAAAATAAAAACCAACTTTTTTGTTTGACAACTGAAGAAACTCTGTACTTTCCATAACTGCTTTGAGTGGAGAAATACCTGAACCAGTAGCTAACAAATAGATGTGTTCCACATCGTGAAGACGTGAAAGTTGAAAACCTTTTCCCATAACGGAACTTATGAATATCTGACCACCCTAAAGACAACATTCTCACTTGTTTTCTTTAAAGCACAACTCTCACATACTTTTTCCAACTCACACAACCAAGCAGTTGAGTGTGTTCTCTTCACTAAAAACTCCAAAAAAGGGGAATTTACAGCACTTGCTACAGCAAAAAAGTTTGGTTTTTCCTTTCCATTCTACGACAAAGTATTACTAAAAACTATGGGAATATGTTGAACTCACCGAAAGTTTGACGAACATTCCAGGATTCGTGTACTGTTCCAAAACAATGGAAGGTGGTTCTAGGCATAGGGTACGATGGCCTTCAGATTCGTATACATTGTGAATAACACGAGCCTTAACAAAGGGATTCAAAACGACAGTTGTAAGAAAACAACGAGTAAATACTTTATACCAGCCTTCCAATTCAGAAACGAGAACTCTTTTCCGTAACTTCCACTTCAAGGTCTTGCTACTATTCAGTCTACTGTAGGAAACAACGTTGGCTTCTCTACAAAATCTTAATAAAGAGCCAGTTATAAACTTATTGCGAGAGTTGAAAAAAGTGCTTCTAGTCGGACATTGACAAATAAACTGCATCTTCCAATAATTTATTTCAGAACAGACAATGACTGCTGAAGCAGATGCGTGGATAACGATACAGCTAGGACAGGAAGCAAACTGTGTGGGTTCTCAGTTTTGGAATTCGCGATGTTTATCACAAGTAACGGATCATTTGTTTGCTTTTACTGAGTCTCAATCCTTCTTTGAAGAATTCCCTTTTTTATAGTCCTTTATTTCGTGAAAGTTATGATGCAGGTGTAGTTGCACGACTCGTTTCGTTTGATTGGGGTCCTTTTGGAGTTGACAGGATTGGAAATGACCCACATAAGTACTCAATCTCAGACTCAGAAGGTGACTTGGGTTATTTCTTTTGGTCTCTTGTTGCCATATCATGTTTCGCTTAGGATTGGCTTCTTGGAGTGGACCAATACAGAAAATTCGCCGCAGCTCAGGTACTCTTATGTGGTTTCTGAAGATAATGCGTTGACACATTTTGTGAAGGGAAAAGCAGGAAAGACTTTTGTGAAAACTCAGTTTGTAGTTTTGACCGCAAGTCCTTGATAAATCCTCCTAGTGCTGTGCAGAGTTTACAATACTTTTCTCAGGTATCTTTGTGGTATTTTTATATGATGTCAGGGTCTCAGTTGTAAGTGCTCAAGGGAGTTGAAGCGTACAAAGACAAACTGGGTGAAGAATTTTTGGAACATATAAGGAGAGAGTTGGAGTTTAGCGAGTATGTCAGTTTTTTTTGAAGTTCACCATTCTCAGTATTTTTTACACTTTTGAATAGTCGTTTAGGAGGATTCCAGTTCATAGTGGACACTTTTTCCGGACTTTGTGGATTTGCAAGTGAGCTTTTTTACGGATTGAAAGACGAATTTCACTGCAAAGTTCCATCTATACTATTTGGATGTAGTGCTGAAAATTCGCACATCGTTCCATCGAAGGCTTACAATGAAGCAAAGTTGCTTCCATCTCTTTTAGAGAACAATGTACATTATGTACCATTGCATTATTGGAAAGGTACGAGATAATTGTCATTTGAGTGGCATACAGTTGTGATCCTTTTCTCAGTCCGCAGCACCGATAGAACAAAAGACATTTGGCCGAAGTGGGCTCCAGATCTTGCAGAGTGCTCAATACATGGACGAACCTGCACTTTGAGCGCGATTGCTTTAGATTGTTTTTATACATTACTAATAGCTCCGGATGCTGCTACTAAAAATGTCACTTTAGGTTATTTTCTACAGTCAAATAGGCATTCTACAATGAGCAGAATTTCACTATTGCCACTTTGTTCTACTCAGAGTTCAAACAAAAAATGGCGAGTACAAAAATTTATAACAGAAAGTTTTATTCAGCGAAAATCTCCGCCATTATATACTGTTGAGTTGCCATTTCAAAGATACACGTCGGAAGAAGAGAATACCAAAGACATGGCGATGTGGATAGTGCGTGGAACGAAATGGAGCCAAACATTACTTTCGGAAATCAAAGGAACTACACATTCTTCTCTTCCAGAGATAAAACAGTTGTTATTAGATGCAACAGGTAGACAGGAAGAGTCATTTATTCATACAGAGCCTTTTGGATTTCGAAGAATTGTGAATTCTGTTAGCAACCCAAATGAAGCAGAATCGACTCAACCATCATTTCGTGAAGGTGGTCCTCTGGAAGTTATAGGTGAAGTGAGTTCCAACCGTGTTTGGAATAGCCGATATTATGACATGGCAATCATCCAATTGAAAAAGTATCGGAACAGAAAATATTTTGAGGAGGCCAATCTCGACGATGAAATCGAGCAGATGATAAAGGCAAAGGATAACTTGGACAACCTGTAATACTAATACTGCTTATACAAAACAATGATTATATAAACAACCGTTTTAGAGACCTACGAGTGGAGAATTTTCATCCAAAATCAGTACTTCTCGACTATTTCTGGGCTCTTGATCGGAAGCCATTTTCAAAAAATCTGTCAAAATATGAGGCTCCTCCGAAAACTTTGCAAGTTCCTCCATTTCTCTCATTACTCGAAGACAGGTTTCTTCTCTCCAAGGGTAAGATACTACTTGTAACCCAACTGGAAGACCTTCGCAGCTGATATTATCTGCAACAACACAGTTTTGCACTTCTCTTTCCAGTAGGTCACTACAAGGTTCAAGCCAAGCGTTTCTACCTTCCTCTTCATTTACTAAAGTTATAGGAACGACTCCAGCTGGTATATTCAATACATTACATAAAAAACAATAAGAGAAGGCAGCAAGGACACGAAAGCCACTTATACAAGATCTACCCGCTGGAATAGCGCAAGTTGGCAATATGACAGCGTCTAGACGATCGCGAGACATGGCATCAACAAACTGTTCTCTTAGTGCTCTTTGTCTGGCTACTACTCGTTCTAACTCGATAACTTTTTGACAACAACCAAAACTCCGTAAAATATGTGCAGCCTTCTTGGATCCGAAAATATGCTCCAAGGCAAATGCCAATATTTTACGTACAATGCGAGGAACACAAGATAACAACAACATTTCGGAAATAAACCTGTCCTTCTCTTGTGAAGGATTATTATTTCGCATGCCGAAAAAGGAGGATAGCGAGAAAGAATTGAGTTTGCCATTTCTTGATAATAAAGACTTGGAAAAGGAAGAGGGTTCTATTCCCGCAATGGCTCTTCGTATCATTTCCATGTCATCGGATGTCATGATAGAAGAAAATATTGCAATAACTTCCCATTGATCTACAGGAAGAGTCCAATCAATGACGCGATGGCCCTTTTCTTTCAAAAGCCTCGATACATGTTGAAGTGCTCTCTCAATGGAAGGATGAGGAACAAGCCAACCATCATAGTGAATAATTCCAATGCGTAACATACTGCTAGAATTATATAGTGCCTCATCAAATGGCAACGGTGGAGAAAGTCCTCGATCAACCTTGCTGTTCCACCATCGAGGGTCCGAAAGAGTTTTCAGTATCAAAGCTAAGGTATTCACATCACAAGACATAAATCCTATGGTGGACTCAAGGCCTATTTGACCTGGATTGATGGAAGCCTCTCCTCTAGAAGGTAATCGTCCACAAGTTGGCTTGAGAGAACAAACTCCACAAAAATGTGCAGGAGCCCTCAAAGAACCACCGATATCTGTTCCTAAGTGGAAATGGGCACCATAAAGTCTTGCTAACACAGCAGCACCTCCTGAAGAGCCTCCAGGTACTCGAATGGTAGACCAAGGGTTTTTAGTCTCTCCAAATATGGGATTGACAGTCTCATATGGTGTTAAAAGTGTAGTAGGAACGTTGGTTTTGCAAATCACTATAGCACCAGCAGTTTTCAAGACTGAAACTACAGTTGCATCTTCTTCTGCTGAACGGAAACAACGGCATATAAGGCCCATTGTGCTGTCTGAGCCTTTGACATCGATGTTGTCCTTTACTGAGAATGTCAGTCCGTGAAGAGGACCTTTGGTCTGACCAGTTTCCTGTAGATGCGCATCTAATGATTTCGCCTCAAGAATGGCTTCTAGAAATAGCTCGTTAGTTACTACCTTAGAAAATAAGTAAAAATTAAGCTTGGAAGAGAGTTCAAGAACATACAGCAACTTGTCAGAGACGCAGCCCAACGACATCTTTGGCAAAAGGAACGAACTACTTTCTCCACACTAAGCTGATGGCTTTTGACAGTATCTAATATATGTGAAGTGCACAACCTATCTATCTTTGAATTCAAAAAGTACTCAAACAAATAAAAGTGATAAATACCTCGTAACTTGATCAGCTTCTTCCCTGCTGATACCAAAGTCGACAATTCCCTCACGTGCAGTACGACGCTTATACTGAATGAGCTGGACTTGAGACTTTCTTTTTTCACGAAACTCATATACAAAAAATGCTAAACATGAAAGTATGATAGACAAGACGAAAACCTCCAAGACCACCAATGAATCATTCATAATTGACAAGTTATAGAAAGGCGCTTCGAATTTTCTTGATAGAGTCGGACCACCTAGTCATTTTATGCTTGCAGAGAATACTGTCCACATAAAGTATTATGGAAGCTAACAAAAGACTCTCAGAAGTGTGTAAACTAGACTTGTTACATCGTCAGAGGGTATCTTATAGCTCCATTACGTGGCAGGGCAGTGAGTCACAGAATGAGAAAGACTTGAAAAGAGGTTACTTCCAGTGGTTCAAAAGAGCTTCTGAAAGGAAACAAAAGCAAAATTACTCTTTGGCTGCCTTGTATAGTAGTGGACATCCTTTCTACTTTCGAGCTGCCTATACAGATTCAGAGGAGGAGGAAACTTTGGTTGTGACCGCTAATTTGTCAAGTGATCCTTGTCACGTTATCAAGAAAGTGAAAACTTCTGAGGTTTCCTCAGAAGTTTGGAAACCAGAATGGCCAGAAACAAAGGAATTACAAGTAGGATTGATGTGTTTACTTGCAGAGGAAAGAAAGCTTTTAGTATTGATCGATCCGTGTTCAATGCTACTGCGAGCCTATTCCTTGGAAAATCATGAGCTTTATTGTCGCATTGAAGCAAATGATATACAATGGAAGAATGGTATTGTCATAGCTATGACTGTGGTTTACTTTCGAGATACTTTGAATATCCTTTTGTTAAGTGACTCCTTAGACGTATATTGTGTATCTTTGGCCAGTGAAAATTCTGGCAAGAATCCAAAATTTTCAAGTGTAAGTAGAGATTAACTTGTTAAAGTGGTTTAAGTTGTAGAAATGTGCATAGACTTGTGTAAATCTGAAGATGAAATACAAGAGACTACTTGGTGCCAGATTCTCTCGCAATGAAGAGAATCAAATCATATTAGCTTTAATCCTTGATAAGAATGTCATACTGTTGCATCTAGTCATGTCTTCACAGGTAAGAACACTATACATTTGTAGTAAATTATACCGTTCTGATAGTTTTATGATCAGTTGGATAATAACGTTTTATCATCTTTTTCAATTTCGACTCAAAGTCTTGGTGCAAATTATGGTTTTCCTCAAGGTGAGTTTTCACTGCTTAGTGAGAAACTTTGTAACTTTTTTGGGAAAAGTAGAGGTTTCTGATGATAGTTTCAAAGAGATATGGATTACGTATTCTCCGAAAGTTCTAGTTGCTCGTGATGTTTTCCAAAAGATTGCTTATGTTTGGCATTGGGATAAGGAAAGCAGTTGGTCTAAGAATATCAAGAGTGACTCACGTCTACAGTCGAATGCGCCGAAAATTACTATCGAAAACTGTGAACGTTTGATAAGCTTAGAACAGCACAACATTTGTTATTTGGATTCAGAGACACATTCATTTCGCTGGATGAATGAAGATTTGATTGGACTGTACGTAGAACTTGGTCAAGGAGATGCCCCCGTGTTTCCCGTAGTTGCCATTATGACGACAAATAGCACTTCGCTCTTTGATATCCAATCACCATTATGTAAACTTGCTGTTGTAGAACTTGCAGCATTAGAGTCACGTAGTAGTCATGATAAGGGAGTGGAATATGCGTTGGAGTGGAGAGGATGGACATTGGAGAAGAGCACTGCAGAGCATGCTTTTTACAATGCTATTGAAGAAAAAAACTATGATTTAGCACTGAATATATCACATTTTCACAAGTTACTTGATGACAATTCCATTATTGCCTTGTGGCGTATATCAGATGGCGATGCGGACGCTGCTAGAAGTCTCATTCAAAACGTAACAAATCCTTGTGTGATTGTGGAAGAATGCTGCCAAGGATTTGCGTCATCACCTGCTGCTTTGAAGCTACTTCTGAAACGTGCAATGGAGGTAATAGAAGATCCTCATTATGCTTCGAAAATAGAAGACGTAGACAAGAAGAAGAACCAACTTGAGTTTTGGTCTTCCTTATTGAAATTGTATCAAGATGAAAGGCTTTCTGACCTGTTGGAAATGACTGAATTTTTTTCTTATCGTATCCCGTCTTTTCTAGAGAGAATTGCATGTTTAGGCTTGACTGATATTATTTATCGTTTTCTCAAAACAGAGTCCATACTGAAGTTTTGCTTTACAGAGGCTACACCTATTACGGATACTTTCTGGCCAATTATTGGATATATTCCGGAAGTCATACCTCCACAAACATATGCTGATTTACTAGAGTTTATTATGGAACGTTTAATGCAAGTAGAGAACGAGAGAGCAAGATTATTTCAACTTGTTCGTCATCGAGCATTTCAGATAGAAGAGCGAGATGGTGATTTTGATAATGTTGCTCAATGGTTGCAAATTTTTAATGAAAGAATATTTGGCAATTGGTTTGTAAAGGAAAAGCATCGTCTGGAGGAACTGATGAATGCAGTCAAAGTAGAAGGTGCGCCAAATAATGTTTCTTTCTCCGCTTATTGTGATCAGATGAATATGGAACAACAAATGTTATTTATATTATTCCATGATACGCGACCTAGAGAAGCTATCCTTCAAGACCTTAGTGAGGACTGCGTGGAATACTTCAGGCAGAGACTATATGGAAGCACTTTCCGGATGTTTATAAGAAACCGTTTGGAGGAGAACTCCGAAATGAAGGATATTTTAGAACAACTCTTATTTCATTTTCTTTCTCTCTCTGTTGTAAGGACGGGCCCTGTTGGCATTAACTTTGTTGCCACATTCTTACAGTTCTCAGTCACATTTGATGAAATCATTTCTAGTACTGTCCATTTGGAGAGTAATGTCTCAGATGATTCACTACTGAAGCGAAATAGAACAAATGTACAATTCGCTTTGAAGGTCTCGTACGAAGCAACTTGTCGTGATCCACTTTTTGTAGAAGAATATGGCTTTACTTCGTTAGATAATTCTTCTATTGTTCGTTTAGAAGATCCTCGGCACTGGGAATGTGATTGGGATATTGAAATAATTGACTCTTTGGGTATTTTGTTTGAAGCATTGCCTACTCGAGTACCGACTGAGATAGAAAGCCAGATACGAATGTTTGAGGATCATCTTATTGTACTGGACTATTTATGGAAGTACGGCGGAAGATTTTCACTGCAGTTTCTCCTCAATGTCACTGGCGATCATCCAAATTCGGATGCACTAAAGCTGTTGAAGAATAATTTAAAGAATATTCCACTACGAGAGATTGAAGAAATTTCTATTTCGTTTCACCTGGATGAGGAAAATTTGACGCAAAAGGTACAATCATGTTATGAAAGCCTAACGGATGTTTGTCAACGCTTGGCATTTGTGGATCCTGAGGAACCTCTCCATTGGATTTGTGAGTCATTATTGATTTCAGAGTCTCCTGTTGATGTATGTTTCAAGTTCCTGATTTTATTGAGACAAGAAGAACAAGAAAAGTTAGTTGAGAGTCACATCATGAGAAAGCTACAACACCAATCTATTGTTGAAGCACGAAAATGGATATCTTCTTGGCTGCAATTTATTGCAAAAGAGCGTTTTTCAGAGTCCAGAGACGCACAAACAAAACATTATCGGGTCTTGCACAATCTTTGTGATGTTCATGACCTTCTCAATGAAACTTTTGGTTTAGTGCCTTCAAATTTGTTGTCTCTTGCAACAGATGAAGAGATGAAAAAGAATATTCTTTTTCAAGCTGCTGATTCTATATGTGCTCAGATAAACAAGTGGAAAAGACAAAGTTTTGAGTATGTAGAACAGCAGATGGTTCGGCTTGGTTCTCTTTTAGAACTTCCGAAGGAGTTGAGTCAGTTGGCATTAGCAACAGGCTCTTTCAAGCAAGGTAAGATGGAATGGACCATTGCGATCCTTCGAATGTTGGTAGAGCGACAATATGAAGATTGTTGGGAACTTTGTAACGCAATTGTCGCTTCATATCTTTCGATGCGTGTACTTCCAGAAGGAATAACGGGCAGTGACTTGAAGATGTTAGCATATTTTGCTTATTGTAATTGTCCGGATGAAGAACTTGTTACCTGGTCTGAACACTTGGAAGAGTATATAGACGGAGAGTTTCCGAACCAGTCGAGACAAGCAAACAACGACCAAGCCAAATTATCTTCAAGTTTCTCTTCACATATATCATTTTCCATCAATCCCGATGCTAGAGAATTATTGAACAACAGTTGGTCCTGTATATTTTATGAGACCGAGGATCATGAAGTTGGTTACAAATCGTTAGAACAGTTAGGTCCTTATGACGGAAGATATGAAAAACCATTGTTCGGTGTGAATATCGGAAACTCAAACATGTTGAACCCATGCGGAGGAGATCTCAACGAAATTGCTCCTTTTATTTCAGTTTGTCGAGAATTTCTGGAGAATGGATTGGCTGGAGCTTCTACGGCGTTAAGTATACTGTCAAAAATATCTTCTTCGACTTGTGATGAAACTTGGAATGCAATAATTGATCAAATGCATGATGCTTCTATAAAGTCTCCGCTAAAAGCTGGAAAAGGCTTGATTGCATTTGCTGATGGTTATCGTTATTTATGTCTTGTTAAGCAAGATGTTTCTTTCCAAAGTCAATTGGAACATTATTGTATAGATGATTGGTGTCATTTGAGGTTTGCAGATGTAATGAGTTATTGTGAGGAACAGCAAACAGCATGGAACTTATGGAGTGAATTTGTCGAAGAATGGGATTCTTATCAAGTATGGAAAGCAACTTTTGATTCTTCAGGAGAGGCTAACGAGTCGAATTTTGAGAATGAACTTGATTCTTCATCGAAACAACCAGGAAAGACTGCCATTCTCAAGCTTTGTGAGTCAACTTCGTTAGATGAAGCACAACAGGTGGTTTCTCGTGCCATCAAATTTGGAGTTTCCGAATGTTGCTGTCGTACAGAATTGTTAAGAGCTGCCATCAAAAGATATTGCACGAAACCTGACAAGTCTCTGGAGAAATCGATTTTTAGTTTTGTGGAGAATTATAAGGATATACTCGTACGTCAAGAAGATGGACAGGAATTGGAGCAACGTTTTGAATCATTTTTGGAGCAAGTTTCGGGAGATGACTATGGTGCCTTGCAAATGTTGTTTAAGATAGGCACCATGTTATTTTTGCATGCAGGATTTAGTTCCAAAGAGAATTGGTGTTTAAAGAGGAACTTGGAATTGGATGCCTTGAAAGATTTCTTTGACAAGTTTGCGCTACATTACAAGAGAAAATTCAACTTTAAGAAGTTGATAGCATTGCATGAAGAAGCTTGTCAGGAGGAGTGGTTATTGTTCATGCAAGGTTTGGATTATAATATTTCAAGAGATGAAGAGTCAAAGTTGCTTGACGAATTGTGTGGCTTAGCAAATCAACTACATGCAACTTTGGATGTCACACCTTCTTCGTCTTGGATAAGAGTTATGTGGATTCGTTTTAGATTACAGTTTATATGCGAACATTCAGAATCTCCGTTGATAGCATTGGAGGAAGAACTGTACGAAAAGGTAGAATGGTTGCAAACGTGCGAGTTGCAGGATTTGGTTCCATTTATACGCGTTGGATTACGAAGTTTAAAGGTAAAGCCAGGTATTTCGGTACGCTTGGATATCGTGATGTGTGCGTTTCACAGTATTTCTGAAACAGAAGTGGCAACTATGGATCAAAACAGTCAATATTATCAACATTGGAAACAGCTTCAAAATGAACGTTCGACACTGGAGACAATTGCAAGAATATCAGAATGGCTATGGTTAGAACGAACGGACCTAGCAGAATATTTATTTGAGCAATTGGATAGGGAAGATATGGATTATTCTCTCTCAAAGAGAGTTTTTGTAGAGTTGTTAAAGACAACCAGTCAAATACAACTTTCGGTCGATAGCGTTTATCGTGGAATGAAATGTCTGGATAGCGAATGGTTAAGTTCGGATGGAGTTACACCGGAGGAGTTGTTTAAGGAAGTTTTTAGCTCAGCAGTCGTTGAATTGCTGAATGATTTGATGATGTCCGTAGAACATGCGGAGCAACATAAGGGATGGACTCCTTGGCAGATAGGAAGATGTAAACATCTTTTATCCATATTATCAAAAGCTTTGATGCAACAAGGACAGCAAAATGATCAAGATCCTATTATGTCTTCCAGTCCCTCAACCGCATGGGAACAATCTTTGTTGCCTAGTGAAGAGGAAGACGTAGCATTAGAACAAAATACTTTGCTTTACAAACAAACGTTGGAAAAATGTTTAGAAAGAGTTCGCTCTTGGGTTCAAAATTTGCGTCAAACAGTCATAGAATCAGAATGGGTGCATTTTAATAGTCTCATTTTGGAGTTAATGGAGTTGGCAATTCAGTTGGAACAACTGCATGATTTGGAGAATAAGGAAACCGATTCGAAACAGTGGAAGTGGTGGAAACTAATGAATGAAATGACGGAGATGTTATCTTCACAAGAGAATGATAGTAGTTCTGTTAGTTTGCTGCAGCATCTTTCCAATTTAGACCGAAATATTGTGGAAAATGAAGTCGATGCAGCAAATGCTATTATGGAGGAATTGTTTCCTTTATGTCAAACTATACATGATTATCGTATATTGAATGCTTTTATAATAACTCTCGATCATGTAGGCAATTTTATTACCAAAGAGCAAAGTCATTTTCGTCAAGTTGTTTTCGTATGGTTGGAGAAATTGATTCAACTTTGTCAGGATCCAGACAATGCAGAGGGGTCCTCCTTGATCATTTCCATTACACAGTATTTAGGAAACTTTGCAAAGATGGGTTTGGAACAACAGCATATTGAAAGAATGCTTGCCAATCTTTTTGAGAAGAGACCTTTGTTGGCATCCGTTTTGGGCGTTGTTAGTGGTTATCCATCGCTTTGCAAATATTATGTATCACAGTTGGAGAGATTGGCACCTCAGGAGCCCGTTGATCTTTCTATATTGCCTTTAGTTAAAAAGTGGGTCTTGGAGGATACTTCTCATAGGTTGATTTGTGTTGGTCGTTCTTGGCTATTTGCAGTTCTGGTGCCTAGTTTACTGCAGGAAAAGGAAGAAATTTTGGATAATATTCTGGGCATCTTGGTGGATGCCGGTCTTATGGAACAAGCAGGTTTGTATTATTTGTTAATATCATTTTGAGTATTTTTTAAGTTGAGGTCTTAGGATTGTTATATATGGAAAAAGAAGCTATTCATCCTGCGTTTCGCAATAGGCATTCAGCGATTGCATTGATGAAACGCTATTATATTACGCGTTTAAAGGAAATGGGCACGAACAGCAATCCTCCTGATCTTAGAAAACATTTGTTGATGAGACTTAAATATTTGGAAAAATACTCTTATGAATAAAACGAGTTGCTTGGAATGGAATGAGATATATCCACCTTCAGAAGACACGTTTTTACTTGTGGATGCTGTTTTGAGTGACAAACGCTTTGTGCAGAGTTATTTTCAACCGTTTCCATCACTTGTTGTCGAGGTAGGTTTGGGTAGTGGAACAGTGACGACGGAAGTTTCGTCCAGTTATGATGAGAGTCAGTCCATTCTTTACTTGGCAACAGATATTCAATATACTGCGTTGCATAGCTTCAAGTTGAAAGCGACGGGTCATATTTTTGAAGTTATTCAAAGTGATTTGTTGACGTCTTTACGTCCAACTGACGACTGGATGTGTATCTTCAATCCTCCTTACGTTTCAACTGATGAAGAAGAATACAAGCGAGGGCAAACTGAACATTCGGGTGTTGCCACTTGGGCTGGTGGTATTCTAGGACGGCAAGTGATTGACCGTTTTTGCGAACAATTGTGTGTAAGTAGTCGCTGGTAGGTTTGGAAACTTGTTACTCAAGGTTGTAGGAAACAACTACAAACAGCCATCGTGTCTTACTGTATTTATTGTTGGTGGATACCAATTGTCCTTCTCAAGTGTTGCAGTTTTTACGAGATAAAGGTAACTTTGTCACTTTACAACTGGTGCACCGTAGAGTTGGTTGGGAAAGTATTCGTGTTTATCGTTGTTGGAAAACATTCCCACCACAATTGCATTAATCCATTCTTGTCTACTATTGGACTCAAATGGAATCCTCAACTGCCGTACCTATGGAAGACGTCACAGAAGGTGCTGGTGGAAGTGAGAAACCGAGAAAGAGATTTGAAGTAAAGAAATGGAACGCAGTAGCGTTGTGGGCTTGGGGTAATTGGAAACTGTGCTTGTTTTTTGGTTGTGTTGGATGAACCGCGAAAGTTAGATATTGTCGTAGATAATTGCGCCATTTGTAGAAACCATATTATGGACTTGTGCATTGAGTGTCAAGCCAACCAAGGTTCTGCAACTTCAGAAGAATGTACAGTGGCTTGGGGAGTATGCAACCATGCCTTTCACTTTCACTGTATTTCTAGATGGTTGAAGACACGACAAGTTTGTCCTTTAGGTTCGTGAATCTTTCCATATTTATGTATCCACTAAAGATTTATTACTTTTGAATTTGTATAGACAATCGTGACTGGGAGTTTCAAAAATACGGTCGTTGAGTGTAGTGTTTAGGTCAACCTAGACAAAGGTTAGAAATAGCAGCAAAGAAGCAGGCCTAGTGTTTGCTTGTTTTGGTCAGAATAACACTTTCTTTCACATTATATTTTTTCAGTGGAAAGAGAAGTCGTTTTACAAAGTTTGTGTTTCGTCATTCCAAATAAGAACTGCCTATTTCTATTGTAACGTACCTTGTGCCTTTTTATCGTTGGGTTTCTGTACGAAAAATATCCCTGTTGTACAAATTCTTCGTTTAGTTGGAGTGTTGTTGTCTACAGTTGATCCTCTTCTTTTTCCACTCACTTTTAACATATATATACTCACTCCTTATCTGGGAGGTGTGCCTTCGACATATTCTTCTTTTTCGTCTTCCTCACTGTTGCTGTTCACTTCTGTTTGGATCCAGTTGTTTTCACTTTGTTGCCCTCTCATAAAGGAACCTCCCATGGATAAGTTGCGTGAAAAATGGAAAGAATCAACACCGACAGAATAAGAATTGGATGAAAAGAGATGAGTACTTTCATCTCGGAGAGGAACATAGTGGTTATTAGAGTCTTTTGATGGCGATAAATTCGATATAAAATGTTCCTTCTCCGTTAATGAGCTAGTATTCATATGACTCTGTTCCTCCTGGGACAACTTTCTAGTGGAAAGTATAAAATCAATATCCAATAAGCATTCACCTCTTGTTCTTATGGCGAGAATCATTGGAGTTCCTGCTTGATCGAAATGTACATAAAAGGAAGCATTCAGTTGTTCCGCTAATTCTAAAGCATGTCGAAAGACAGCAAATGGAAACCCCAACTGAATCGAATCTTCATCGAGTGAATGTATCCAATATTCATCAAACTCAGTAGCATCTACAGCGACTAGGGTATGAAATCGGATACTTTTCCGTGTAACTAATCTTGTCCTATCACTGGAATAGAAGTATAGTCTCTTTTTATCCGCAATCATCTTCAATTCTTCCAACTTGCTTTCAAAGTTATGGAGAAGATCTTGGAACATTTTTGGTCTTGCGGAAAGACGACAAGAACAAGTAGCTATAGAATATACAACACGAGATACTACGTTTTGTTCAAGTGGTATAGTATAACACTTTCGAAGCTTTGACTGTGATACTGTCACTATCAAAAGGTTTGAAGGATGCAGCTTTAAATGCAATTGAAGCCAATGGATATTGGATAACATTCGAAATACTGCTGAAAGATTCTTGGTTGATACAGTAAGAACTTCAATCTCTTGCAACTTGGAAGATACCGGGTAGCCCACTGGAAAGGTTTGAAAAGACTGGAAAAAACTGGACAAGAAAGTACATTCCATTCCAATAGATTTGCCAGTACTCAAAGAGTGAACAGTCAAACTATCTTGTTTTAACCTCAACGAAACAAACTCTGTCAGTTTTGAGAAGCACTGTACCACTCTTCCCAACGATTTGATGGCGGCGCCACTGGACAACTCTAACAGAGCCAAGGAGTTTTCATCCCTCCAAAAACTAGTTTTGGAAGAAGAGGTCATAAAAACAGCAAAAATAAAGGTATCAAGGATCAATAGCTACTGACTTTCTCAACCAAGTTGCTCACTATCTACTTTTCCAACGAGCGCAAAGTTGATCCACGTCCCACATTCCCATTCAATGAATGAAAAATCACCAAATGAGAGAAATATATTGTCTCATATATTTATATATATATATATATATATATATATATTACAAACTATCAACCAATAGTAATATGAAATGGCAGAATTGCAATGGAATGAAAAACTATGTACCGATGAATAATAAATATGTTTTCTATAATAATTTCCGTGATTGCTCTTCTTCTTGATCTCTGACGGAGGATGTTGTTAGCTTCTTCTTCTTCCTGTTGTTTTATAGAAATACACCGAGGTTATGGATGCAATAGAATCCTTTTCTCACGCAATTGTCACGCTTGTAAAGTATCAAAGTCCTCTTTTTCTGGTTTTCTTTTGAAAAAAAATGCAAGTTTATCGAGGCGTGTCTTGACACAAGTTTGTACAGCCAAGGTATCCAGTTCTGAAGCACAAAAAGAGGCCGAAGAAAGGATGAAAAAGTCCCTTGAAACTGTGAAGAATAACTTGTCAACTTTAAGAACAGGAAGAGCCAATCCTGCACTTTTGGATAGACTAACGGTGTCCTATTATGGAACGGAAACTCCGTTGAAATCGTTGGCTTCAATTACCGCATCTTCGGCAACAACGTTGACAATAGAGCCTTATGATAGGAGTTATGTGAAAGATATTGAAAAGGCCATAGCAGAGTCAGATTTAGCACTCACACCGAATAATGATGGGAAAAGTATACGATTGGAACTTCCTCCTCTTACCGAGGAAAGACGGAAGCAACTTATCAAATCAGTGAAGCAGTTGACGGAAGAAGGAAGAGTAGCTGTGAGAAATATTCGACGTGATATTATGGACAAGTTGAAGAAACTTGAAAAAGATGGTGAATTGGGAAAGGATGAAATGAAGTCCATACAAGACGACATACAGAAACTAACAGATAAATATATAAAGTTGATGGAAGAAAAGGCAAAGGAAAAAGAAAAGGACTTGATGAGTTTTTAGTTGGATAATTCAAAATAGGCTATTCGTCGAGTCATAATAAAAACAAAGTCTGATTGGGGGATTTGAAGTAAGCCATCGTTCCAGAATGCGGCTAATGAAAATATAATTCTGGAATGCGATCGTTGCAGTTTTCGTGGTTTCATAAAACAGAAAAGGGAGAAGCAAAAGAAATGTTGAAGAATAAAAGAGAATGGCTTCGCAAAAATGATACACAAATAAAGCAATACCGAAAAACTTTGTTGCTTCATGGACTAGGAATTCGTACTGTGGAGGAGGACGGTAATTGTCTCTTCAGGGCCGTAGCAGACCAACTATATGGGAATGAAGACTATCATGAGCACGTTAGAAACAAAGTTTGTGATTATATGCAAGCAAATGGTCACTTTTTTTGCAATTTTCTAACAACTGAAAGACCCTTTGCCCAATATATTCAAGATATGAGGAAGGACGGTACTTGGGCTGGAAATATCGAAGTAAGCAAAAGACTCACTGAAGATTGCGCTCTTTATTCATATCTATGTCTAGTTGCAAGCTGTTTCACTGGCTTTTCATGTGAACATTCGTATTCATCAACTGGAAGAGCCGTGGTATGACATTTGCAATTTTGATGATGCTGAATGGATTCATTTGGCTTTCCATGACTATCGACACTATTCCAGTGTACGAAGGTTGCGTAACTTATTTTCCAATCTTCCAGCAAAGCATAGAGAAGTTCCTCATGAAGTAAGGTCCTTAGCTGGCAAAGAATTGGCTGAAAGAAATGGAATCAGTTATGAACAAGCCATGGTAGTATTGGATGGTACTGACTATGACTGGAGTCGTTCTCTTGACTATTTGGGGCTTATTTGCAAACATACTGCCGATATTCCGAAGAAGAAAGCACATTTAAACCGAATAGAGAAGAAGGAATTGAAAAGATTGGAACAATTTTGGAGTCGAAATAATACTGTAGAGCATAGAGAGTGGACAAACAGTGGGATTGGACAACATCATCGGTTGTCAATTTAGGAATGTTTTTCATCTGATTATGTGAATATGTTTTTTTGGGCTTCATTCTGCTTGGAATTTTTGTAAATAGCAGTAGAGAATTAGTGAATAATTTTTGTGATATAAAATGAGCAACCAACTGGAATCTTTTAATTTCGCAACGGTAACATGATGAAAACAGTCGCAACATATTAAAAAAAGAAATAATGGTTACTTCCACTTGGAAGCCATCAATTCACCCAAGTCAACAACTCTTTGTGAGTAACCCCATTCATTATCATACCAAGCAACAACTTTAACCAAGTCATCTCCTAGAACCATTGTCAATGACGCATCGATAATAGATGACTCATTTGTTTTGCGATAGTCGCAGGACACCAGTTGTTCATCAGAATATCGTAAAATGCCTCTTAACGAACCCTGAGAAGCTTTCAAAAATGCACCATTAACTTCTTCTTTGAAAGTTTTCCTGCCTACTTGACAAACCATATCCACTACAGAGACATTTGGAGTAGGAACTCGTAAAGCCAGACCATTTAGTTTTCCTTTCAATTCTGGAATAACTAAAGCTACTGCTTGTGCAGCACCTGTAGTAGTGGGAACAATATTCAAAGCAGCAGAACGAGCTCTTCGCAAGTCTCGATGTGCAGCATCCAATAGTCGCTGGTCACCAGTATATGAATGAGTTGTTGTCATAGTGCCTTTCACGATGCCAAATTCCTCATGTAGCACTTTAATAAAAGGAGCCAAACAATTTGTAGTGCATGATGCATTGGAAACAATATGATGTACTTGATGGTCATAGCTATGTTCGTTAACACCGATAACAAAAGTGCCAACGTCTTCTCCTTTCCCTGGAGCCGTTATGAGAACCTTTTTAGCTCCTGCTTGTAAGTGTTTTCCCGCTCCTTTTGAGTCGACAAATACCCCAGTAGCTTCTACTACTAGGTCAATGTTCAAGTCCTTCCATGGGAGTTGCAAAGGATCTCTGTTAGAAACAACCTTGATCTCTTTGCCATCTACAGTGATACAGTCTTCTCCAGCCCTCACATCCTTTTCAAAAGTTCCTAAAATGGAATCGTACTTCAACAAATGTGCTGCAGTCTTGGCTCCGGTAGTGTCGTTAATAGCAACTACGTCTAGATGTGAGGAAGGTCGAGTAGCCCAACACCGCAAAAAGTTTCTACCAATTCTTCCAAAACCGTTGATAGCGACTCGTACTTTGGCTTGCATAACCCATCTCTATGACGATACACTCAATTCCTATAAACGAGTTGATAGCAATGGAAGCTTACTTGATTGGCATTTGTTTTCGATGAAAGATCAAGGTCCCTGTTGTGATAGGAAACAAAAGAACTCGTAAACAAAGAGTAGCCCGTCGAGTCACTGCCACATAAGAACGACCGTCTTTTCAAAAAGGAACGTTGACAGATCGCCTGACCCAATAGACGTCAATCAAGAAAGCACATCCATCAACCCAATTATCGACATACCTGACTAGTTTTATCCTTATAACAACGATGAGAACCAACGAGGTTTACGCAACTTGTAGAAAGAAAGGCCATTGAAGACTAGCAATCCAAACACCGGAGGTCAACTCAATACCACCCAAGTCTACTGATTCCACCAAAGCCTCAGATTGCCATAGCATTCTTCTTCTTATTATCACCACATCTTCTTCTCTCGACGGGAATTTCATTTCCTATTTGTGGTGGAAAACACATTCTACCGTAGAGACTCAAAGGAAGCGTTCTCTACAGGTATAGATCGATAACTTGTCTTAAATACTATGGAAGCAAAGATTTATCGAGTAAATAAACGATATCTTCCATATATAACAAATGTAACAAACCAACAACTATCTCTACACTACGGCATCTTTTTGTGGATGAACTGACTTGGGATATTGAGCATAACGCGCCAACCTATTAAGAGCATTCACATATGCTTGTACAGATGCTACAACAATATCGGTATTGGCTGCACTACCAATAAAAGAACGACTATCTGTTTCACCACGAATACGAACTGTCACTTCCCCTAAAGCATCAATACCTTGTGTTATCGAATTGACCATATATTCTTGTAGAACAACTTTAGGAACTCCTTCGATAGAATTCAACGCCTTAAAGGCGGCATCCACAGGTCCTGTGCCAATAGATACAGCAGTCAGTTCGCGACTCAACTCCATATGCATGATTGTGACAGTCGCTGTGGATATCAACTTGTCGCCACATTGAACCTGAACTCGCTCCAATTTAAGATATTCTGTACCTTGCAAACGAACTTCATCGTTTACAATAGACTCCAAATCCCAAAGGGTTACCTCCTTCTTCTTATCCGCAAGTTCCTTAAATCGAACAAAAGCACGATTAAGCTCATCTTCTGTAAGGTCAAAACCTAGTTCTCCAAGACGCTTCCTAAAGGCATGACGACCAGAATGCTTTCCAAGCACCAACTGATTTTCTTGCATACCAATCAGCCTAGCATCCATTATTTCATAAGTAAGTCGATTCTTCAGTATGCCATCTTGGTGAATACCACTTTCGTGTGCAAATGCATTCGAACCAACAATAGCTTTGTTGGGTTGAACTATCATGCCAGTGAGATTCGAAACCAATTTGGAAGTTTTCCATATCTCTTGAGTATCCACACATGTAAGCAAAGCATTCGGATCAGGTCTTCCCAACTTGTTATTATAATATTGACGACGAACGTAAAGCGCCATGACAATTTCTTCCAAAGAAGCATTACCAGCACGTTCTCCAATACCATTCACTGTACATTCTACTTGTTGTGCTCCATTTTCAATAGCCGATAAAAAGTTAGAAACAGCCAAGCCCAAGTCATCATGTCCATGTACCGAAAGACATACATTTTCTATGCCACGAACATTTCTCCGTATTCCACGCATAAGAGAGCCAAATTCTGCAGGGGTTGTATAACCTACAGTATCTGGGACATTGATGGTTGTAGCACCTGCTTCAATAGCTCTAGAAAACACTTCGTATAAGAACTCTGGGTCTGAACGAGTTGCATCCTCTGCTGAGAATTCAATATCTTCACACAAAGACTTGGCATATTGTACAGTTCTAGTCACCGTTTCCAATACTTGAGAACGCGACTTTTTCAACTTATGCTCCATGTGGATATCCGAGGTGGCAATAAACGTATGAATCCTAGCAAAGGCAGCGTCTTTTACAGCTTCCCAGCAACGGGCGATATCACTCTACAATAGTGTTTAGAATATATTGATTTATAAAATAACCCATATTTACCTCAACAGCTCTAGCCAAACCACAAATGATGGGAGGGTTTTCTCTGGTTCCTACAGTGCGAGCAATGTTACGAACAGCTTCAAAATCTCCGTTAGAGGCCACAGGAAATCCTGCTTCTATAATATCCACTCCCAGTTTTGCTAATTGTCTAGCAATGACTAGTTTTTCTTCTCCAGTCAAAGTTGCGCCAGGGGATTGTTCGCCGTCACGTAGAGTAGTGTCAAAGAATTTGACCCTTGTGGGATCTCTTCCGGTGACAAGGTCTAGCAAGAGTCTGAAAACTGATAATCGTGGAATGTTGCTAACTTACCGTGTTTTGTAGGTTTCCAGATGGGTGGTGGCAGTGGTGGTTCATCATCCCAGGAATGGCTTGAAGAAGATTCCTTATAGCCATTGTTGGAACCTTGAAGAGATCGAAAACCGTTGGCTGCTTTGGTATATTCTTTGTTTCCCCAACTCTGCACCAGTCTTCTCTTATGAAGTTGATTCTCAACGAAGCAACTCCTTCTCATACTGAAAGCAGTTCTATCGATGGATAAAGGCTTTCCAATGTTTTCCAACAGTCCCTGTTTACTATGTAGAATAGAAGGTGTTGCGTGGAATGCCATAAAAGTGTTGCTTCTTTCGTTTCGTACTGAACAGGAATGGATATATGTCAAGGTTGCCAGGGTCATTTCCCTCTTCTTCAATCTTGTCTATTATCAAGTCCCGGTCGAAATGCTTTTCTAATTAATTAATAGATGAGACAGATATGATTGCATAAGAATGAACGAATCAGTTCCTTTTTCCATACAATCCATTTTCATCATTTACCAATATTTCGTAGATATTTTTAGTTTTTGAGAGAATGAATATTGACAACTGTGTCCGATATCCAACAGAGAGCCTTTTGTTCAACGAATGAGTTAGATTGCATTTCTTATCTTTCATGGGGAAAAAGTCAGCGAGTGTCTCAGGTAGGTCTAGTGAAGTAAACTATTTGCAACATAGCTTAACGAGAAAAAGGGCATAGAGGTTTTGAATTTAAAAAAGAAAGAGGTCAACATATTCTAAAAAACCCCCTGGTTGTCAATTCCATATTGGAAAAGGCTGCCTTGAAGCCCACCGATATAGTGTTGGAGATAGGACCTGGTACTGGAAATATGACTGTGAAGCTCTTGCAATTGGTGAAAAAAGTTATTGCAGTAGAAATAGATCCAGTAAGACAGCAATGCATGATTGGTTTGTCACTAATAGAAAATACCATTAGAGAATGACGGTAGAGCTCTATAGACGAGTACAGTTTAGCCCCCTCAAGGAACGATTGGAACTGATTCAAGCTGATATTTTAAAGTAAGTGTATTTATAAGTGTTGAGTGTTTAGTTGAAGTTTGTTGTTGTTGTCAGGATGGAACTGCCCTATTTCGATGTTTGTGTTGCTAATATTCCGTATCAGATATCATCACCGCTAATCTTTAAACTGTTGGCACATCGTCCTTTTCACCGATATTCGGTGTTGATGTTACAAAGGGAATTCGCTATGCGTCTAATAGCCCAACCAGGAAGTGAATTGTATTGTCGTTTATCTGTGAATGCAAAGGCGTTGGCAAGAGTATCTCACTTGATGAAAGTTAGTCGCAATAGTTTTAGACCTCCACCTAAAGTAGACAGCAGTGTAGTTCGTATAGAACCTAGAAATCCTCCACCTCCTGGTAACTTTTTAGAATGGGATGGTTTACTTCGTATTTGCTTTCAACGAAAGAATAAGACCTTGGGAGGTATCATGAAACAACATGCTGTACTATCTTTATTGAACTCCAATGAGAAACAGTTACAAATGATGCAAGGTTTGGAAAGTGCTATGGAACTCACCCCAATGATGACAGATGAAGAGGAACTATCCAAGAAAGAAGAAGAAGAAGAAGATGATGATGATGATAATGAAACGGAAGAGTTGAAAGGAATGAAAGAAAAAATAATGAGATTATTGGAGCAAAACAATTTTTCCAAATGTAGAGCTTCTAAAATGTCGTTGGATGATTTTAGGAGATTGCTTAAAACTTTTAACGAAGCCGGTCTTCATTTTTGCTGACTAGTGCAGTGTTTGATGTTTGTAAAATATTATCGCTGATATTGCTTGACGGCACTTTAATACTTCATACGAGGAACAAAGAAGGGCGATATTCCATGGAAGCTACGCACTTTACTCGGTTTTCTAGTTCGAATACTATTCAAATCTGAATAGTGGTTGTGAAACAAGGAATACTAGAGGTTAGTAGCCTTAGAATTGGGTATCTTCCATAGAGTTCTAAAGGCTAATAACACTTATGATACTATCTTTAAAATATGATCAGTTTCGACGTCCCCTTCCTCCTCTGTGGAAAGGAGAAGAACCTCTAAAGCTTTGAAAAGAAAACTGTCAAAACTTATGTCTTCAAGTCAGTAATAAGTATATCTTACTTTCCTCTTCCTCTACCCATTCCTCCTCCTCCTCCTCTACCACGACCTCCTCCTCTACCTCCTCTTCCAAAAGCACTAGGTTTTCGTATGCCTTGTGGCGTTCTTCCACTTTTACTACCACTACTACTGCCAGGGGGTTTGGGCAAAAACCTTTCAAGGGGCAGCAACTTCTCCGTCCCAATGAAGAATTTCTCTCCTATGCCAAAAGAAGTAGCCAAAACACCTTCAACTGGTTTTATAGTAAAGTGTACGTCTGTAATGGGACCAAATATTTCCTCGACTTTGCCGATCTGTGTCTTGTTTTCCAAAAATATCGGAGCATTAAAAAATGGGATCTTTTCGTTGGTACTCTTACAAACTAGTTCATTTTCACAAGGGTGTTGGAAAATACCCATTTCAACTAGTTGCGAAGGTGTTTCATTGCTGTAAGAACTACCGAACCGATGGTTGTTCGGTTCACGCGAAAACCGTCCACGTGATCGTCCTCCTCGAAAGCCACCCCAACTTGCCATTACAAATAAATAGGGGGAGTTACACATAAGGAATCGAATACAATTTTCTTTTATAGACACTAAAGTTCAATATGACTGTTTATTATTGTAGGTATCGGATGCAATGTGATCAAGAACAACTTGGGACTAAGACATGTGATCATTCTTCGATGAGTTGTTGGATAGCTCTGATATCTATTCAGTCTCATACAACTCTATAGTCATTCGATGCAGTTGCATATCTTACTTTATCCATTATGAAGATGAGTTGGTTGCTATGGTGACGAAGGACTCAACGGGGTTCATTTAGGGTTGGGAAGTGTTGATGCATTCCTCTTCACGTGCTTCGTTTACCACTCGAGGTGATATCCGACGACAAGTAGAGGGGTTCTCTGCAAGTGGAGAAAGAAATAAAGACACTGTAGTTGACTTGTCCACGTTTTTTGCGGAACGTGGATACTCTAATAACCAAGCACCAACGAAGTATTGGGAAGAGAAACTTGTCACTATTGGCAACGTAGTGGTTCCCAAATGGGTTCCGGTTAAAGAACGTAACTCCAGTAATAAACAAAAGGAAGGAGAAGATGAAGTTTTTATTGGTTTCGAAGCCATATATTATCCTGAACAACCACCCGAAAGGCAACCCATTACGTTGTACCAAGAAGAAAACAAAGTTGAAGAGGAAGAGCAAAGCAGAGAATGAAGACAAACTGACTTTCCGTTTGATGATGTGTTGTTGAATATCTTCTACCCTTGTGGGCTTGTATGGTCGATGGACTAGTGGAACAAGGAAGAGAAAAGGAGTAAAATCGCTTTATTCGAGAGGTTAATTGACCAGTGGAGATAGAGTATGAGATATTCTTATTATATGTGTCAAGAAAGCAAGATCCATTCCAAGTAACTTGTAGACTTCACATAATTGTTTGATAGTTGCAGTGGAGAATAAATTTACTGGAAACTTTTTTCATCCCTTGTGAGAAAAGTGTCTCAAAAAGTGGTGTGGGTTGGCCAGTGGAGGGCCTTCTTCCTATTTGAATCCCATTGCATTTGAAAAATTTTGGCGCTTGAGAAACCGTTGTCTCTCTTTTCATGTCCATAGAATACACGAGTATAAGAAATGTTGCAGTTCAACTTCGTTCATTATCTGCAGACACCGAAAACCAACCTATCATAGCTAGGGAAGAAGGGTAAGTTATAACTTCCAAGTTTGTACACGTTCGTAAATATCTCGGGTCCTAGTTGCATGGCAGCTTTAGTTGGATTCATCGAAGGCAACGATTCCGAGATCGTTAGAATAGCTGTAGAAGCAATATTGGATCTGACTAGTCACCCAGATAATGCAGAAGTGATGAAATCAGAAAGGGGACTAGTATCAGCATTGAAAGCTCTAGTTACCGACTTTGATAGAGCGGATATTGGTACTAGGCAATCAGCACATGCTTGTTTGGTTAATCTTTTGGTCCGAAATTCCAAAGAGAGTCAGGCATTTATCGCAGAAGAGTTGGCATCATTGGCCAATAAAGGTGGATTAGGAGGAAAGGAAGCGTTTGACTCATCTCTCTCAACCGTTTTGAAGCCCAAGGCTCAAAATTGTCTTTCAGAACAAAACCACGCTGACCTTGTAGATGTTCCTTTTCTTCCTCAAACACTAACCATTCGACTTTATGTTCGAAATGTTAGTGATGAAGATGTACAGTACAGAGTAGAGCGTCTGTTGGTAATGACACGTGGAGTCGTATCAGTATCCTTTGAAATTGGAACGGAGACTGTCATTGTAAGGTCCAGAATTGCTGCAGAATATGTTCGTAAAGCCATTGAATTGCGTGGTGGGTTTCCCGCAGAGATAATAGACGAAGAAGTATATATTGAGAAAGAGAATAATCAACTTCGTTCGAATGAGGCTCTTTATATTTCGAGGTAGATTCTCGGTCTTTCTCTCGTTTATGCACTTGTGTATTTAAATCTTTCTAGTGATGGACCCAAATATTTGGATGAGATGCCTAGTCGTTCTCGTCTTTCTTGGAGTTGGCAACGTGGAGACAAAATAATTGTACCTGGTAACGGCGGTGTTACTTTGGCAGAAAGATTAGAAGCACAAAGGAAAGAAGAAGCCAAAAAGAGAGCTAGAGCAACTCGTCTCGTGAATCGAATTGGAAAGGTAAGCCAAATGTCATAAAAGGAAAAGATAGCATCGATGAGTTGAAATTTCTTTAGAGTTTTGTCTCTGGTTTTGGATTTTGGTAGTCACGAGTACATTATTTTGTATCATTTTTATCCATTTGATTTCATTTTCTTTCACTGACTTTGAGTCCATTGAAGTATAAAGCAAAAGACACCTTATCAGACATTGTCTTGCAGATGAGAGACTTGCAAACATTTCACATCATTCTCTTTTTATAGTGGTCTTGAAAGAGTATCAAATAACAGAATGGAACAAGGAAAAGAATGATTCTTTATCATGTGTGTTTCTAGACACAACAAAGTAACTCAAATCAAGGTTCATCTATTCCAAAACCTTAATACGCAATAGGGTATTTTAAACCAGTTTATTCAAGATCTTCCTCTTTCAGTTCAGTTGTCATACTTTCATCATCCGTATCTTCATAAATGTGTTGTGCCATTGACCAAAGTTGTAAAATATTGTCATCTGCGACACTGGCGATAACAAAAGGTTCATTGGGATTCCAAGAAAGTTCCTGTACGGTTGACGTATGCCCGCCATGAACAAAAAGAAGTTCAGGTGGACCGTCTTCTGCATCTTCAGGTTCTTGTTCTTCACCAATACGACTTAAATCCCATATCTATCACAAACGTCACAATAATTGAAAGCAAAACGTCTCGACTACTTACTCTGACTTGTCGATCCTTTCCACATGAGGCAAACAGCGTTTCATGAAAAGGAGACCACAGCGCTTGTAAAATCTCACCAGGGTGGCTTTCAAAAACATGCAAAGGTTGATTTAGACTCCGCAAATCCCATAAGCATAGTGTTGTGTCAGCTGACCCAGTAATAAGTACATGCTCAGAAAAAGGATTGAATGCCAAACAATTGATGACGTCCTTGTGTGCTTCTACCTCTTGTGATGGATGTTCCACGTCTGAGGAACGAGTATCCCATAACATAATCTTCCTGTCATCTCCAACAGAACCGAACAGATACTGAGAATGTGCATGAAAGCTAACATCGCCAACTACATCTGTGTGACCTCCATACACATTTAACGGATTTACATATTCCTCTTTATCACCTCCTCCTAAAATATCCCACAGAAAAATGCGACGATCCTCACCAGCAGAAATAATACGACCTTCCTGATTTGGATTCCAGCAAAGTCCAAAACTAAACAAGTTTGGCTGTCAAACAGAAAATCAACTATAAAACTCACCCTTCTTTTTGAGGACTTCTTAGTCGGAGCTGTGGGGAAGCTACGTTATTAGCAGGAGGCTTCAAAGGATGTTTGGAGATATCAAAGATATGCACTTCGCCACTCTAAAGGATATCAAAAATCATTCCATGATATAATGCTCTACTTACAACAGTCTTAGTAGCGATAATTTGTGGATTCTGAGGCATATATCTTGCTCTGTTTACGTCTCCATCGTGTTTGATACGTTGAACGATGTCTATCTTTCCTTGTTGTCCCATGCCAAACCCACCATAACTCCCTAGTGTTGTTGAGATGCAGAATATATCATTAATAGCGCTAATACTAACCGTTTTCCTTATTATTATAGGCACTACCATCAACCTCTGCTTTCTCATTGGGTAACCGCACTTGTGCCAACATTAAATAGTTTTGTGCGTTGCCGTCAGTCTGTGTGCCCAATATTATTTTCTCCAAATAATAGTCAGAGTTAGGAAACTCTCTCTTTTCCTGCAAAACTATCAATTCCCACTTTTCTGAAATCAGAATATGAAACATACAGGTAACCATTGACAAGTAAGTGATGGCCACTCTAGAGGTTTAGTGACAACCAAGTCATAAAGAAATGGAGTATTCTTTCTCCATATGGCATACTCTTCCAAAATAGACTCTTCTATTTCTGTTTGTGCTTCTGGCATGAAAACTTTGAGCGCGCCCTTTTTCAATTCCAAAAAAATAACAATTTAGCACTGATTATTCATCGTTCATTTTGTCCTTTTTGATGACAGTTGTTGATTTGCAGGAGAACATTCAATATTTGAAAACCATAAAAATAGGGTTGCTATGGTCCACCATAAACTTTAAAAAAACAGTGGAATTTCTAGCTAGTTTTTATATTCATATTGCTTGTTTCTATGATAATAGTAGTGGTGGTAGTGGATAAAGGTTGATGGAATGGAATTTGCAAACGAGAAGCGACATATACATCTCCACAATATATGCTTTTACAGCTCAAGTTCCAAGATGATGAGGCAAAAGATATTCTCAGATGTCTATTTCTGGCATCTACACATAAATATATATTCATCAAAGTATGCTTTTTCAAAGCTCATCCAAAACGTGTAAACCAGGAGACCATATTTCTATAAACTCATCAAGACTAACACTAGCGATCATACGCGGGACTTCTGAATTCCAATCAAAACCTTCCACTCCTTTGATATGTCCACCATGAATAAATAGTAATTCTGGAGAACTACCATCCAGATCTTTCGTATCCAAAGAAGCTCCAATACGTGTCATATCCCACAACTACGAAAGATAAGAGGGACACATTGCAAGTGAAAGAGGTTAACTTACAAATACTTTGCTGTCAGCAGCAGAAGCAAAAAGACTAGGAGATATTGGATTCCAGTGTAACTCGGTTACTGATGTATGATGATCAGTAAACCTATACAACTCACGATGAGTCTTCCTTCTATCCCATAATGCAATAGTCGTATCATCAGAACCAGTGAGAAACAAATTTGCATTTTGAGGATGAAATTCTATGCAATTGACTCCTTTCTTATGTGCCACCCTCGATTCAATCACGCTGTGACTAGTCTTATCAAATAAAGTGAATCTCTTTTGTTCACCGGCAGCACCTACAATAGATTCAGTTGGATGAAAATGAATATCATTTATAGTCTCTTGTTGCGGATCTCTCAAGCAATTTAAAGCTCTAACGTTGCCACCGTTCACATCCCAATGATAAATACCATTATCTGGACCACCTGCTCCAAGCACTCCTTTACGAACGGGATCCCAAGCTAAGGAAAAACTTTCCAATCGGTTATTGAGTGGTGAAATGGGCATCAACAAGACAACTTCTTACCAGTTATTCTTTTCCGGTGGGCCATCAAGAATATCTAAGGGTTCTGCTTGAAGCTTGTTCGATGTCGATGTCTCTGATATATCGAACAACACAACACTTGCTTTCTATATGACATAACTATAAGACTGAAAAGTATAATAGTATAAAAACCTTACGGAAGTTCTTCCAGCTACTATATTATTTTGTTGTGGGGAATATCTTACTCGGTGAATATCCTGTCGTAACGAGCCTATATAACAGACCCGTAGCTTTGTCAAACTGAGTTCCTTTACTAACCAACGGATGAACATGAATATACCCTGAATGGAGCCAACTCATACCACTCTTCAACTCTTCCTTTAAATCATCTGAATATCCTTGTTCCTTGGAATCTGGCATATCCACTTGTATCACCATGAACGCACTATTTCCATCCCCTGCTCTTCCTAATAAAATCTTTTGTGAAAAGAAGCCAGGGCGTAAAGCCACATCTGTTTCCTAACTTGTATCATCGTCGAATATCTTGTATGGTTCCTCCACAACTTACTGGAAGCCACTGGCAACTGTAAAGCCCAAGACTGTTTCTCTTCAATATCAGTAGGTCATATAGGAAACAAGAGTTTAGTCTCCATATACGCAGTTCTTCGAACTTCTCTGGGTGTCCATCACTTGCTTCCAAAGTATTGGCATACATCGAAGTCATTCGACAGGTTACTTAGAAACGCAACAATGGGATAACTCCAATCATTTATTCCATACATGTTTCATATAGTTTGTTGTGTCAAGTTGAAGATCTTTTTCCAAAGTAACCTGTATCGATACTCTCTTAGAAATACTTTGTTGAAATGGATACATTCTTCTAGTGAGCAAAAATTGAATGATTGTGTGTCATTCTTCGTTCATTAGTTGTGAATATGGCAAAACTTCCTACTTGGAAAATTTTTTGGAACGACGCACGTAGACCAGAGTCCACTCCGTAAGTAGGCGTTTTGCACTTTCGTCGCGTTTTACCTCGCCTAGTTTCTACCTCGGTTACTTTATTGTCTTGACTTTCTCGTGGTTTGCGTTTAAACCCACTGGTATGTGTGATCCCAAGGTTGCTGTGCTGTGTTTTGACCCGTCTTTTTACAGACGAAAACTACAAAAACTCTCCCAATCCTAGGTTTGGAAGAGGTGCTTTGAAAGATTCTCATGGTTCCCAACATTAGAAAGTTGTCGTTGTTTTGTGGATAAAGTGTAGTTCTTGTTCTCCTTGCCCCTTTTCTTGGGTCCGCAGTTGATTGAAACGTCACAACAACAAAAAACACAAGTGACAACGGCAAAGATGAGCAAAAAGGGCAACAATATAGAAAACTTTAGATTTCACACAAAACAAGGGATCATATGGTATTCCTGCGAAAAGTAAACAAGGGAAGAAACACTGTTATCACTAGTCATCCACTACTGCTTTTCTCGCTTCGATGGTAGCTTAGCTTTGGCCAGTGAATAAAGCATAGTACCAATAATAGCAATAGTCGAGCCAATAAAGTTGAGCCTCGTAACGGGAGTCCTAAACACTAGAATGGAACCAAAGATAATAATCACTCTCTTGATAGTATTGCCAATAGAGAAGGATACCGGAGAAACGTTATCCAGGCAAAGATAAGAAACCTCGTTATAAAGGTGATAAAATAAGGAACAAAACATAATACTTCCAAATAACTTGGCTTTGGAAACTCCCGCAATTGCAGACACCAGAGGTGGAAAACCTTCCATCAACAAAGCAAAAGGTAACTCCATGAAAAATGATATGATAGTGATCAATGCATATGTATTCTGAGCAATCAGAGTCTTCTCATTCTTAAAGTCAACCATAGTAAATTTGCTCGTAATATTGCGAGTCACAAAGGCCACATTAGAAATCATAGCGGTGATGAATCCGGTCCAGGTAAAAGTCAGTTCAGTTGCTGCGGAAAGAGCTACACCTGATACAATAGGAACCAACGTTAAGTAGGTAAGTGGATGAAAGAATTCACCCAACACTAGTGCTGAACCGACTGCTCCAAACACTGGCTCTGCTGATTTCACAACATGAGTGAAAGAAATAGCTACCAAAGAAAAAGACATGCAAGTAGCTGCGTGACCTAACGTATGGCCTAAGGATGGCCATATCAAAGCTTTGATTAACTTTTTCGAGACGTTTGGCTTTGTTCTGAGACCTAGGACCCATAAGAAGGTACAATAGAGAGCGCCCACTCCCAATTGGATGGTAGATAATACCCATGGATATTTCCACATATTCAGCGTTCTCTTATTTGCTATGTTGAAGATGAAATTGAAGAAATACCACAAGAAAAAGTAAAATCCCACTTTCAAAGTGTGTACCAAGGTTGGGCTCACTCCTACACTGGACTTTTGAGGAGAGCCACCACTCTCCGACTTGTCTACAGCTGCTCTTATGATATCCTTTTCTCCTTTGGAAGAAGAAGCAACGTTATTGTATTTTGTTCTGAGATATGAAACGTTCAGGAACTGCGATCTAGATAAAGTAAAGCGTGGAGTTCCCAGGAGCTTTTTCGAGCCTTTTAAATAAGTTTAGTTGATATATTTAGATTGCGAAGGCTACACGAACCTTCCATGTGGCTTGAAATGCTGTTTTTGTTCTTGTTTCTTGACACAACTGTCCATCTGTGTTGTTTGGAGAAAAGTGAACAAGAAAGAGGAACAAAGGCGGCTTCTATCATCATTCCAGAGAGGGGAGATGGGGAATTTTCAGAGAGATTGAATATGCATCGCGTCTTAAAGCATCAACAACAATCAGAAACCCATTCTAGTGGTAACTGAAACGCAGTTACCGATATATCTACAAGACTGAAGACCCTTCTAAACTGGAGATGAAAGCTGATACGTTTTCCAAATGGGGTAAAGAGTCCATTTTTATTTTTACATGGAAATAACTCATTTGGGTCTCTAGTTTTTCAATAACCAACTCATAGGGAAAACTTTTCCTGAATGTTTTGCCAACTATTGCATTTTCAAATTCTTTAGGTTGAAATTGGTTATAGAAGAGGATGAAGTTAGGAAGGAATTGTCGAAGAAGAACAGCGCTTCATTTCCTTGCTTTCTAAAGACTCTTCTATTGATAGATAGATAGATAGGCTTGTGTCGCTAAAAAACTTGTCAATTGTTCCACTTGAAAAGAATATGACAAAATAGTATTGAGTACCAAAGAAAGATTCCTTTGAACTATCTCAAAATAGGTCAAGTTTTATATCTAGAATAACATGTAATAAAAGGTTAGAGAAACTAGGAGTTTCTTAAACCAGGATAAGAGGCAGATATCTCATTATTACTACTCTACGAAAATCCTTCCCTTCTTCCGCGCCGGGTTTGCTTTTTTCTACACCATCGCAGAATTTCTCGTGGAATCCCTCAATATGACAATTAGACATTTACATCTCATTTAGAATTGGGCACTTGTGTGTTTGAACGTCGACTGTCTCGTTCTTTTAATAGTGGAAACAAGTTGAGCCACCAAACTATGTCAACAGTGAATATTTTAGCAGAATTGGTATGGCTTTGTTTTGGTATTTTGCATATAATAACTAACTTCAAGGCCGCAGGGGGTGGCAGAAGTTTTCCGTAACTTGTCCTTTGAACAAGTGAGAAAGCATGAAATTGATAATGGAGAAGTTGCATTAGCTGATAACGGAGCAGTTGTGTACGTGTTTTCAAGTTACTTTGTATGTTTTCTACTAAACTCACCTTAGGGTTGATACAGGTATCTATACCGGACGTTCACCCAGAGACAAATATTTCGTTGAGAGAGAGCCTTCACGTTCTAAAATTGACTGGGGTGGCTTCAACCAACCAGTATCTCCTGCTATATTTGATGAAGCCTTTGCACTCTTTCCAAAGTATTTCGGAAAGAAAAACGTATATGTCTTTGATGGCTATATTGGTTCAAGCAAACGAAGCAGAAAGAAGGTTAGAGTGATATCAGAGAGGGCTTGGATTCATCACTTCTGTCTCAATATGTTGCTGACACCTGATAAGTTTGGTGAAACTTATCCCACACTGGAATCCTTTCAACCTGAGTTTACTTGGATTCATTCTCCTTCTATTCATAATCCCAAGTGGCGAGAACAGAGTTTGAACTCAGATGTTTTCGTAATGATCGATTTGGAGAGAAAGATGGGCCTTATTGCGGGTAATTTGTTATGAAACGAGCTTTCATTTCGTTGAATATATACATATATATATTATGATAGGAACGGAATATAGTGGAGAGGTTAAAAAAGGTTGCTTTACATTGATGAATTTCTGGCTTCCGGAAGAGAGAATCCTACCAATGCACTGTTCTGCTACACGTGGCAGAGGACCAGTAGAAGAATCTGTTTTATATTTTGGACTATCAGGAACTGGAAAGACTACTCTTTCTGCTGACCCAGAAAGAAACCTTATTGGAGATGATGAACATGGGTAATTTTAGTATTTCACATCATTCATCTTTATTTGCTGATAGGCTTTGTTAGATGGGATGACGATGGTGTTTTCAATTTCGAAGGAGGGTATGAAAAGCTGTTGGAGAACATGACAAGAACGTTTGCTAAAGTTTGTCTAGTTGTTATGCAAAGGTTATTAATCTTGATCCTTCATCGGAGCCAGATATCTACAATGCTATCAAAGAGAATGCTATACTGGAAAATGTGATTCTAGATCAAAGAAAAAAGGTGGACTATAGTGATGGATCTAAAACGGAGAACACTCGTGTCTCCTATCCTATTGAAGTAAGTTTGTATAAGGGAAGACTCAAATGTATGCCTTATTTGAATACTGCAGCATATTAGAAATTGGGAACCTTCGAGAAGAGGAACTCATCCACATGCCGTTATTTTTCTAGCATGTGATGCCTTTGGAGTGTTGCCTCCTGTTGCAAAGTTGACTCCTGAACAAGCAATGTATCACTTCGTACAAGGTATGCGATCGATATATTATATTCTATGAATAGAGTTTTTGATTGTTTGCAGGTTATTCAGCAAAAGTAGCCGGTACAGAAAGAGGAGTTAAAGAGCCCCAAGCAACTTTTTCTCATTGCTTTGGTGCTCCTTTTATGGTTCATTCGCCTCGTGTCTATGCAGATTTGCTTCGCGAAAAGGTAATTTTTGTATATGTGTGGTTTACAGGAATATTTTGAATATATTATTGGCATAGATATTGAGACATAATTCACATGTTTACCTTGTAAACACTGGATGGACTGGAGGTCCTTATGGAGTTGGCCAACGTATGAAGTTGAGGCTGACCAGACAAATAATATCTGCAATTATCAGCAATGAACTGGCGAATGTAGAGTATAACGATCCGGATCCCATTTTTCAGTTGCGAACTCCTAAAACTGTTAAGAGGTAATAATTGTTTTTTTTGCCAAGTTTCATTGTATCTATATTTCTCTGTGGGCAGGTTGGAGGATCCTTCCGTATTGGATCCGCGATCTTCCTGGAAGAGCCCTGAAGAATATGAGAAAACTGCTCAGAAACTCGCTAATATGTTTCATGAAAATTTCGTAAAGAAAGGATTTGCTTCTGGACCAGAGAAGGAGCTTGAAAAGTATGGACCCAAGTGGAAAGAGTGAAGAGAGAAGATTTGTAGGTTTCTACGTGGCTTTGTCTTCCTTTGTTAAACTAAAAGTTGTTGTTCAAAATGCTTGAAAATTGAGAGTTTCACTGAAAAAAAACTTTTCATTACGAGAAAACTATGAATATTTGAGGGAATATACCCACACCACGTCATCGCTCCCTTGTTGAGAGCATCCGTGGAAACGCGTCACTCTATGCTTGACTTTCTTTCTTTCCTGCGGCCCAAAGACAACCGTCCACAAAGGCATAGAGACCAGTGGCGGACACAAACAAGTAAATAGGGGTGTTAATATATTTGTCATACCTAAAACCACAACCTGTTAACTCACGAAGAGACTCCCTCTATCAAACCCTTACTTCCCAGCATTATAAGTGAAATAACCTTCCTGCTTCCGCTTTTGAAACTCTACGATCCGTTGAGGCACACGACTGGGTCTAAGAAACAGTCTACTAAAGAGTCCCATACTTGCGAAGACTTTTGGATGCAAACTTCCAAATGTCAAAGGAATAATAATGCAACAATTTGTTTTCTTTTGTGCCTCGTTTAAGAAGGATTTTACGGCAGGTCGTATTTCTTTTCAAAAAGACAGAGTACAACAGTTGAGGGTGAGATACAGAAATAGAGAAACTAAATATTTTGGCATCCACAATTGTATTTCAATAATAAATACTTTCTGAAACTGGGTAAAATATACAATATTGTCCAAAACAACTGACACTGAACACAATCGAATATTTCCCAGAATATACACACAAACTAAGTGACAGACACACGCGTTCTATCTTTGTTACGTAAAAACAAAGTTTCTTCGTGGATAAAGTGTGTCCTAGAGAGGTTCACGCCCACAGCTTGTACTTCTATCAAAGAAGTAACAACGACGTTTCTCATAAAAACATACAAATCAATTCATTAGATTGCTCTGTAACTACAATTCCTCGGGTTGCTCTACTCAAGAATACACACAACGCTGAACCATCCAACAAAAGGGAATATCGAGGTTCAAGAGAAGAAAAAATGGGTCAGGTAACACACTGTGACTTGCGCTCAACTCCATCGTTGCTGCTTTGTCCTACGATTTTTCTTCTTGCAGGAGAACAATTCTGTCGACTTGGCAACCTTGATTGCTTTCACAACCGCCTACACACATACACTCCATCCAAATGTGGACAAATTCTCACCGAATCCTCGAGATTGGGAAAACCCCACCACAGTATTGGCGCGGAAGTTGCGTCTCCCACCCCTGTCACAACATAGTGACTGCAAAAGTGTTTAGGTTTTTTCGTCAAAACTAAAAATAACTTGTCTCAGAGGAATAATAAGGGGTCAAAGAATATTCCTAGCTCTTCTGGAGGGGTCTTTTACCGACTTCACCAGCTATGAGCAGGCCCAGCTTCCGACCCCGTCCCATAGATTTGAACCGGCCTTTGCAGATAATACGATCAAACAAAGATTTTCCGGTTCAGGAAGAACTTTTCTCCACAAGAGGTTTACCTGCCGTAGAGACTGGCGTAGACCCTTCAGAACAAGAGGTAAGCAGTCTGTAACGTCGGTTTTCAATTTAGGTTTGACCCGCCGGTTTTTTATGAGGGTGCGTCATCGAGTGATTGAATGTACTAACGATTGGACTGATATAGGAACGGCATTTGAAAGAAGCTTTGTTGGCATCTCTTCTTAAAGATGATAGAAGAAAACATGAAATTGAAATTCCGATTCCTGTTGTGCAGGAAAGGAAGGATCCTATCTATGAATCGCAGAAACCATACCATCTACCCAAGGAATATGTTCAAGAAGGTATTTCATCACGAACTAGACTTGCGACTTGTATTCCTAACAGTTTATTGTATAGTGAAAAAAGATATTTCGTCATTCTTGGTACTTTATGAAGCAGATGAATTAGATGAAGAGTTTATTACTCGGTTGAACAACGACAGCGAGTATCAACTTTCATTGTCCGACTTTGAATATGTAATGGATATGCTGGAAAGGATTCAAGGCTCAGAGGTAGTTTAGTTATTCAAGATGTGATCTTTCTCTGATTATGATATAGGATGATTTGATTACGTCTTCTAAGATGAGAGAAGGTTTAAGAAGCCTACGAGAGATTCCCGAATCTATCAAGGAAGAAATTTATCAGCATTGGTTCCAAAGGAGACAAGAGAAGGAGCAGCCTCTTTTGAGAATTTTGAGAAAGCCACCCGCTGCAGATGATCCCAATCCATCTCTTGCTTTCCGTCCAAGAGAACATGAATCGGGTGCTCAAAAGGGAACGGAGAATACCTATGAAAATTATCGCAAGGCTGTTCGAATGAGACGAGACTTTGAAAAGTTGAGAATGATTGTAGAGCAGGTTGTAAAGAGGGAACGATTGAAACGAGAACATTTATCATGTAGCATTGTTTATTCTCGGCTTGCATTAGCACGGTCGAGTGTAAAGATGGCTGCTGTGATAAAGCAAAGTTGTATGAATGATAATAATGTGCTATGTATTTATGATAAACGAACGGCGAGTTTGAATGGGAGTTGGAATGGAACGAATATTTACATTCCTCTATCTGGATTGGCACTTCCTTCTGATGTTCGAAAGGCAGTTTTAGCTGGAAGGTTTATGTCTGACCGTTCGAAGAAGAATAGAAAGAGAAGAAGACCAGAAGATACGAGTAAGAAGGATGAAGAGAAAGAAGAGGAAGATAGAAATACAAGTCGTTTTGATGAATATGGTTTTGATGAAGCTGGTCAACGATTTGTAAAGAACATGCGATACTTTTCTGGGGGTTTTGTTGTATCAGGTGTTAATCCATACGATTTTAGAGTATTTGAAGCTGCAGCACAGCGAAATACTGTCAGGTATCCGCCATGGAATCCTCAAATCGTTCAGTTACCAGATGATGTTCCATTTTGTTCTCCGATCGCATGTCCCAGTCCAAGGGACACTCGTTTTCGTGGTAGACTTGGAAGAGGAGGACGTATCATTTTTGATAGAGTTGTGGATAGCTCCCATGGAACAGTGACACCTTTAGAGGAAGGAAAGGGAAAGTTATTTACGTCATCAAGCAATTCTTTCTTGCTGCCAGATCAAGCGACGGTTAATATGGAAAAGTTAACATCTGTTGATTCGTCGCCACGACTTCTTTCTGTGGATAATAGTATGTGGCTGAGATGGCCTTCAAAGAAGAACGGCGACTGTTTAGAAAATGGTAAGCATCCTTCTCAAGAAAGAGAATGGAGTGGATACTATATCATTCCTGCATATTCTGAAGGAACAGAAGAAGCAACCGAAAGTCCCAAACTTATTCCAGATTCGTGCAAGTGGGTTACTGATGCATAAATTTTTCGCTTAGAAATAAACCTTTACTCTGTAACTATTATTCAGGAGCGAGTCCATTTCATTTACGAGATGTTGTGCTTCCATAGAACAACAGCAGTCTAGAACAAACCATATTGACCAGAACAAAAGTATTCTTTGGAAAAGTATTGATAATTTTCCAAAATAGCGAGTGGATCTGCCGGGCTTCGATCCCGGTGCCTCACGGATGCAAACCGTGCACTCTACCAATTGAGCTACAGACCCTTTCTATCGCAAATGTTTTTGTCTTTATTTATAATATCTGGATATTCATAATTTTGTAGCTTGAGAGAGAAGTTGGATACGGTGTCATTGTAAAATGTTACCTGGTCAGGCATATCCAGTGGATGGAGGGATATTTGCAGTCGAACCGAAATACGACTGTGAACATATCAACCAATTACAGTTAGATGACGCTTTATTCTCAGAAGAAAGATTGGTTGGGTATTTTTCAGGTCACTGCGAACGCTGTGAAGAAAGAGAGGAGAACTGGGTTTGTCTTTCCTGTGCCCGACTGCTCTGTAGTCGTTATATTAACGGGCACATGAAGCAGCATTTTACTGAGAGTGAGGATGGACAACATGCGGTGGCCCTCAGTTTATTAGACCTCAGTTTATGGTGTTTCATTTGTGATAGTTATGTGTGTGAGTTTGTCAAAAGGTTTATATTTCTGTTTGTCTCATAGTCTCTTGTAGCATTTTTAGAAAGTTCGTTGATACAGCGATTTCATAGAGTGAAGTTTGGAGAATCTTTACCTGTTCGGTCAAGTAATAACGAGGCAGGTCCCTCAAGTTTGCAAAGTTTTACGTCTGGAGACGACGAAGCATTTGTTGACAAGTTTGATGCAGCTTTGAACCTAAAAGAAGACAACAGTAGTAATTTCTCTGAAACTGAATCGACTCCTCTTCCCGATTCGATCAGTGTACCTATCAAGTCCGGTATCGAATCACAGAGTAACAAAGGAGCCACACCATTGAAGTTGGACAGCGTTGAAAGTCTGGCAGACGCTCTCAAACAAGGCTCTTTTTCGAACATTGTTGTTCTAATAGGGGCAGGTATATCAACTGCTGCAGGTATTCCTGATTTCAGGACTCCAAAGACTGGTCTTTATGATAATCTAGACAAGTATTCACTTCCACATCCTACAGCAGTTTTTGATATACAATTCTTTAGACGAGACCCGCAACCTTTTTATAAAGTTGCCAAAGAATTAATGCCGATGTCACTGCAACCTACTTTGGTAGGTTTATATGAAAGATTGATTGACTACTGCAAGGACTCACATTATTCAGGCTCATCGATTTCTTGTCATGTTGAATGAAAGAAGAATGTTACGTCGTATCTATACAGTAAGTGTAACATGCTTTGGTTGATACGATTGAATTTTGGTGTAACATTTCTCTTTGTAGCAAAATGTGGATGGCTTGGAGTTGACTGCAGGAATTCCTCCATGTCGCTTGGTACAAGCACATGGCTCGATGAGCAGTGCACATTGCATCGAATGTCATGCTGAGGTATCCATCGATAAGGTGAAAGAAGCCATTAAGGATGATCGAATCCCTGTCTGTGAGAAATGTAAAGGAGTTGTCAAACCAGATATTGTCTTTTTTGGTGAAGGACTTCCTGAGAGATTTTTTACTTTATCTGTGAATGATCTTAGAGTTGCAGATTTATTACTCATTATTGGCACTTCGTTGGTGGTTATGCCAGTTGCTGGGTTACCAGAGATGGCCAATGATCAAGTCCCAAGAGTCCTTATGAATATGGAACCATCGGGTGACATTGGAGAGCGTCCAAACGATCTTTTGCTTTTAGGTGACTGTCAGGAAACTATAAAGAGACTATCGACTCTTTGCGGTTGGCAGAATGAAATGCAACGTCAAAAATTATAATATCTGAATATCACTATTGCAAGTATTATTCTTTTTTTACATGAGTGTTTGAGATAAAGCGTTTGCGTAACTCTGGGTCTTGAGACCATATCCGAGGTTCAACTCCAGTTAACTGATAAATAAGATGTTCTAACTTTCTGTAGAATTCTATCGAATCGAGTATCCAGTTCCAGTGACCACTCACAGTAGAATACGATGCACTAGCAATATAAAATTTGGCACGAGAAAGCCATCGACCGTTAGCTTTCATGTGATAAAAAAGTTGATTCTTATGATGCCCTTTGTGATCCTTTGCATTTAAAATTACTCCTAGCTGTTGTAAAGTTCTTACAATTACTGGAGGTGACTTATTAGAATCTTCCATATGACTCCATTTGTGCAATTCCGGCCATATTGCAATACAAGCCAGCAAAAACACCAAAACAGACTCGACAAAGAGCGACAAACGACTCCTCAAGTAAGCGGTTAGTAACAAAAAGGGAACAATTATCAAGCAATGTGAATATACGTTGTCGAAAAAATTCATTTGCACAATTTCCTCAGGTCGTTCAACATGCCACTGATAATATCTCAAAGCATTTCGAGACCATCGAAATGAGTCTGAAAGATAATTCGCAGATAACCAGTTGTATAAACCCGAGAACAAATCTGCCAAAAAATAAGCAACAAGTGCACCTAGTGTGAATTCCGCGGCTTGTTCAAGGCTCCTTATTCTACACAACATGTCCAATACCAAGTAGTCGGATATTAAGTCAGCTAGAACTACTACCAGTTTCTCTGAGAGAGATATAGCCTTCAAAGAAAATGTAGAATTTCTTCTATTCAATAATTCAAGGATATCGAAATCTTGAAATATACTTTTGTCAGAAACCACTACTTGTTGTCCACAACTATTCTCTCTCCTGAGATTTCTATCTTGGAGAGTTGATCGCTGCGGTGACTTGGAACAACTTTTGTCTCGCATCGATGCTTCTAACGAATCAAAAACTTCTTTCTTTTCACAAGTAACGACTGTTGAGTAAGTCCCCTGTTCACAGGATTCTTCCATGCAACAGTTTGGATAAAGAAATGGACCTTGTGTTATCCTTATAAATTTTTTCCGTAAAATTCTCAACAAAAGTTTGTTTTCCTTTCTCGACAGGGACTTGCTCAAAATATTTTTGCATAAACTCGACAAGCTCCTACCTTGTCGTAAGCGGAGTCCATGAATAGTGTTGTTACAGTCCAAAGTATAAAAACCGAAACAACAGCTTGAGTTCCCAATAATGGGCAACTCTAAGCTACACTTGAGAATGTTCATAAACTAATGAAACATGATATCAATAAAGTCAATGCCAAGTTGCAGATAGACAACCCACAGCAATAAAAAGAATGTTTAGAGCCATCCATTTGGAGCCTCTTGGTGAAAGATTGTCAGCGTAGAAACTCCACGTATGAGTCAAGTATAATGCAGACTTTGTAATGTTCGTCTAAAAGGTAAACAATTTCTTGTAGAATAATAAACTGTATGAAGATAATTACACCAAAGCGGTTGAAGGACAAATATGACTCTAATGAATTTTTCTTATGATAAACTTGAACAATGGGATCAAGAAGAGAAGGTTGCCAAAGTCTTATCAGAAGCACTTGAGTCCCAAAAATCGGTCAGTGACAAAAAAGTGAAAGAGTTTTACGAAGAGCTCTTTATTGCTACTCTTGAGGGAGCTCCTGTTGCTTATGTTTCAGACTCGAATGTCGCAGTTCGAGAATACAGCTTTTTAGTTACTACTTGTGCCCTATTTTCTGCAGTGTGGTACACTACTCGTTATCAGGCAAAACACTGCAGTCCTTTTTGCGTGAAAACTTTTGACGGTTATGTTTATTTTATGCAGTTCGGTTGTTTGTTATTCGTCTGGAAAGTTGGCAACTTCAACCCATATTATCGGATTGAAAGGGCTTTCCACCTTATAGCGAGAGCTTTAACGTTTTTCTTTTCTCCAAATATTTCTCAGGTAAGGAGGTGATCTTTAGCGTTAGATGTTGGGGATTAACTTTGTTTAGAGCACTTGGTTACGGGAACATTCCTCAGTCTTTTACATTATTAAGGAACACGCCGCATTTCATTTTAGTATAAAAGAATTATTATACGGAAGACGTTTTGTGCATCCTTCATATTTGATGGGCGCAATACGTTGCATGCCTTCGCCGTATCCTGAAGGACGTAGCCTACTCTCGGACTCTTTAAAACCTCTGACTGCTAAAGGCGCTTTACATGTAGTTCTATTCCATGACCCTTCCAAGCGCTTTATCGCTGCATGTCGACAAAAAGGGGTTGTTCCTTTATCAATAGACGAATTGGAGCTATTTATTTTACTTTCCTGGGTTGCTCAAGAACGCCTGTTGGATATCTGTGGATATATACAACTTGAACGAAGCTATCAACTAGTCAGTATTATTTTTGATTATGTCAAAGATATTTCAGTAGGTCATGATTGGCTTCTTCTCTTTGTGGTAAAGAGAAAAGACTATAACCCTTTGATGAATGCCTGGTCGCTTTACAAAGAACGATGGATTCAACAACTTCGAACCAGACAAATACTAAAAGACGTGGATGGCTTTTTGCAAAATCCACTGAGTTGCAAAATTATTTCGGATCATCTCAAGACACCGTTTCCAGTCCATGTTATATTTTACTACCGCGGTCTACAGTTACTTGTTGACACTTTTGCTTCAAGTAACTTGTTCGAAAAAGAGATTTATGACGTTGGAATTTTATGGACCAAGGAGAGAGTGACAGAGATAATTGTTCATAAGGAAAGAGGTCATACATGGCTATGCCAGTCCATCGGTGATAATCCTCCTGTAAATGTAGTTGTATTTCTTCAGTTTGAGTTAAATGAAGAACATTATGGGCAACTTGTGAGTCGTATTCAAAGTTGGTTTCATCGGAAGCAGATGTCACTCTTTCCATTAGATTGGATGGAATATTTTCAAAGAAAAGGTAAATGGAATATAGGTCATTGGCTTTAAAGGATGGCTTGCAAAGATAGTTATTTTATGGGGAAGCTTGATCAGAAAAATTTTTATTCAAAGAGTAATTATAGTGTCACTGTTTCTGGTTTGTTAAATGGATGAAAAACTCTTCGTCCCGCTGCTATAGGTTAACAATGGCATGATTTTTTTGAAAGTTGCTGGTCAAAAAACATATTTCAGAATAGTCTTTACGTTTGGCCTCGGAGATAAGGTTTTTGGGTATCTGACTTGTATTTTTCTTGAAGTTGAAAGATTGGTCATATCTTTGGATCCTGTCTGTTCTCCATTTGAAATTCCATCATGTTTCTCGACACTTTTTGGAGCTTTTCTTCTAATTCTAATAATTTTTTTCTCTCGATGACATTTAGTCAGAGTCTGTACTCCATCTTCATTGTTTTCATTTTCCTTTTGGATATTGCTGGCTTTTCTTTTTCTACATTTTGAGGTTTCTTCAGAGTTTGAAATATTCATTATAACTTCTTTCCTAGGAGTAAAGAGTCAATTGATATGTTTTTATCTTTTGATGTTTGGATTACCTCGCCTCAATAGACTTGCTTTCATTTGACTTGGATACTGATTCTGTTTTTTCCTCATTTGGTTTGTTGGTTATGTCACAGAGAATCTTTTGTATGCTGTTTTCCTGGAGCGGTAAGCTTTGTGAATTAAGATCACTGGTTTGTTTGCAGTCTTCTTTTCTACTGGTTTCCATTTGGAAGATGTATATTAGAGTATATCACCACCTTTTGGTTAAACTACTTGAATTTCTTGCTTTCTGATAGATCGAGAGAACCAACCAATACCCTGTAGCTTCAGCACTTATCCTCAGATGCTATATAATATTATATGACCTTGAGAAATTACAAACTATGCTGCATGATACAGAGAAGTTACTTTCTAGGAGTTATTGTTATTGTCTGTTCTGTTGGTCTTTGCAGTGACCACTGTTGACTAGTACAACTTCCAATAATACACAAGTGCGGGCTGGCGATATCAATAGGAAATGCTGACTCACGATCATCGCGGGCCCATTTTATATATCCACTCTCAACATTTCTTTTCCCCTCCTCATTTTGACTCCCAATATTCAAATTCAAAATCGATGTGGGCGGGTCACCCTCTCTTGAAATAAGTGGTTTGGGGATGATGGTTCATCATGGGATGTTGAGAGAGGCCTTCTCAAACACAACATTCAAACATGATGGCTGGTTATATCGATACTTGATAGAAACGATAGGCAGAAACCTTTTTCTGTAGACAACTGAATATGGGTAGTCTTAGGTAACTTTGTTCTCCAAGTTATTGGCGAATATGGATACACGTATTGTTGTATACAGACAAATAAATACGTAAAAGATGTTGTATGCTTCACACGATGCCGTCCTAAAGATGGCAGCATATCATATTCCTGTTACTGGAATATACTGGTGGAAAATGAAACCAAGGTTGACTGTGTAGAAATACCCACATAATATAGCAATACAGTTGTAAAGGTCCTTGTTTACAAGATATATCACTAGGTGCTGCTCCAAATTGTTTGAAAGCAAGAATTGGACTACTTTTAGTTTAAAAAAAACACGAGCTCGTGCTCTCAAAGTTGCATGTAGACACTTGAATTTGTAACCCGTCTCCAAGTGCAAGTTGCAGACAAGTATAAGGAACGGATGTTTACAAGGGCAGAAGCTCTAAGAACAATCGATCCTCACCCTCTTTCACACGACTATCAGATTGCTTTGTGAAGTGTTTGGTATATAACTATGCTTTGAGATCATTTACCATGAGCACATGTTACTGGTTGATAGAATTACAGCAACTATAAATGCAAGGATTCAAAAGAACGCTGTTGAAACATATTCAAAAACTAACCATAAAGACAATGGCTAAATACGTTATATGTGTCTTACACAAGAGCACACACTTATCCTCAAATAGTGGCTTCCTTTGCCAAATGCATCTCCATAATGAATATACAATAGCAATATGAAGCAAAGAACATGATCAGAACCGAAAACATTGTGTCAAAAGCAACTCCTATTGAGAACCCAAATGTCAGGACCAAAGCTGAAAACGTTATTTCGTACAACGTGACAACGGCAGTTGTTTTTTCTATACACAACTATGCTTCTTCTTCTTCTTCTTCCACGTCAAAAAACACCTAAGAACATCAGTTGTAGAAAGAAGAACGACACTTAAAACACGGAAATTCCTGATAATTTTCTGGTCTCCGTCTTTCCGAGACTTGTTTGAAAAACTATTTCAACTTTTCACGCGCAATTCTATAACTTTCACGCATTTTCACTTGACATGACCTACATAAGCGTACCTTCACAAGAGTAGCTTTCGTCTCCCCATCTTCTTCATAAGTAAAAGGAACTTCAAAAGTGTTCAGTTCCGACGCCGAATCACAATCAGTTGCAGCACAACAAGAATATCCTTTCCCTTGTAATACTTCTGTCTGGTTCAGCCATCGAAACCCTACACTCCCTTCACGCCATTGCGACAACTCAGCAATAGCATAGTCTTTATATAGTCTTTCATAGTGCCTTCTCGCCAGCCTCGTTTCCCAAGACTTTGCGTCTTCTTCTTCCGACTCTCGTATAAACCTGTATTCTCTCTTCAAGACATCCAAGTCTGTCTCACCTACAACTTTCTTGTATTTGTTCTCTCTTTGATACGGAATCACAAAGTTGTTGATATCTCGTACATGTTTTTCATAAGCGTTGAAAGCCGGTCTCGTGGTTGGTTCTTTGGGGATTTTACGAGACATTGGTTGTGAAGGATTCTTCGATCAATCACTTTCTTTTTTCATATATCACTTTACATGCATTCGGAGTATAACTATATTTTAACTATCTCTCATTCCAAACACTATTTCTACATCCAACTCTTTTATAGTTCGTACAGCTATTATATAAGGAAGGATGAAGCTCATCATCGAAAGAGAACGCACAGAGTCCATTTCTACAGTCTGAATAAGCATTTCTCTAAAGTTTTCCAATAAGGAAAGTCGACAACCTTTCCAATGAAACTAACTTGATAAGCTAACCACATGGTCAAAGCAACTTGTAACCGCATCCTTTTTTTGGTGTAGGTTTGGGGAATGGCGTCTTATTTTGGTACCACCAATTTTTATCAAGCCAGTCAACCAGCTGAACGAAACCAAGAAGCCACCTTATACGTTGGAAACCTCGATGAAAGAGTTTCAGAAGAACTATTGTGGGAACTCATGGTTCAAGTAGGTCCGGTGAAACACGTGTATATACCGAGAGATAGAATAACTGGACAGACACAGGGTTATGGGTTTGTAGAGTTCAAAAATGAAATGGACGCTATATACGCTACTAAAGTGTTGAATATGGTCAGAGTTTATGCCAAGCCTTTAAGACTTCAACAAGCAAGTACCGATAAACGAAGTATGGATATTGGGGCAAACTTGTTTGTCGGAAACTTGAGCCAAGAAGTTGACGAAAAGCTGCTTTATGACACATTTAGTGCTTTTGGGGCTATCATTGAGACACCTCATATAATGAGAGACCCAGAAACAGGGGAATCAAAAGGTTATGGTTTCATCAAATTTGACTCGTTTGAAGCAAGCGATGCAGCTATTGAAACTATGAACGGCCAATTCTTGGGAAATAACCAAGTTACTGTGCAATATGCGTTTAAGAAAGACACCAAAGAACGTCACGGTTCTCAGGCAGAACGAATTTTGGCTGCTCGAGCCAGAGCTGTGTCTGCCAACGCTTTATTGAGGCCACACTCGATGTTCTCCTTAGGTCCACAGGCTGCACTTGCCTATTCGGGACTATCTTATCCTGCAATGATGCCAACAGCTTATCCTCCTGGAGTACAAACTTTCAATTATGGAGACAAAGAACAATCTGTAAAACAACAATAAAAATTTTGAACAAAGAACGCTTTTTAATGAAAGGAAAAAAAGGCAGTTTCAAACGTGTTTCATTGACTTCTTACAAGTTGAAGATTCCTCTCAAGTTTCAGATATCGCAAAGGTAACAAGTGACAAACAACTGTACAGATAGGAGTAGTTATCAAAGAAAACAATGACACAATATGAAAGAGATTCCGTCTTTAAAAACAATCACTTTCGGAGATTTTCCAAACGACTCTCCAAATCATCTTGTTCTTCTGTTTCTTGTTTGGACTTTTCTCCATTCTGAAGCTGTACTCGTGGAACAACACCCAGCTTGCCTTCTGTTTCTAAACCGAGTTCATCTAATACCTGATTAACAACTTGCTCTGTCTCTGTTTCTTCTTCATCAGCACCCATAGTGTCATCAATAGTATCGTCCATTCTATGCGAACAACACTTCAGAACAGGTCAAACAATTAGGACTCTACTCACATTTCTTGTTTCATTCCTAATATTTCGTTTTGCTTTTCAAACTCCATCAAGATTTTCTGCATTTCTGGTAGATTCATTTGTCGATTCATTTGACGCATAGCTTTTACCACACCCGCCATCGCTTTTGCCATGACTTCGTTAGAGCGCATTGCCGTCAATTGCATGGAAACACTTTGCATTTGAGTCCGCATGCTATAAAACTTTGAAATATGTGACCTTGTACGCACTAAATCCTATACAACTGTTCAAAGAGGTCTTCCCTATAGCGAGCGGGCAACGAAGATACCTTTGCCAAAGTTTTTACTGATTGCATTTGACCTTCCTTTGCTAACTTTCGTATTTCAGACTTTGTAAAATATCAGTCATACGTGTAAAAATAGTCAACGGAGTTCACTTTCATACCTTTACCTTTCGCTCTTGTTGCTCTAACTTTGTTCGTTCACGGTCCATTTCACGAATGGCTCTATCAATACCTCTACGAAAATTCAGTAACAGGAACTAACGAAACCATCCGTAAATCCACAACCTTTTGTATCTTCTCATCCTTTCCTGTGGTGAAACTCCAAATATAAACTCTCCAAGACCCATGTTCAAGGTACACTGTGTCCCACTATTACAAACTACCCCGCCAAATTTGGGTCCCCTCAATGGTAACTTTTCATTTCATGTCTTTTTTTTTTACAAGTATTCTGTCGTGATTGGATGAAACGCCAGGGAAGGGGGAACAGTTCCTTCATTGAAGTTAAAAGAACTAGTGTCTCTTAATATACATACTTGCTCCAAATGCAAATTCTACTCCTTCTTCAGAAAGGATATTAAAACTTTGATTGGCTCCATGTCTATGTTCTAACACAAAAAGTGACTATCTTAGAGGGAAATCATATATAGAGTGTACTGTTGTAGAAAAATGGAAGTGGTTTTATTTTCGAAAATGAAAAAATAATAGTACAAAAGAAATAAATGTGAAGCTTATTTACAAGTCCTTCCGGTAAGAGAAAGAAATCAATTTATCTTCCCAATATTTAACAGTTATAATATGACAAACAAAATAAAAAAATATTAGATAGAAAAAAATTCAAGAGCGAAAATGAAGAAACGAAGTTTTTCCCTCTGCATAAACTTAAAAAGGTAAACAGATTGTATGAGACATATTTGTACTCTTTCCATAGTCTTCCAATAAGAAAAAATTTTTTAAAAAGGCCTAGAGAGTACGGAAGCCAACACAAATTATTTTGAAAAAATAATTTTAAAAATTGAAATTTAAGTCTGCTTCCCTGGTTAAACCACAATTTCTTAAACATATTGCTAGGTGGAGTAAAAATTAACAGTAGTTGATTCCAGAATAAAAGAAACTTTGAGGTAATTATTTTCTATTTATCTTTTATCTTAACTGTTAAAAATTTAAAGCAATTCCATTCAATTTGTAAGAAGTATAGATTTTTCAATTTATTTTTTAAAAAAAATTACTAATCGAGTGACAATAATAAAATAAAGTGATCTCCAAGAATCAATATCGTTCATTCCGCTTGGTTATTACTGACCAGTTCAATAGAATTTAATTTGAGATTTTAGTTTACTATTATGGTGTTTACACAAGTAAGGACTGTCAACTCCCATGTTACATTGCTTGTTTATTCTTTGTAGGCTTTCCGAGGAGTATTCAACTGTAGTCGGACTCTTTCAAGTCGTATTTTCAGGGTTTTTGATTCTGTTAGCCATGAACGTGGACTACAGAATATTTCAAAGAAATCGCTTGCTTATTTCTTTCCCAGTAGCTTCGCCGCAGAGCATTTTTCGTATTGGAACAAGTCAAGTCACGTGTTTTCGTCGAAATTGGGTGGTTTATTATTGGCTGTTGGAGCATATTCTCTTTCTTGGTATATCTTTTCAACAAAAGTGGAAGCTGATGCCAATTTTGGAGTTTCTGAACAGTTGAAGGAAGCCGAAGAAATCGAAGAACCAACGACTCAAGTTCGGTTTCCAAAATGGTTAGAGGTGATGGAGAGTGGAGTGTTGAAGAGGCAGCGTCTTCTTGGTGCAGGTCCACGATTTATGACACCTTTGAGAGTCAAAGTTTATTCTGTTGGTGTTTACGTAGATGAAAAAGAAGCGCGACCAGTATTATCTGGCTTTGATTATTCTAATCCAGAGCAGTTAGAAGGGGATGAAAGGTTTTGGTCCACTTTTTGTATTCCTCGTAGTATTCCTGGAGAGGGTAAGAAAGGGTTTGGGAAGACCTTTCGGTTGGTATGTATTCGTGAAGTTGCCGGAAAACATATGCAAAATGGTTTCGATCGTGGTTTATTGAAAAGAGTACGTGACGCAGAGAAGAAAATGAACATGCCCGATGGAAAACAAGCATTGAAAAAGTTTAATGGATTTTTCCTGGAAAAAGGTTCAATGGCAGTTGGTTGTGAGTTGTTGTTTGTTTGTTCAGCCAATGGTACTGTGGATACATGGATAGATGGTGTCCACTATGGACAAGTTAAAAATGATGCTCTTTGTTGGGCACTCAGTGACATGTTCCTAGGCATGAAACCAGTTTCAAAGGAAATTAAACAACAAACATCCAACGGATGCTTTTCATGGTTGCAAGAAAGTTAACTAAGAAAACCAACTTTTTTTATAATAGGATATAAACTTTTTATGTTTAGCTTTTAAGTAGTACCCGTAGCCGCTTGCGTGGAACCTTTTTGTTGCTCCGCATGTGCTCGCAACACAGCCAAAGCTTCCTCTATCTTTTCTGACAGGGCATCTGGTGATTCGATCAAATGTAGCACCTCTGAATTATCCATTTCCAATAACATGCCTGTGATTTTCCCTGCCAAACCAGGTTGCCGTTCATAAATCAAAGGATATAGTCTTTCTCCTAAAATTTGCTTTTGTTGTTCCGGAGAGGCATTAGTCAACAGAGCAATCAACGAAGCCGAAGAGGTTGCATTATCTGCTTGTCTCGCTTGTTGTTGTTGCCGTTGCTCTTGAGACATATCCTCTGGATTGACTCTTTCCTGATTCATCACCGGAGCTGCATTTCTTGCATTCATAGTATATTTGAATTGTTGCCCATTCAACTGCATAGGCATATTGTTTGGAGTCATTCCAGCGGCATTAGGTGCCGACGCTCCTCCTCTTCCACCACGACCCATCATCGAATTATTCGGCTGCATTCTACCTGAAGTAGATTGCATTCCATTCTGAGACAACATTGAATTTGGATTTGTTACACTTCCTTGATAATTTCTCTGCTGACTGTTCAATGAAACTGAAATATTATTATTGTTATTATTTCTTACCTGTCTCTGATTTTGCGGCATAGAAGATACGGAGTAGGGCATATAAGGAGGCGACGCTCCAACTTGAGGAACAGCATTGGTACCCACTCCAGAAGCTGAAGGATACGGCGCTCTTCCACCAGTAGGACTAGTCATAACTGGAGTTCCTCTGCCAATAAAGTTTTGATTGACAGGCCCTGAACCCATTCCTGCTCCTCCGGATGATGTACCCGCTGCTGCTGCTGCTCCGCGACCCATCATGGCCAAATACTGAGGATTAATGAAGGAAGCTTGTCCTCTACCCATCATATTTGTCTGAAGTTGCATTTGAGGAGGCACACCAGGCTGTGGATAGAACATTGGAGCTCCTGGTTGAGGATATAGGGAACCTGGTACTGCTCCTGGAATTCTCAAACCACCTGCGGCAGCTGCGATACGTTGTGCTTCTAACTGAGCTTGTCTGATTTCCTTCCTCTGCGCTAAACAAACATATAAGGGCTTTTTACCCATCATCTTTCCGTTCATTTCAGTCACAGCTTTAGTGGCTTCCTCAGGCGTACTAAAGCAAACAAAACCGAATCCTCGAGAAACTCCTTTGTCATCTCGCATTACTCGGCATGAAGTCAATGTACCGAAGTTTGAAAACTCTTTCCGCAATCCTTCTTCATCCATATCATCTGGAAGGTTTCTGACATATAAATTAACACCTTGATACTTTTTCAGGATTTCTGCCCGCTTGTTTTCAGCCTTTCTTCTTAACTCAGCCTCTCTTTCAGCCTTTTTCTGCGCCCTTCCTACATACAAACTTTTTCCCTCGAAATCTCTTCCGTTCAATTCTTCAACTGCCTTGGCTGCACATTCCGGTTTCGCAAAGTTTACAAATGCGAATCCCTTAGGTACCTCATTTTCATCTACAGGAACGTATACTGAAGTGATTTCTCCATATAGAGAAAAAAGTTCTCGAATTTTCTCCTCAGTACACATGGAGGGAATCAAGTTCTTGGTGTAAACATTAGTAAATATATGAGTTTCTTCACTAGCCTCTCTTTCTTGTCTGCTTTTGAAATAACCCACGTAGACCTGTTTATCATTAAGCAGCATTCCGTTTACTTTGTTGATCGCAGTTTCTGCATCTTCTGGATTCTCAAAGTGAACAAAACCGTACCCAAGAGAGTTTCCTTCATCATCTGTTGCTACTTTACAGGACAAGATATTCCCGAATACGGAGAAGGTATCGAATAGAGTCTTATTGTCTATGGCCTTGTCTAGATTCTTGATGAAAACATTTCCTGCTCCCGACTTGCGTATGGTAGGGTCTCTATTCTTCCACATGAGTCTCATTGGTTTATCTCTAGTTTGGGGACAAGCATAAAAATTCATCGTTTCTAAAGCTCTTTCTGCGTCGTCCATGCTATGAAAGTTTACATAAGCGTAACCCAGGGATCTCCTTGTAACTATATCTCTACAGACTCTAACAGAAGCTACTGGTCCAATAGCTGAGAATACTTCGAATAGGTTGGCCTCGTTTACTTCGGGGTGTAAGTCTCCCACATAGATGGTAGCCGACGAGACGGATGGTGCGTTAGTTTCTGTTCCAATGTTTCGCGTCGCAGCAGCAACTTTGTTTGTATCCGGTTCTTTGTTTGGTGTGCCGGAAGCTGCTTCTTGAGACTTGTTGACAGTTTGTGTCGGAGGACTTGTCTTTGAAGTTGCGGAGGGGGCAAGGGTTTGGTCTCTTGTCTGGTTGGTTTGGAAATTTTGACCCATTACGGACACTTCACGGTCACTCATTTCTATTCCCTATTCCAGTTGTTACTAAAAAACCAATTAACTTGAGTTCTTAAACAAGACAACTTTTAACAAGAAGGAAATGTCTCCACACACTCAAACACTCTGTCACCACAACACCACAAAAAATGGCCGACGTGAAGCAATTTGTAAATTGATAAATGAAAAATGGCCCATTTCATGAAGAAAGTCAAGCCTTGTTGTTGGAGTTGACTGGGTACACGAAGGATGTCTTATATAGAGCAGTCAAAATAGTTTGTGATTAATAAATGAATTTGTTAGGGTAACAAGGTTGTTCTAGAAAAGGTAACGATATAGTATGAGTTTTTGGTGTTATCACTGTGGACCGAAACTTATAGCTCAACGTTTCCCTATCTGGGCCTTCCTTGTACTTATGAGTTACAAAGGAGGTTACAAAACAGTCTAGGTTTTTCTCTTTGTACGAATTGATCGGTTGGACGTCAAAGGTTTTGTATTCACGTTTCCCTCTCAAGTACCAAGCCAGTAGGAAACAACCACAGCTTTCCAAGTAAAACGTTGAAAAACCCTACCTTTCATACAGTGGCGCGTCTTTTACTGACTCTTTTCTAAAAGCAAAACAAACTGTACAAAATAGTACTGCGGCATCCATTCTCCACATATCGTCTCGCAAAAACTAGGTCCCCTCAATTACAACCAGCTTCAACAGAATAAAGTAAAGTTTGAAATGGAATACAAACAACCTGCCTTGATAGCATTTTTCTATGAACATTTAAAGTGCGCCAAAAAAATTGTAGTCTTCGTTTCCATCCATTAGTTGCGTTGTTCCTTATTCCATTTTCCAATAGCATGAAGTATGTTCCACTATTTCTTCGTTATAAACGAGCTACACAGTTATCGTTCCACAACAAAATGAGGGGATAAGTTTACGGAAAAACATTTGTACTGAATGATAACATCGTTTATACACGATAATGATGGCGTTCACAAAAACTTCGTATTCGATGACAAGCTTCTGTAATTATGGGACCAGGAGCATTCAGAACAATTCGAGCAGCTCCATTCCAACCAAAACAGCTTCCAGGAATCACAAAAACAGACTCTTCTTTCCACAACAACTCTGTAAACTCAACATCGTTTTCAAAAGCAAGAACATTCAGATCCAAATGAATAAACATGTATAAAGCACCTTGTGGCTTTGTACAAGATAAACCAGGAATTTCCCTCAACAAGGGATAAGCTGCATTAGCATTGCGTTCTAACTGTTCTACGATTCGAGACTGTTCCTTTATACAATGCTCCGAAAATAACGTTGAAACTATGCTCTGTATAAGAGAACTAGGAACTAACATTCTCATGGTCAATTGATGTAAACATTGAACGACTCCAGCATCAAGTAATATCTCAAGTCTATCATGAACAATTAACCAACCCAGTCTCCATCCAGGAGCAGCAAATAGTTTGCTGATACTTCCGAGTGAAATAACGGGTACATTTCGACTTTGAGAGGCAACAGAATAAAAAGGTATGCCATCAAAGCACATATTTGCATATACTTCATCAGCAATAATAGGAATTTTACATTTCTCAGCCACATCCAAGATATCTTGTAAGTGTTGTTTGGTATAAACACTTCCACAAGGGTTGCTTGGATTATTTACGATAATAGCAACAGTGTCCTGATCAATTTGAGAACGAAGGTCCTCTAGATCAACCTGCCAACCATCTTCTTGTTTTAATCGATACGGCTTGGTTTTTAACCCAAGACTACTTGCTATGGTTTGAAACAACGGAAAACCTGGTTTAGGAATAAGCACAGTCTTTCCTTCATCTCCTAAAGCTGAAAGAATCAGTTCTATTGCTCCAGCAGTACCACAAGTTAAGAGTACATCCTGGGGTTGGACGGGACACTCCTGAGAAGAAAAATACTCTGCAATAGCTTTCCTTGCTTCCAGAGTTCCAAAAGACATAGTGTATCCGTTGTACTTTCCTGACAATATGTTTTCAGATAGTTGATGAACAGCTTGTTGAGGTATAACCAAGTTGCCAAATTCCGTGGGATCTCCCACAGACAAACGAATAGGAGACTTCTCAGGGTTTGGTTTTACTGTGGTATTTTGAACAAAATTTCGGATGGGATTGAAAGTATTCTTGGCTCTTTGCGAACAAGAAACGTTCCACTTGGAAGCTTGCTCTGTAGTCTCTATCTTTGGGAAGGAATTTCTATTTGGATGCTCCATAACACACACACACAAGTTGGGATGTTCTTCCAAGCAAAAGTATCGATGAGCGTCACATTCTAATGGTGCGAAGAAGATTGTTTTCGGTGAATGATCATTTTTATCAAGGAAAGCCTCGTTATTTTATTGCTGAGTGTAGCAACTATTCTTGTTTCTGTGTTCATGTTGAGGGAGTACAAAATACAAGTTGCCGCTCGTATTTACTCTTCTTTGTCTCGAAACAGAGAAGACTATTCAAGTTTATTCAACCTCGCACTCAACTGGTTGCAACACAATGTGGAGTTGTCAAAAGAATATTCTTTAGTACAGGAGAGCTATCTGGAGACCTACAAGGTAGTATTCTTATTCGTGCTCTTACACGGGAAGCGTTGAGTCGAAATGTTGTTGTCAAAGTAAGGAGATATATCAGCAGAGTTGTCGTCAAGTCTCAAAAAACCTTTCAGTTATATGGTTTAGGAGGTTCGCTGATGAAACAGGAAGGACTTGAACTGTTACAGGATACTTCAAAAATCAGTTCGATCGGTTTGATAGAGGCAGTGCCTCATTTGTGGGCTTCTTGGAGTATGATCCAGAATGCTATTGAACGAGTCATAGAAGATCCACCCGTAGGTTGAGGAACTTGCTTGTATTTTAATTGATTAGGTTGGTCTATGTAGGATATCGCTATTTTGATTGACTATGTTGGTCCTAATCTTCAGTTGGCAAGCAAGTTGAGGAAGATATTTCCTGGTTTGCCTATTGTTTATTATATTGCTCCACAAGAATGGGTTTGGGGATATGCAAACCAAAAGGTAATGTTGATCGCAACACCTTTGAAACTGCTGATGATATATTGCAGGTACCTTTTCTTCTTCGATATGTTGAAAGTATTGGTGAGATATGTGATAAAGTTTATTCCATATTTCCTGCTGAACATGCTTATTACCAACGGCATCAAATAGCGAGTGAATATGTTGGTCATCCTTTGTTTTCTTCGGACTGGAAGAAAGGGAATGAAACCAATCAAAAGAGAGCTAGAGAAAGTTTGCAGCTCGCTTTGGATGCAGTGGTTATCGCTTTGGTTCCTGCCTCACGAGAACAAGAAATAAGATATATTTTGCCAATCATGGCACAAGCAGCAAAACATATACAAGACCAATTAGTTGATGAAGATGTTGTCTTTATCGTTCCTTGTTCTAGAGATGATTTTCGAGCCAAGATACAACAACAACTAACCAGAAGTGGTGTTTCACAATTTCGAATTTATGACAAAACCAGCTCTAGTATAGTAATAGCTGCTGCTAATCTTTGTATCATGAAGAGTGGAACTGTCAATTTGGAAGCAGTTGCTATGCAAGTTCCACAACTAGTGTTGTATAGACTGAGTAATTGGAGTGCGTGGTTGGGAAGAAATGTACTCGGACTACAAATTCCCTTTATAGCTTCTCCTAACTGTGTGGAAATGCGTCTAGTTGTTCCAGAACTGGTTCAAGAGAATGCCACAGCAGAAAATGTATCAAAAGCTGCGTTGAATTTATTACGTACAAAACACGAGCAACAAAGAATGCTAACTGATTATGAGCGAATTGCCAAAGTATTGCATTGTCCTGAAGGAACGAGTCGTGCCGCTAAAAGTATGTTTGAATTGATGCAAACTGATTAAGAGACGCAATCTGTCTACATATAAGAAGCGGTAGAAAGAATAGATGGCTGTTTCTAAAACAAGTTTATTTTCTTACTTGCTTCTCCAAATCCTGTTCCCACCAGCCTTCTTTCAGTTGAATAGCCTTTCCAGTGGCATAGCAAAAGTGACAAGGAACATATTTCTTATCGTTGCAAGCAGGACATGTAACCTTCCCAGAGCCATCTTTCGCATAATAATCAACGCCTTCACACAGTGCACATAGCGTTTCTCCTGTGCCGTTGCACTGAGAACAAAGCTCCTACAACAAATGAGAAGCAACCATAACAGTTGGAATCCACAATATTTACCGAATTCTCTACTCCTGTTTGTCTTTTCAAATCAACAGGTCTCAAATCCCATATTGGACGAGAACCACTTCCACGCTCATAAAAAGGTTCCACTTTGGTCTTAAAATAACCTGCTTTGGAAGAAGATTCGGGTTTCTTTTTACTAATTGACTCTTCTGAACATGATGGACTTTGAAAATATCCTCTTTTTCTATCTATTTTTGGTTTTCCAAGGGTTTCCCTTCGAACAACGCTTTGATAAAGACAGTGGTGATCAACAAACATCTCAGTGAATCATAATCTCAAGGGAAATTGCAAGTTTCATGCAACGATTGTTGTTAAGTCTTGCAGCACTTGTTCAATAGAATGAGTTGATTTACTGTTATAAAAATAAAAACTGACATCCACAAGGGATACAAGGTTTCAAAATTGCCACTCTAGTACTACTCTTCTTCAGGAAACGAGAATCCAATTCGACTAACAGAGAAACCCATCGTCTACCAAACTTCGAAACACACACATATCCATGCACATTTCATAAAGTCAATGTAGACAACGAATGCTCCACAACTCCAATCAACTTTCTTTATAAGAACGCTGAAAACGACCAGTAACGTAATCCGACGCCAAAACAGGATTATATTTCGTAATATCGCCATATAAAGGCCGAACAATGGCATCATCATCGGGATGAATAAATACTGCAATAGAATAACGACATCGATGAGGACACCTTATCATTTCAGGTGTCACTACTACTCTATGTTTCGTGGAAGGAATCAAACCACCTGTCCATATCTCAAGTAAATCACCAGCATTGACTACTACAACATCTTCCTGTGAAGATACGTTGATCCAGTCCTGTGCGTGCTGAACTTGCAATCCTCCAAAACTGTCTTGAAACAATAAAGTAAGAGTTCCATAATCAGAGTGAATACCAGCGAGAACCTCGTCTAACGTAGCTTTAGTTTCTGCCACGGGTGGGTAACAAAGTAAGCGAAGAGTGCTTGCACTGGTTCTCTTATTGAAAAAGAGATTTTCTTCCTTTGCTTTACTATGAACTCCCAACGACCGAAAAGTATGATACTTTCTCAACACACTCTCTCCGATAGAACTGAGTTCAAGTTGTTCTAAGAGTTGCATTCCCAACTGCCAAGCTTCCATATAAAAACACTCTAGTTGTGACAGAAAAGACAAGGACTCGGGTAATAACCATCTTTTCCATAATCAACGAGAGTACGAAAAGAAAAGCTAGTACTTACGGTTGACAAGTGATGTTCAGTGCTTCTTTCTTATCTACACTGGTGCTATTTAAGGATTCCATCTGGTACTCCACATATCCTGAGTTGTTGTCACCCAGTGTTCCTCGCAAAATGCTCTTCTTGACAGATAAAGGAAGACGAAAAAACTCATGTGTAACGCGAAATGCTTGTCGCACGTGTTCCAAGGGTATTCCATGATTCCTTAGTGCCAGAAACCCCAACTTGGCAAAGTTTTCGACTACCAGTTTATCATCAGTTGAGGCACAAAATTCTTGCCAGTCAATTACAGGAATTTCCATGAAATGTTTCAAGCACAACAAATGGCTGGTTCATAGCACTTTTGCACACGACCTAGTCAATGGAGAATGTTTTTCAAAATAGTGCTTTTCGAGTTTCTATGAAAAGTATTCAAATAGTTGTGCCCATCTTAGAATGAAAAGGCATATTTTGTTTAATGAATGATATGTTCCTCTCTATTTCATGATGGAGTCAGAGTGGAGTAGTATCATTTGAATATGAAGCCTCTTGTATCAACTTGCATATTTTTGGAAACGAAAGAACTCAAAAGATGATGATATCTTTCAATAAAACATAAACGGTCTTGATGACCTATTCCAACTGAAAGTAGTAAAGTACAACTTTATGTCTTGAAAAAGTGAACGCAAGACAAAAAAATGGAGAGAATTGCAAACTTATGATTTTCAACAAGCACTTATAACTTATAACAAGAGAAACAATTACTTTTTAAAAGTATCGAAAAATAACAAAAGCAAATTCAGTTGTCACAAAAATGGCGCAATCTTGAACAATTTGGATTGAATGGGCGGCATGGAAATGTCATTTTCTATTTATCCATTCGACTGACTAGAAGCTTGGCTGTTTATCTTGTTCTCAATGGTGAAGGTTTCAAGGTTAGTCTTTTTTATTTTGCTGGTGAGTTAACAAACATTGGTCAGTTTTTTATAGCTTATAGTTGTTTTTAGTTCGTTACTTGGTTTGGTTATGTGCGTTGCAAGACAGACACGCAGGAGTTGTTTCACCGGGTACGTCAACTTCTCTGACAACAGAATAAGTGTTCTCCAACTCTTTCGTTTAGTCTTCAGATTCTATCCATTTACAAAGTTCGAAAGATTCAGTTAAGAACTCTGAGGAAGAATCCTTCGAATTTCGAGCCGAAGTTCAACGGCTCATGAACATCATCATACATTCACTGTATTCCAATAAGGAAATATTCTTCAGAGAGTTGGTTTCAAACTCTGCAGATGCACTGGAAAAGTTGCGTTTTCTTTCTTTAACAAACAGGACGCTTCTTGGTGATGAAAGTGTCGACAACTTGAAGATTCAGATTGATTTCGATCCAGAGAATATGACTATAACTATTGAAGATAACGGCATAGGTATGACCAAACAAGAGCTGATTAACAACCTGGGAGTGGTAGCAAGAAGTGGTACTCTAAACTTCTTGGAACAGCTTAAAGATCAGAAGGACTCTTCGTTGATCGGACAGTTTGGAGTTGGCTTTTATGCAGCTTATCTAGTTGCAGATAAAGTGTCTGTCATATCCAAAAGTATTTATGACAAGGCATATGTTTGGGAAAGCAATGCTGATAAAACATTTACCGTGAAGGAGTATGTAGACCAAAGCATAGGTTTGTTCCACTTTTCGTCAAACTATAAGGCTGTCTATATTCACGATATTTCTTTCTAGGGAGAGGGACAAAAGTCATTTTACATGTGAGACAAGATTCGACCGAATTCTTGAGCGAACATGCTTTGAGACAACTTGTTGACAAATATTGTCGATTTATCACCTTTCCAATCTATATGAAAGTGGAGAGCAGTGTTTCTGACGAAGAGACTTTGGAGGAAGAAGAAGAAGAAGAAGCAACATTAGACTCATCCCAACCAAAAACTAAGACACAAGTGAAAAATGTTCAGTTAAATGAACAAAAGCCAACTTGGTTAAAGGACCCTAGCGAAGTGAAGGAAGATGAATACAAAGCATTATTTCTCTCCTTGTCTCCCTATTCAAAAGTAAGTTATTGTCTCGTTTGTAGACAAGTTCTTGCCTATCCTAATTGTGACTAGAATTATCTCACAAAAACACATTTTCGTGCTGAGGGAGAAATAGAATTTCGAAGTATTTTATTTGTTCCAGAGAGACTGCCGTTTGACTTTTTCTCGGAAGAGTCGGAAGGAAGCCCTATTAAGCTCTACTTGAAACGAGTATTGGTATCCGATAAATTTGCCAAAGATGCATTGCTTCCTCGCTGGCTATCATTTGTTCTTGGCATCGTGGATTCCGATGACCTTCCTATTAATATATCTAGAGAAATGTTGCAACAGAGCAGTATCGTTCAACTCATCAGAAAAAAATTGATCCAAAAGTCTTTAGAAATGATCCGTAACCTTGCCACCAGTGATGAAGTGGAATCCTCATCATCTGGACACAGAGGTATCAATTCGGCAAAAAGTTCAAATTATTCGCAGTAAGTTATACTCTTTATTGTAAAGAAAATGAATTTTAATGTTGCAGGTTTTGGAAACAATATGGAAAATATATAAAATTGGGTGTTATTGAAGACAGTGAATATCGAAAGAAATTGGTAAACTTGTTACGTTTCCAATCTTCCAAGACGAATGAACATGATCCAAATGATTATACAGTATGCATACCTTGTTCTCTCGTATAACACTATTCTCATATTGTCTTCTAGTCTCTAAAAAGTTATGTCGCGAGAATGAAAGCTGGTCAAGATGTTATTTATTACCTTGCAGGAGAATCGGGTGCCAGCGTTAGAAAATCTCCTCTTTTAGAACAGCTTCAAGCCAAAAATTTTGAAGTTTTATTCCTAACAGAACCCATCGATGAATATTTGATGCAGACTTTAACGGAGTTTGAAAGCTACAAATTCATAGATGTCAGTAAGGAGAACTTGCGTTTGGGTGACGATGAAAAAGCTATCCGAGCCAAGTTGTCAAAAGCCAAGAAACAATTTCAGCCTTTGATAGACCATTTGGAGCAGACACTTTCTGAACATGTCACTCGAGTGAAAGTAACTAGTCGCCTGGTAAACACTCCATGTATGTTGGTTTCTGCAGAAGGAGGATATTCAGCGAATACAGAACGTATTCTAAGAGCACAAGCACTAGCTAATCCCGAAATGTTTTCTTTCTATTCACCTAAAAAAGTATTGGAAATCAATCCCGACCACACTATTATCAAAAGGATGTTACAGTTTGTGAAAAAGAGAAAGGGGAAGAAAGAAAAGGACGATATTTCTCTCATGTTGTACGAGTTGGCAGCCATCTCATCCGGATTTCAGCTTGATGATATTTCAGGTTTCTCTCAAAGAATGCTGAAAGTGATTTCCTTGATGTTGGATAACGAGAAAGTTTTCGCACAAGACTTTTCAACCATCAACGAAGAAGAGATTCAAGACAACCATGGCGGCAACAGAGAAAGGAACGAAGAGAAAGAGCAAACAGGTGACTCACTTAAGAACGAAATATTCGATACTGTTGATCATGAAGAACTTTAGCTGTGATATATTGAAAGATTTCATTTTTCTTTGTTGCTTTTTGCACTGGTTTTCGCTGGTAGAATAATAAATAAGGTCTTTTCCCCTTTTAGATTTTGTTCTTCCTGCATTATTGCCCTTCTTGGGAAATTTCAAATCGTGGAATTGGCCGTTATGTCGAACCATCCACGGCTCATTCATGCCACTTGGACTTTACAAGGATATTTTATATGTTCTTTCAACGACAAAACAATATTTGTGATACATCCAACTGGAAAACGTTATTGGATAAAGCAATCGAGAAACAGAAACTCATCCAGTGAATGGCTTGGAAGCATTTTCTGTCCACCACGTCATTGGAAACCTTACATCCAACAAGCCGTACCTTTGCGAAATCATTGGACTCAATACCCTATATGGTTCAATACGCAGTTGGGTAACTACGAGATTTTTCAATGGCAAGAAATGATAAAGAAGATATCATGGCCTGGTAATCTCCAACTGAATGACTATCTATCGGTGAATCTGACTCCATTGGCTACTATCCTCTATTCTCTGGACAGAGATGCTGCTTTGATTCTTTTTCGACACCAACAGTTGGTGCAAATGTGTATATCTCCTAGGAAACTACAAAATAGAGAAATTTCAGATGATTTAGAACGGTGGGTTCATCAACATGTATATCGCCTACCATCCTCCACTACTAACTTGGAGAGAGAGGATAATAATATGATTGTACAAACTTTTCCAATCTCTCAGTGCCCATTCATTTTTCGAGAAGCCTTATCCCTAGTTCTCAATCACTTTGGTCACATGTTGGATGAGACAATAATTCAACAAGAGCCTTTTTATGAGCATACTTATGAACTCATTCCATTGGATCATGTCGTGCAGCATACAACAGAGGGGGAAACCTGTTATCAATTAGACCAACGAATCATTCCACTTGTACAATTCGATAAAGATGCTTTCTTCTGGTACGTCATTCAGCAAGACTCGGTGATAGCTTGGAAGGATGTAAGATTGGATGCGTTACTACAACTCAACAATAGTGGTAGAATTGTAGAATACTTTTCTTTAGATAATGGACAAGAACATCATCTCATTTTCAGTATTCGTGGAATACCTCCCCAATTTCATCATTCATGGAAAGCTATCATTCAAACATCCATGCGATGGAGAAACCAAGTCAAAAAACTTTGGAGCCAACCGTTGATCCGTTATTCTTCTCCTCGTAGGAAGATTCAAAAAACTAGACAAGAATGGTTAAGTTTGGACTCTTGGGGTGATTTCAAGTTGGACACAAGAGGTTATCTTTCTTGTCATTTTCGAGACGGTACTTTTATTTTGTTCCATCCCAACCACCAACATGCCCTTTTAATAACTCTTCAAGGCAATGAATACCGTATCCATTGGAAACACACCCTATTATTTCGCCATTATTTTGTACAAATTCATCAAGTATATCGATATTTATTATTATCACCTTTCCAAAGAAGAGAAATACAAACTCACAAGGAAATCCAACAACATAGGATTGCCATGCAACTACGAAGCATTCAACGGAATCGTCAAATTCTACAATTCAGCCCGCCATTGCTGATCACCTCTTCTTAGATGACTTTTGTATCGTGGACTTGGGAAAAAGGAAAAAGTTGTCATTTTTGTTTTCATCGAATAAAGAATACCCAATATCGCATTACAAGACTTTGTATGTCTCATATCAGAAGAATGCCAAAAAGAACAGACACCTTGGCTTTATTCGATGTGGACGGTACCTTAACCCCATCTAGATGCGTAAGACTGCTTGGTTCTTCACCATCCACGTTGTCAACTTACTGTTTCTCCCCATCCTTTTTTCTTTGCTGTTGTAGAAAGCAAGTCATGAAACGTTGGAGTTTTTAAGAAGATTGAGGGATGAAGTATTCACTGGAATAGTCGGTGGTTCTGATTTAGTGAAACAAGAAGAACAACTGGGTCCCACTATTTTGGAAGATTTTGACTATGTGTTTTCCGAAAATGGTCTCGTGGTAGGCTGTCGTAAGGCAATTCATTGATTCACTACCATTACTGATGGAATAGGCTTATGAGAAAGGCAAGTTGATTCACGTTCAGAGTTTGGCCAAACATCTTGGCGAAGAAAAGCTGAAGAACGTAATCAACTGTTGCTTGCGCTACATTGCGGTGAGATCTGAGTAGATTGTGATATTTCAAGTAGAGTAATGAGAGATATAGGATTTGGACATTCCTTTGAAGCGAGGTACATTTGTGGAGTTTCGTAAAGGAATGTTGAACGTTTCACCCATCGGTAGAAATTGTAGTCAACAAGAACGAGAAGAGTTTGAAAAGTATGATCGGGTACGCCAAATTCTATTGATCGGATATTGTTTATTCTGATGGTTACAGGTTCACAGTATTCGAAGTCGATTTGTGGATTATTTGAAGGAACGATTCGAGGGTTATGATTTGCAGTTTTCGATCGGTATGTTTTTTTGTATATCACACAAGTCGTTAGGCCTTATCTTGGATATAGGTGGTCAAATCAGTTTTGATGTTTTTCCACGTGGTTGGGATAAAACATATTGTCTATCATTTGTAAAACATATTCCAGTGATACATTTCTTTGGAGATAAGACATTTCTTGGCGGTAATGATTATGAAATCTTTCAAGATGCCCGAACGGTGAGCAAAGATTAGAAACATAATCAGTTGCGACTCATATGAGATAGATTGGTCATTCGGTAACTTCTCCTGAAGATACTGTCAAGCAATGCCAACAGTTGTTCAACTTGTAAAAAAAGTTGTTGTTCTTCTCCTCCTTGAAAATAGTTTTATTCTGCTCTCTCTTCGTGGTTATGAAATAGTCGCACGGGAATTCCTTTCCAATGATGACTCTTCCATTCCTTTCCAATGACTGGCAAGTTGATTGGGTTCCATTTCTTCCATTTCATTCAACACACAAATAATATCTCCGAAACTTGGTCTCTTCATGGGTTCCGCATCCCAACAACGTTCAATAAGATACTTCCATGCCAAAGGTATCTGAAATTGTCGACCTGAACGACTGATAGTCAAATCTGGTCTCAAGTTTTTATCAGCTACTGCAAAAGCTGCTTGAATAGGTGTCAGTCGAGCAAAGGGAACTTCACAAGAAAAAAATTCCCATAAAGTTACTCCAAAGGAATACACATCTACTTTTTCAGAATAATGTTCATGACGAATAACTTCTGGTGCCATCCAGCGATAAGTGCCAGTCTCACTAGTCATGATTCCAGTGGTCGAGTTACTACCACCAATGAGCGTTCTACTCAAACCGAAGTCAGCAACTCTTATGGTTGGTCTACCTGTCTCAATGGGTTTGTCCAGAAGAAGGTTTTGACTCTTTACATCTCGATGAATGATCTTATTGGAATGTAGATACAAGATTCCTCTCGCAGCATCTCTTGCAAGATAAACCAAGTCAACGTGAGTCCACTTTTTCCAAAAGGGTTTTCTCAAAGCATTATATACATTGCCTCCAAAACAAAACTCCGTAATTATGGAGACATTAGGTGGTCTTCCACAAGCACCCATAAACAAAACGATGTTCGGATGCCTCAACTTGGAAAGAGTATTCACTTCATCATGAAATTGACGTAACACTTCTTCGGACGTCTCTTGTGCTTTCATTAATTTCACAGCAACAATAGTACCTCTCCATTCTGCCTTGAAAAGTTCCGAATATGCACCGTTTCCAATCTTTTCCAACTTTTTGATTTCACCAAAATCCACTTCCCAACTGCGTTGTACCAACTTTAGCTTATTCTTCAAAATAGCCACTCTTGAAGAAGATAATTCTAATTCTCGGGTGAGATGTTCTATCTGTTCATTAGCAGCTTCCAATTGTCTTTTTAATATGTCAATAGTCTGTCCTTGATTCCATTCCAAATAATCTTCCATGATGGAATCTGAATGATACTTTGCTTCTTCTATTTGATGAATAGTGGAAGCATGGCTATATATAATGTTGCCGATATATTTGACAGTATTCAGGACATGTCGAAATAATGTAAGTCCTTTACGATGAGCCTTATGACGACACTTTGCTTTCAATCGTTTCAACAATAAATCACGTTTAGTTAAATACTTCTCTGTACGAATATCAGGTAGAAGAGACTGGATTCCTAAGAACCACCTATCCAGTTGTTCTTCAGATACGGTAGCAATAAATAACGATATTGTCTTGGCATGGATACTAAACCACAACCAAGGAGGATACTCATCCCATAGTCGATTATGAATATCAATCAAATACAAGTCATACTCTATACTCAACATATCTACAAAAGGGAGAGACTGGGTATTGCTATTCCACTACAGAATATTTTAGCCAAAAAGATGAAAATATAATATTCCACTTGCCTTGAGATATCTTCCATCCTTAGAAACACGAAAAATAGTCTTCATGGGAGTCACGTTGTTGGAAAAATGAGTCAAGAAATACAAAGCTTCACCAACTTGTAACATTTTCATGTTGGAACGTGTTTCAGTATCTAATTTCATACGGTCATTAGATAGTTCTTCTTTTCCTGTTTCTAAATCAACCATAGCTAGATTGGAAAAAGACTTTAAAAGGGATTTGGTTAACTTTTTGCCATTCGATACGGGAGTCCTTGGAGCACTATTCCAAGATGCAACGCTCTCCATGATTTCAATCGAATGTCTTCTTGAAGTATGTAAAAAATACTCGTTGAATGGAAATGATAAAGTGTCTGTTTCTCTAACTGGTTCAAAGGACTGCCCACCCAAATGATGACTCTCTTTTTCATTCACTGATGAGTCCATATCTTGTCTTTCAAAGGCAATCAAGTCTCCGGACTGCCGATGAAGTTGTTCAGCAAGTAGAGAAGGATTTTTTGAGACGTCCGAGTCTAATTGTTTTATCTTCTCACTCATATCAGCAGACTGCAATACAAGCGAGGAGGAGGGGGAGGAACTAGGTTCTGAAGTTGTATGACGCGAAGAAATTTCAGCGTTTGCTATATTATGTCCAGTCTCCTCTTGGAGTTCTGGAGAGACCACATTCCAAAGTTTTTGATGCAACCGACTGGCTTTCTCCTCATCTGCCAAAATTCCTTCGTGGTCATCGAACCGAAAGATATCCATCACAGAGTGGTTAGGTAAGGAAAATATCTTCGCAGAAATAACGTCTAGACCTTCTGACTTGAGAGTTTCTGTTAGGTCCGCTAAGATTCCTCGTCTTTCACTTCCAATCATAGTAAGTTCGTAAGAGCCAAAGACGGGGTCTACCTGAATGTCTATGACTGGTTTCTTGGAACTGATGTATTCTCTCCATAACTGGTAGTGCCTCAAGGTCACTTCTGTAGGTACATGGTTTAAAAAGTGAGACGGAACCGACTTCCTAGTTAACTGCGTTGCTTGACCTGCAACTGCTTCATGAACCCCCACTGTGTCCAACAACTTTTGTTCTTCTGCAGTAAAAGCATCCCTATTCCTAGCCTCAAAAACAGGAGCAAATGTAGAATTACTTGAGTTGGAAGAATCTTTGGTAGACTGTGCCTTCATTACCGTCATCAAGTAAGGTAATGTGGCTCCGACATGGCAACTTGGTATTCTTCAATTTCAAAGCTTTCCATAATGACAACTGTGATTTCAATTCTGTAATTAAAAAAAAAAAAAGAGAATTAGCGCCATTTTTGGCTGGTTGTTACTACAAACAAGGCTAAGAGAGAAGGATGCAGGAGCCTTGGGTTGAAAAATATAGACCCAAGACCTTGGATGAAGTTGTTGGCAATCCCCAAGTGGTATCGAGGCTTCAAGCTGTAGTGCACGGGGGAAGTCTACCTCATTTGCTACTGTCAGGTCCTCCTGGTTGTGGGAAGACAACTATGATATTGTGTTTAGCAAGGCAACTACTTGGAGAGGAATGGTTCTCACAAGCTGTTCTAGAACTAAACGCTTCGGACGATCGAGGAATTGACGTGATAAGATCCAAAGTCAAAACATTTGCTCAACAAAAGATGAGTTTGCCTAGTGGAAAACACAAGATTGTCATATTGGATGAAGCGGATTCAATGACGGAAGGCGCTCAACAAGCACTTCGAAGGACTATGGAGATATATGCGACAACTACCCGTTTTGCGTTAGCTTGTAATACTCCTTCGAAAATTATAGAGCCTATACAATCCAGATGCGCTGTTGTTAGGTTGAGAAGACTGGAAGATAGTGAAATTGCCGAGAGACTGGAACAGGTTTTGAGACTAGAAAATGTTGAATGGGAAAACTCAGGTTTGGAGGCTATTTTGTTTACTGCAGATGGTGATATGCGCAATGCACTCAACAATGCTCAAGCAACTGTTTGTGGTTTTGGAAAGCTTTCTCAAGAGAATGTATTTAAGGTTTGTGATCAACCGCATCCGAACTTGGTGAAACAGATTTTGGAGAGTGCACTTGAACAAAATGTGACCAAGTCGAATGAAATCTTATGTTCTTTATGGAACAAAGGCTACTCCGCTTTGGACATTGTACAGACACTTTTCCGAGTTGCTCGCAGTCATGAAATGAACGAACATTTACGTCTTGAAGTTATGAAAATTGTAGGGAAGACGCACATGAAAATTATGGAAGGTTGTGCCAGTTTAATACAACTGACAGCATTGACATCTTTTCTCTCGGAAGTTTCTGAATCGACTACTAGTTGAAGAACCAGAAGAGGACCAAAACTATGAGAAGCACGACAGCTACTGAACCGTATTGCCTATAAGTTAGCATTTGATGCATATATGCTGTCTTTTTTACGTATCTTTTCGATTCAGATACGAGTCTGGAAGAAAGAAATGAGATATCTAATAAAGTTTTAGCGCTCAAGACATCGCCATGACAATCGATAAAAGTTTCATACTCTCGAGTTTTTCTCCTCTTTCCAAAACTTGGTGAATGTTTTTCGTCATGATATGTTGGACGTCCTTTAGTTCTTGTTGAAGTTTGGTGATGTTTCGTTGTGTTCTCGTGTTTTCATACAGTTTTTTGGTCTTTTGTAGAAAACTATCTTTTGTCCTTATTTTAGTTGAATATGGAGTTGATACCAAGGTTTACCTACCAAAACGAATAAATTCATAAGGTCTTGTAGCCGTAGCCACTTGAGAACCGTATATGGTTCGAAACTCTTTAGATATTTCATCCAAAAAGTCAAAAGCTAATCTTCTTGGATAAGCTTTTTCAGTAAAAGTGAGATAAATCACTCCATCTACTAATATATAGTGATAAACGAAGTAACCACAGTCGATGGTCATCATAGACTCTGGTGAGACTGACTTGGAAAGTTGTCGAACTATTGTTTTTGCTTGTTTTTTGTAATCTCCCAGTTCATCTCCATATGGTTCGTTTTCTTCAATCATACTTTCTGCCAAAGGTAACGCATCACTTTGACGAGATATAAGTGTAAACTTGGGCATATGGTGGAGTCTAGATAAGAATCACAATTCCCAGAAAAGGAAAAATGTATGTAAAAGTAAAGAGACAAAAGAAAATCTATTTTATTTTTTGTGAATTGAGTGACAGTGTTTCGGTTATCAAGACAGAAGTATCCAAGCTATCCGATATTCCTGTTGAAAACATCGAACTGTGGAAGAAAATAGAAACAACAACAACAACGCAAGAACAAGACTGGAAGGCGACGAGTCGAGGAGGCTTCCATCGACTGGAAAAGTCAATACAAGAAGAAGAAATCGTTAACGGAGAAACTCTATATCTGACGTTTGGAACTGATGATTATACGGACATTGAAGTGACGCCTTTCGAACACTAGATAATACCGTAACTTGCCATGGGTTAGGAAAAAGAAGATAACTAGAAGTGACACTTGCCAAGTTATCCATAAAACAAAAAAATATTGGTTGACAGAACAAAAGAGTTTCAAGTCATCTATAAAAAAAAAGTTGACAATTCTTTTATTCAAAAACCCTCTTGCATATACTTTTTCAGTTGAATATAGAAAACCAAATAAAGTAACAGAGACTCACAGAATCATCCGTCATTCTTCGAGCTCTGTTTCCATTAACACCAAAACTGTTTGAAAAAGACATAATATAAAAGTCACCAATTGGAAAATAAACAAAAATAAAGACTTCATTGACCCACAATTACCGCCTGCACAGAGTCTGGATAAGTCCTCTTTGAAAAGGACTCTTTATGATACTCTATGTTTTGCGAATGAACATTCCCATAAGATAATGCTTCATGGCTTGAGCGGTCTGCGGATTCAAACGGTGAGAAAGAAAAGCACGTCAGACTGCCTGCATTGGACATCATCTGAGCTTGCTGATTTGACACATTGAACCTTTCAGAACACTCTCCTACAAAGTTTCCTACTTTGTTCAAACTAGTTAACGAAGAATTGGGAAAGTCAACAGGTCTATTTTGTGTCGACCCAAAACCATATGTACAGTTTCTGACAGGCGATATATTTCTATTGCAACTCTCCAAATCATAAGGAGATTGAATGCCCATAGCCGAAGCAACAGAACAAGTGGGTTGCAAAGAAGATAGGTCCACTTCATGAGTTACAGATGAACTTTGATACTGGCAATGTTCCAAGTCACGTTCGACACCACAACAGGCCACTAGTTCAGAAAAACTTGGCAACTTGCTTTCTTCTTGTTGTTGTTGTTTTACTGTAGCCTCATGGCCCTTTCTCTTTTCATTGTCCAAACGAGAGGATATTTGTGCAGATGAGGAATGATAAGGATTCTCAGGTCCCCCCACACCATAATGAAGGTTTTGTGGACATCCACTTTGGGAATAATTGTAAGGCACATGAGAAGGTAGTGTACAAGCCAAATTGGAAGCCACTTGATAATCTACCGTTGATAAATATACTCCATTGAATAATGATGGATATCCAGTGCTCCCTATTCTATTACAAGTAGTTTCCATAGGATAATAAGGATATCTACTCAACGCTGGATAACCGGGTACCATATTAGGGTTCCAAGCCGCGTTTTCTGGTTGCCTGTCTAAAGAATAATTGCAAAGGGTCAAACCATTTGCTGCTGGAACGGCCAACGATTGCAAGCCGCTAGCTGCAAGCTGTTGGTTGTCTGTTTTTCCTTGTGAGTAGCCAACCATGGCTTCGGAAGGATCAGACCAGTGGGAACGAGTAATTGTATTATTCGTCTCTTGCACAGCTCCTTCATTGCTAAATTTTGAAGCAAACCCACGCTCCATAGAAGGCACTCCACTACTGGCTGTTTGTGAAGTAGACGAGTCCCTTTCTTCGCTCGTTTGATTTTCATATGTTTTGTTTTTTGCCAAGCGAATAAAGTATTTCTGCGCGTGGGACCTTACTTGCACTGCCGTTTTAGTTTGCACTACTTTTTCAATGGCTTTCCAGTTTCGGCCATATTGTTCCAACCCAACAAGGAAGCGGTTATGTTCCTCATCAGTCCAGTATTCCCTTTTCTTTGTCAACACATATTTCTTTCTTCTACTTTTATCTATTCTTTCAGTCATTTATCAGGCCTGGGGAAGAACGACAACACAACTGTGCTCAGTGGAAGATAAATGGCACGTGCTGTCGTAGTGTGTGTCTCAAGGCCTCTTTTCCGGATTGAATCTCACCCACGTTCGAATTTGTATGATTTCTGTTGATTTTCAAGTTTCCAGAACAAACACGATAACAAATTTGAGGAGGGACAGCTGTTTTGTCCATAGGACACGGCATCTTAAGAGAGATCCTTTAAAGAATTCCTTGATACCATTGTCTTGGTTTACCTGGACACTCCGTGTGAGGGAAATGGAGGCGTACCTCCTTCCCTCCCCAAAGTGAATTTAGGAAGAAATGGGCATAGCTGTTGAGGCTTGCTGAAAAGATATGCCCTCATTACTGATGATACTTTTTCGTTCCAAACCATGAATAGAGAAAACAACGTTGCTTCTTTTATTTAAAGTCAAGTGGAACGAATACTTCTGAGTACCCTCTATAGATTAGTAAAGGTATTTTTCTTGAAAAAAGAAGAGATAGACTTTTGTGATGCCTGTTGCACTTGAGAACTCTTGGGAACTTGCTTGACAACCTTGTTGTTTTGTCTCTCTGACTGAAATGTATAACTTTGTTCAACTCCTACCTGACAAGGTTCACTTTTTACTTCTTGTTTCACACAAGGAGCAGTGTCATTCAAGGGTTCTTCTTCTACTTGTGTGACCCAATAACCGTTAGAGTCCAAAATAGTTCTCACACTTTTCTTACTTGGAGCAACAATTGTCGTATTCTTTCGACAAAATGCTTCCACAGTCCCAGTATTCTCCTTCTCCTGACTACTCTGTCTAGAGTTGTTGGGGTGTGACGATTCCTCCTCCTCCTCAACAACTTTTATGGGACCATCTTCTACAATCGGTGAGTTCCTCCTTTTTCTTCTTCTTCTTGTAATTTGGGCTTCTTCTTCATCTACGACTTCTTCTTGGCCCCATCTCTCGGTCCCTTCCTTCTTGGCGTCTCCTTCACCTACTTTTGGTTGTTCCCAATTATTTAAAGCACCATCATCAGCTTCCATACCATCTTCAATTAGGTCCAAACCACCTTTGGAGCAGTCTTGTTCTTCCATCAAAGACCAATAAGAGTGTTTCACTTGGTTACATCTGATCGAAGCGAAACGGTTGTCTCTCAACACATTCTTCTGTTCAGCAGGACAAAGAGTCAAAATTCTATCATTCTGGAAATCTTCTGAACATATTAAACTAGGTTCAGATACTTTGTGACGTGAAATACTGTAAATAGACTTGGAAATCGTCCTCATTGAAGGAAGTTGGAACGACGCGTTGTTTGTCAATACCCATTTTCTATTTCCTTGTTCGTCTATTCCGGAATGTACAAACCTATGTTCAAAGTTATTAACCCTACAAAAAGAAACTCTTAGTTTTCACCTACGTTGCGTGAAGTCTTTCTGGTTGTTTTGCCCAGTACAGCTCCAATATCTTTTTTGCTTCTTGTATAGGAATGCTGTTCTTAAGACTAAGTTCTTTAAAAGTAAGAACCTTATCCGAGCCATTGACTATAGCCTCTATAACAGACTTGGTTTCTTCCATCACTACAAGTTGTTATTCTTTCTTCTTATCATCATCCCGCCCATTTCGGATCATCCATTCATTTGAAGAATAGTTGATTTCTTCTTTCGGAGAATATTTTATGGATATATATATATATGGAAAATGATTTACTTTATAGTTTTATAGTATAATTGATAGAATTCTTTAAAATGATATTCAGCAATCATTTTGTTTGATCGAGTACTTTTGAGATTGAAAATAACGTGGAAGAGAATGTGAGATGGAGAGGACCCCTTCAGAATTGCTTCATAAATCTCGCGGATTTCATTCGTTGTTGGATTTTGGTTGATATTTCATGGCCTTTCTGACGAGTTGTTCTAGTCTTCACGGCTTGTAAGTATAGCCTACTTCCTCCTATTTATATTTTATGAACAATGAGTCAAGGAGTGTTGGTACACGAGCTGCTTTTTGTGGTAGTGCTGTTTCCTATCGAATATTCAGTCGAACATATGGCAAGTGGCGAATGCAGCAGTTGGGAATATTCAGACAGGCTATGAAAGACTTTGCTTCAGAATATCCAGACTTTGTTTCCAGAGGATTGGGAGTTACTTCAAAGGCAGAGAGATGGAATGGTTGTATTCTATTGAATATGGGTGGTTGATGTTGAGGTCTTTTTTTTTATGATGTATAGGTCGCCATGCTATGTTTGGACTTTTGGCCATCGTATTGACAGGATATGCCAAGGGACACGGGTGGATTCCTAACGCAGATCAAGTATTGGATATGCAACAATGGGGAACTTTGGTTATGGAAGGTATTGATATCTTGCTTCCATACACTTTTTATTCTCATATCCAGATGGGGACAGGGTTCAATCAGAAAATTACCAATGAGAGAGCTATTGTTTTGGTTGCTCATATTCATGTGCTGTTGGTATCCATTGCAGCTGCTATTGCACCTTTCTCTTTTCAAGATAGGTAGGAGAAAGGAATTCTCCATAAGATAGACCATAAGGTATTATGTATTGTGGTTAGACTTTTATTACGTCCAGGAGAAAAGGATGAAGAACCAGCAGGTCTATTGCCTCCATTCAAGTTGGGATTAACGAAAGAAGCGGAATTATGGAATGGACGTTTAGCTATGTTAGGTAATCATATATATGATACAATACTATCGTTTGTTTTTTCATGAGATTCTTAGGAGTTACTTTTATCGTGGCTACTTCAATTATCACTGGACAATCGATATTGGACGTGGTGAATAAGGGATTGGGAAATATTCTCTATTGAGAGAGAGAGATGGGTCCATTCCTGTGGTGATTCTTCTCTTTGAATAAAGATAATATTGTTTTGGCTGCCTTGTCACTTGGTTTCCCTTGACTATGCACCAAGTCTCGAAATGATTGGATCCAAGGTTTGAGTGCTAACAACTGCTGAGTTCTCCATTCCATTCCAACCAACCCATTCCTACAATATCATTCATTCCTATCAAAGTCATTTCTTATATTACCTTATCAGTGGCAATAGATGATCCACTTTGCATTGTTCCAATAACAACTCTGGAACAACATTTCGGTCAAGCATGATATTGGCCATCGAAGCATAAGAAACATTAACTTTTCTCTTGATTATATACCTAGTCAACGAATCACAAGGATAAATGACAATCACAGGAAGTTGACAAAGATGACATTCCATCACTGAAGTACCTGAAACAGCTACAGCAAAGTCACTCGTCACAAGTGCTTCCAAGTAAGCTTTCTCATCTTCTCCATTGACCCATTCTACATCAGAATAATATGGAATCTGGTTTTCTATCCAACTCCGTGTATGACCTACATAAGGTATGATTATTTGCAGATCATGGAATCCTTCTTCTCTCAACAACTGGATACATTTCATGACGAGTGGTGCAGCTTTTTTCACTTCTTGTATTCGACTACCCAATAGAGCAACCAATCTTGTGGTTGTTGAATCCTTTCGTTGATACTTTGTTTTGGAATCAAACCATTCCAAATTTTCACAAAAGCCAGGTCCGACTACTGTACAAGGAACATGAGCTTGTTTCCATAGAGCAGCTTCCAAAGGGAATAACAATAATACGTGATCAATCCACTTTCCAAACTGTTGAGCAGCTCGCAATCCATCTTTGATAGCCCATACTGAAGGACCTACATATTGAATACGTAAAGGAGTCCAACGTTTATCACCTTTACTTATCCGTTGAAATATGCGAGAAGAGAATCCTTTGGAATCGATAGCAATAACAGCATCCGGTTGTTTCATCAGAATATCACGTTCCACTTGTTTCAATCGATACAAAAGACGTGGAAGACGCCATAATACACTTGACAAACCCATTACGGACAACTCTTCATATGGAAAAAGGGATTGTAAACCTTGCTTCTCCAACAAAGGCCCACCTACTCCATGAACCACCAAACTATTATCCATTCTTTGTAAAGAACGAACGAGATGATATCCTAATTTATCTCCCGAACTTTCTCCAGCAATCACATACACATGATAATAACAAGTGAAGAAGAAACGTGAAGCAAATTTCATATGGAAAAAAAGATTCTTCATCGGCCCCGTCTTTCTTGTATGATGAAAGAATCCAGTTCTGAAGAGAGTAGTAAAGTATATCATATATGAGTAAAAACTTTTCATTGAATGAGTTATCTTTTAGGTTTTGAAAAAGTACAAGCTGAATTTGAGTTTTTTGATCCTACATTGGACGATGTTGCTGCTATTCAAAGGTTTCTAAGAGATTGGGTTGGAAGAGACAACTTGGTAGATACATCTGCTTTAGCACAAGTAATTGGAGAACAAGATACTGTGGTAATGAGTATCTATATACTGAGAACTATAGAAGGTTATACGGTTGTGATAGGGAACGGTAATTCGTCTTGAAGACTCGAGTGATTGTTTAGGGTTTATAACTTGTCTCAATGCCCAATATGTATGGAATGAATTGTCTTCTCTGTTTCCTTTCTTACGTGAGCGCTTTGAAAGTCATCAGCAATTGCAAACTTTTGAGAATTGTTGTTTGTGCAATCCACAAAAGTTGGGTATTGTGATATCTGAACGTGTAAGTAATTTACCTCCTCAACTATCTCCTTGGTTACAACAAGCGTTGATGGATGAACTGGAATGGGCTATAGAAGATGAACCTACCAAGGAACGTAGAGAAATGTTTGATTTGGACCATTTTCTTTACATCACTCAAATATATTTGGATACCAATGCCTTGAAACCTAAGAAGAAGAAAAAGAGAAAAGTTGATTCTATTAGAGACAATCTTTCCATAGAACATATTTTATTTATGAAAGCAGAAGACGAGGGCTATTTTCTTCATCAAAGCGGTTGGTGTGTATGGCCAATGGAAGAACAAAGAAGAAGCTGGGAAGAAGAGTCTTTGGACAAATACAAAATGGCAATGATATTATCCAAAGACCAAATGATAAAGGCCAAAAAGTATACCAAGGAACAGATATCCAATACTTAGTGATTCATGGCAGCTCCCATAATTTGATAACCAGCATCCACATAAACTACTTGTCCCGTTATTCCAGATGAAGCATGAGAAAGAAGAAAAGCTGCCGTATTTCCTACTTCTCTTTGAGTAACCGTTCTCCTTAAAGGAGCATTCTTTTCTACATGATCGATCATATCCATGATTCCTCCAATAGCTGAAGATGCCAGAGTTCTTATCGGTCCTGCACTAATTGCATTGACTCGAATTCCATCCGGTCCCATTTCTGATGCCAAATATCGAACCGAAGCTTCCAAAGCTGCTTTGGCTACTCCCATCACATTGTAATTAGGAACGACCTATGCCTTTTGTGATTCGATATTCAATCACGATAGAAAGTGCATCGGTTACCTTGTCTCCTCCAAGATAGGTCATCGTAAGAACACTGGAACCAGGTTTCATAAGGTGTTTGGTTTTCCCACACAACTCAATCAAAGAATAGGCACTCACATTCAAAGCCAACTCAAATCCTGACTTTGAAGTCTTACTAAACTCTCCAATCAAGTCTTCTTTGTTTGCAAAGGCCAAACAATGAACTAAAATATCCAACTGACTCCAGTTGCTCTGTATCTGAGAAACGAGATGATCCAAATCGTTAGGTTTCTGAACATCACAAGGAATAAATAGACTGGGTTCCAAAGGTTCTGTTAGCTGTTTGATTTTATCTTGTACTCGATCGTTCACAGGTAGATAAGTAATACCCAGCTCGGCACCTGCTTCGCGAAGTGCTTGGGCAATTCCATAAGCAATCGACTTGTTATTTGCTATACCTGTCACCAACGCTTTTTTATTGCGAAGATCTACTAAAGGTTTAGTTTCAAGAGCAGATTCCAACGTCATTCGTGTAGAAGACTTGCGCACAGATTTGGAAGCTAACCACACACGATAACTTGAATGAGTTGACCCTAATTACGGGCAAGTTAGTATGTACAGAAATAAAACAGAGCTAGGTGCGTATTTACTTTTGAGTAAACGAGGATGAGAGAGACTTGTAAAACTCAACATCGTCGTCATCATTTCACCAATCCTATATAGAGAATGTCAAGTTGTGATGGAAACCAAAATAGAAAAACAAATGTTGGAAATGAAATATCAATATTTATTGGAAGCTTCACTCAAAGTAGCCAACAACTCACCAAGTGTAGCTCACTTTTTGATGTATCAAAGCAAACAACTGTTGGATATCTCTCAAGTGACGGGTCGTTCCAAGATGGAACGTTTTCACTGCTCCAAGTGTTGTCACTTGCTTTTATCCAAATGCCATAGTTGTGTTCGATTGTATAAAGTGAAGAGAAGAAAGAACAAGAATCCTAAGAAAAGAAACAAAGGATTATGGTTGGTTGCTACTTGTGGACGATGTCAAACGAGACGAAAGGATAGAATAACCAGTATAGTGCAGCCTCTTCAAAAAAATGTGAGAAGAACCTTTCCTGAGAGTGAAAGAAAGAGTAGTTGTATTTCAGTTGTGCCTTTTGAGAAAAAGTCACTAGCAGAGTCCTTTTTATTTGAAACGCAGTAACTGAGAACTATTCTAATCCGGCGACTGGTACATATTTAGATGTAACTTTTGCAAAATATTTCTCAACTAATCTAAAACTTTGGATACAACTCCAGCTCCTACTGTTCTCCCTCCTTCTCTCACAGCAAATCGAAGACCTTCTTCCATAGCTACGGGCTCAAATAACTCAGTAACACTCGTAAGATTATCTCCAGGCATAGCCATTTCCACTCCAGTAGGAAGTGTAACTGTACCTGTTACATCAGCTGTCCGAAAGAAGAATTGAGGTCGATACTTGGAAAAGAATGCGGTATGGCGACCTCCTTCTTCTTTCTTTAAAACATACATTTGGGCTTCAAACTTTTTATGTGGTTTGATGGAACCTGGTTTGCATAAGATTTGACCTCGTCTCACATCTTCGCGCTTCACTCCACGTAATAAACAACCAACATTATCACCTAATATTCATCAATACTCATGAAAAGACAATCACTAACAACATGATACCTGCTTGACCACGATCCAAAGACTTTTTAAATGTTTCCACTCCAATCACAGTCGTTTTCATAGGTTCCTTACGAAGACCAACAATTTCCACTTCATCTCCAACTTTAATAACACCTTGTTCAACTCTTCCAGTAACTACGGTTCCTCTTCCTTGAATGGAAAAAGTTTCTTCAATACTTAAAAGGAACGGTTTGTCTAGTGCACGAACAGGTTCAGGAATAGTCTCATCCACAGCATCCATCAACTGGATAATGGACTTGGCACCTAGATTATCAGAGTCTTCTCCTTTTAAAGCTAACAACGCAGAACCCCTAATAATGGGGGCTTCCTCTCCTTTAAAATCATAAAAACTTAGCAACTCTCTCACTTCCATTTCTACCAATTCCACCAATTCAGGGTCGGAAACCAAATCACATTTGTTCAAGTAGACTACAATATGAGGAACACCTACTTGTCGTGCCAATAAAATATGTTCTCTAGTTTGTGGCATAGGACCGTCAGCTGCAGAGACAACAAGAATAGCGCCATCCATCATAGCTGCTCCGGTGATCATATTCTTCACATAGTCCGCATGACCAGGACAATCCACGTGTGCATAGTGACGCTTTGCAGTTTCATATTCCACAACAGAAGAAGCAATGGTAATTCCTCTCGCTTTCTCTTCCGGTGCCTTATCAATCTGATCATAGTCCATAAACTTCCCTCCCGCTCCAGACTCTGACAAAACTTTGGTAATAGCCGCAGTAAGAGTCGTTTTACCGTGATCGACGTGACCTATAGTACCGACATTGATATGGGGCTTCTTTCGTTCAAAAGTAGCCATATTTCTACAAGAAGAAGAACCATTCCATATTGGAAAAAACTTCAAGGTAGGAACAGGGGGTGCCTTTCTTAAGGATTCTGATCCTTCCCCAAATGGAAGAAACTTTTTACAAGTATGAAAGATACCAGACTTGGCGTTTCGTTAAGTTCAAACATTATAAGCGAGTCAAAGGAACGTACCTTTCCTATGGAGTTGTGATACAACACGTTTCGAAGGTACATCGTCATACCCATAATCATCAATAACAAGGATTGTAAACCAAAATTGATAGTGACTTGCAAAACTATGAAATTCAATTGCTAAAGCTATCTGATAAGTGTACTGAGGGAGTTAGTTGATCGCTTGTTCAAGAACAAAACCATAAGAGGAACAAATCAACAGTTTTGCAAAAGTCTCTCCACAACACTCGAAAGAGTCACATGTGTTGAAGAGCGACGAGAACTTTATCTGATATTCAAATGATATTTATAGATGATGGTTTATCTCCAAGGTTGGTGTCTAAATGCGGAAAGATGTCGCATTCAATACTTGCAACAAATATATACAACAATCCATGAGGTCTTTGTACAACCACAATATTTTCTCAAAACTCTTCCCGTCCAATGTTGTAGAAGCTATTGTTGTTGGTTTGGAGTTTTTCTATCCTCTTTTATCTTTTGCCTTCCTATCCATTCCAAAAGATACTTGGAATGTTTAGCTTGTTTTGTCCATTCTCATACCAGAATTGTCTCCATGAACTGAATGGAATGTTCTCAATGAAATTCAAAAGTATCAAAGTCTCTTGTCATACGAATCTCAAGTCACGAAAAGGAGATATTGGCCATTTGCATATTTTCACTTGAAATAACCATCACAAAACTCCTTTTGAAAACAAACAACTCCTTTGAAAAGTTTTTTTTATAACGCCATTTGACTGCTCATTTGTGTGATACAATTGGAATGAAAATACAATATATGTCACTAGAAATCCCAACTTGTGTCACACAATGTTGTCCATATAAGGAGAGAGCCCTCCATGTTAGTGTATGATAAAATATCGTTGATACCTCCGAATAGGAAATATTATTCTGTTTACTCAAAGATTCCTGGAATAATATAATACACAATCCGAGAGGAGTAAGAATAAAAATGAGTTCATAAGCGAAGCGAAGGATATTCATAATACAAGTTCGAATAAGAATCCTTTTTATAATCTAAAAACGATAAGACAAGAGTTCAGTAACCACATAGAAAAACGGTATTCGATATGAACTCTTAGTATATATACAGTCGCAACAATCCGTCTTGAATACATAAGCAAAACACACTAGTCTTTCCTTTCCTTCAATGCAGTATAAAACCCAAAGATTAGAAGCAACTCCATGAAATGATAGTCACTCTTACAAAGCTTTCTATTCTTGTCCCTTTCAAATACGATATGCAGCAAGTCATTCAACCATTCGATAACTGACCGAGGTTTTCGAATCTGAAAGTTTTGAAAGTGTAGTTTGTGTTGTGATCACGAGGCATCCATGTACTTAGCAGTCACTGTAATGATTCCTCGGTTTCATACTTCTCTCTTCCGAGGCATTTGTGTAAATCAAAATAAAATGTACTTGGTCTTTCAGTAGTTCTACCAATCAAACTTGTAAATCATGTGAAAATAATAATCTGTCCATCAGAAATGAAAAGATTACGATATTCTTCAATATCTCCAAGGTTTAAGGGATTCACACATACAAAAGTTCAAGCTACTCGAGAGAGCATCATTCAAACGATAGTTCCAGCAGGCTTCGTACAGAATCACTTTCTCTGTATTCAAAAGTTCACCTATTTCTCAAAAAAAAAGTTGATTTGGGCACCTTTCGGAAAGTTCGTCATAGCGTTTGCCGAAGCAATTCATTTCATTCAGTTTGTCACCATGGAGAATAAGTATTGTTTCTGAAACTACTAAATAGAGAGGACTCAAAAAAGGCAAAAATATTCAGTTGATTCATTGCGGGATCAGTGGACTCAACATTTTCTTTAATAGTCTTGCTATTCAATCGAGTAGTCAAAGAGAAACCAAAGAGACTTTGGAATAGAGCTACCCCAATATGAAGATGACTGAAGATGTGTGTTGTACCAAAAAATATTTCCAACAATTCCGCAGAACACTCTACTTGAACTATCTCGTTGTTTTGAGCTAAATTTGTATTTCAACTCTCATGTCGGGCAACTCCAATTCCACTACCTTTCTATTTGAAAACTGTCATTGATATATCTTTGTCAATCAACAATTGGACATCTCTTTCACAAAGAATAACAAGTTCACAGTTATCAGGTGCTTTGAACAAATCACCTCTAATAAACATTCCACTGGAGTAACAACGACTCTGATTACCCAATTCATTGGAAACATTCAATGATAATTTTGTACCGACTATAATCAGCATACAATGATGAGAATGAATCCATTGCACTGGATAAGACTTGATCATAAACAGGATCTAAAAATTTCTTGGCTTCATCTATAATATCTGACCAGCCAATTCCTTCCGACTTCCAACGTCGTTTACATGCAACTCCAACAGTAAGAACTTTGGGTTCCACAGGAGATTGTAATTTGAATATAATATCAGGACTATGAGAAGTAGCGTCCAAAGGAATGTAAATAGTCTCTAAATAAAGTGTCTCTCGAATAATCTTATTCCATTCAGTATTGGCAAAAGTTCTTCGACTCTTGTTCGATTCACTTCTTGTTTCTCTAGAACTAACAACAGACTTGATATAGTGAATAGGTGATATTGTACTGATTGGAAGTTTCATTTGTTTCCATATTGGAGACAATTGACACAACAATTCTCTCAACTCATTTCGATTCTTTGAAGACAACATCAAAACTAGTCGTAAAGCAACAATTCCTTCAAATACACGACACTTTGAATAGAAGAAACAATCTACTGGTTCTACATCAAGTGATCCAAAAAGTATCTTTTCCAAAGAAGATATGGAAGGGTCGTTCTTGAAGATTACAACAAATACTTTTGGAATTAGGACTTGAAAAGTATTCTGGTCAATAGGATATCGATATAGTCCCATTTCAGTGACTGCATCATATAAAAAGGACTCCGAGGTCAATCTGTAATCCACCTTTTGTAAATCTTCAAGTCAGTAAAGGCAGGAAATAACTGAAAATTTTGAAACTAAAGAAGATATTATTTACGGATGAAAAGATTTCTCTACTCCTTTCTTGGAATTAGAAAATAGCCACCAGTGCTACTTGAGCAGCTTTTTCCAACTTTTGGCTGTTTGCATTCGTTTGAAGATAACTACCGAGATGAATTCAATCTGGCAAACAGAGAAAAGAACTTTGAAAGTGTCACTTTTTAAGAAACCGCTCCAAGCACTGTTTCTATAAGTGCCTTGACTTGATATGTAATCTACGCTTCATCCTGCAAATCTTTGCACAACTTGTATGGTCTTCAAATTCAATGACTCTACACAATCTTTGCCACTTGTGTAGACCCAGTTTGTGAATGCCAAAGCTTGAGATCGTAACTTTCCGTGCTTCTTGACGATCAAAATATTGCCTATATCACAGTGTACCGGAGTGGCAATCGAAAAGCGACATTATCTATTCTCATATATGGCATTCATTGAGAAGATTGACCAAATGAAAACTGTTGGATGACTCAAAGGTCGGCATATTATCCAAAGTATCGATATCTATAAAGAACAACGTCTCAAAGGGAAACTTTTGAATCTTCCACTTGTGTAGTGCAAGATACTCCGATGGAATCTTGCAATATCTTGAATACACTTTTCAGTCTACTTTCCATCAATAACTATCTATTTGGATGTATGATTGTAACCTTTTTGCTCCAAAAATTCCTATCAGATTCCACTTCTCAAAAAGGTCATTTCCAAGTAAGATTTTCAGGGTTTTGACAATAACTAAACCTGAAAAGGTCATGCTATCTTCAAGATGATACATATTGAACAAATTTCGTCAACTAACGAAAAGAAGAGTAACTCCACAAGTTCTGGAAAAACATAACTATTTCATCTCCTCTTTGCAAAGTAAAAAGGAAAGGAGACACTTGAAATACACCCAAAAAAAATTGGAACGTCACCTCCTTTAGTATTATACCAGTCACTACTCTCAAGAAGTTCTTTATGTAGAGTTCGAACTAAGACCCTTGTAACTTTTGAGCCTCCATCCTCCTTATCGGAAGTAGTTTGTGTATTTGCATATAGACAAAAGCATTCACACTCCTTGGTCAGTTTTCTAATATAGTCCTGTCCTCCGTATACTTTTTAATTCTACGCTTGGGTACACCGTTTCTTCTCTTTGCGATTCATAGTTGCACAAAGATTGCTCCTCTAGCCTAATTTGTATGGAAGGAAAGGTTACAGTCCTCAAGCACCAACTTAACAAAATCACTCCCTTGGAAGTTGGAAAACGACCACTTTGCACCATTCAGTCTTCCGAGATTATTTAGAGCAAGTCTAGAAGTAGTTGTAGCAAAACGTGATTTTGGTTTGGTATCGAAATAAGGTTCCAATAAGTCTGAGATCTACCTTGTAAAGGTAAGTTTGGTCCGATTCAACTCTGTTCCAAGGCTACGGTGTCGATAGCGAGTTGAAAGAAACTTTCTTCTAAGACTATCTTTCTCATCTCGCAATATTATGTCTAGACCATTTCTTATCCCAGTAACTTTGTATATGTCTCTAAGTAGAATACTTTCTTCAATAAAAACTACCAGATATACAAGCTACTATATCCCCAGTCGATCCTTCACCATCAGTCTGGTTGAAAATGACAATGGTCGATGAGAAGAGCCAGTGCTCTCAACTCTTTGGGCCTGGTTCAAGTTTGCTCCTGAAATTCTTGCCTTTTCAGTTTTCAACAAAGTTATATTTGAAGTTGGACAAGTGGATTTCAATTATCCCTTTTTCCTTTTTCAAGTCCTGGTATTGTTTCTGTCGTAGGAGTCCATCAAGTCCTCCTGAGCTCAGAACTCCGGGCAGATTGTAGTGTCTTTCGAGATCGTTCAACATTATTTATCTCTTTGACGTTTATATACTCTATACAAAAAATCGTACAGTTTCAATTCTCGTCTTGTATGGAAATTTGCTAGTTATTTTGTCAAGGAAGGAGCGTAGAACGAAGGAGTTGAAGTTGTTTTTGAGTTTTAGTACAGAATATTGCTTCAGATGAGTTTTATGTATTTATTAGCAGTAAGAAGCCTTATCTTGTAAGCGGTTGTGGAGAGTCAGCCTTTGGGTTAATATTTCCAAGATATTTTGCTATTAACCAGTTAGACTCTCAGTTGAGTTTTTCTTTCAGTACACAGAGTTACCTTCTATATGTTAGGTTTTTGTCTTCTGTGCCGCTCTAAGTTAGAAAAGATGATCTATAGCTATGCAAGATGTTTTGGAGTGTAAACGGCATTTTGCATTCTTTGTAAAATCATTTCATTTTCTAGGATAATATACGAAAGTCTTAGGTCCATCACTGCGTAATTTTAATGGTGGTTTGTATGATTTGTGCCTTCGACCCTATTTGTGGACTATTTTGAACCATGTATACCGAAGAAGCAAACTCTAGAGATCCCCGTGGATACAGACAACCACAAAGACCCTTCTTTTTATTTTTTCCCTTTCATCCATATTCATTGCGAGTTACTAACTAATCAGAAACGCCAGATTTGACTTGACTATAACATGTCAACAGTCAGCAACATTCACTTTCACATAGTAGGCGATCAGGACATTCACTTCCAGAACATGACTCAGTAATTACATAACAAAGGTCCACTCCATGTAGTATTACACATGCGCCGCATTTAACAATGTAACAGATACTACCACCAACTGAGATATCAGGATATGAGCTATTCTGTAATAAACGTCTAGAAACTTCAATGGCCAATCGGTTCTCGATGGCTTCTCGAATTAAAGTAACATTTGAGCTCATGTTGAGTAACTCGAACAGGCCTGAATACAGTGCATCTTTGGACCCAGGGCTGTCCAGACTCCTTATATCTGTTTCCTTGAACTCGGAAAACGAGATACTGGAGTGAACAAATACGCCGAGGAAGACTACATAAATATATAGGGGAAGTTTGCTTGAACCCATCAGTGTAGCTTTCAGATTAACAACGTAAATCTCACCAAAATCCAAATTATTTAAAGATGTTGCGTTTCACAGGTTTTAAAACTAAAAAGTCTGTCCATTGAACATGTCTCGTAGACAGTATTGGAACAAAGTTTTCAGCCAATCTCTGACAGAGTTGTGGAACTAAAAAGTCTGTCCATTGAACATGTCTCGTAGACAGTATTGGAACAAAGTTTTCAGCCAATCTCTGACAGAGTTGTGGAACTAAAAAGTCTGTCCATTGAACATGTCTCGTAGACAGTATTGGAACAAAGTTTTCAGCCAATCTCTGACAGAGTTGTGGAACTAAAAAGTCTGTCCATTGAACATGTCTCGTAGACAGTATTGGAACAAAGTTGACGGCTAAAACGATTCCAACGCAACTTGGGTTGAAGGGAAAATTGTTGACATGGAGGAAAATGGTTCAGATAGCATAACCCAGCCACAAGCCTTGAGAAATATATTATACTGTTTATTGGGTTGTACCCCAACTCTTTTCCGACTTATTAATAACAAAGAGGTTCTTATATTTCTTTTCTGGCTCCCTGGTATTCTAGTAGAGGTAGTTCTTGCTTTGTATCTTGCGGTGCGTTTCCTAAGAGCTTCGAATATATGGCTTCTGTTTGACTCCTTTGCTGTGACTACCATACTTTCCATCGCAGCGCTGGCACTGAACACTCTCTTCGTAGTAGCGCTAGTAAAAATTTCAGGAGATCAGGGATTTCTATTCTCCGACACTCCTTTCAGCTGGTTAACTGCAATTCTTTACTTGCTTATGTTGTTTCAAGTGGCCTTTACAGAAGAAACTGTGAAATATATTGCAGTAATGCGAGGAAATTTAAGCAGTCTGAAAAACTTCGTAGCACAAGCAGTAGCTGTGGGTGCGGGTTTTGCAATAGCAGAGCAGAGTAACCAGATGCTAGACTTGTATTATTTTTCCAAACGAGCTTGGACTTTCTCTAGCATATTGATTCAATTTTTGGTTTTTCTTTGCAAATCTGCCCTTCATTGCAGTACTGCTGTTTTCATTGCGTTTCGAATGGTATCCGTTCCGACAAATTTTTCTTTTCTTCACCGATTTGTGTATATTATCTGGATACCTTTGTGTTATCATTTCTTCTGCAATATTCTTATTCAATCGGAGGATTTTATTCTGGAAGAACGTTATTCGTTGGTGGTTCACGCTTGCACTCTACCTCTTCTTGTGCTAGTTGCTGTCTATTTCATTTTCAAAACGAACCACTCTCAACTACTGGAACAGTCTTATAGCAGTCTGGCCGAAGGTTTCGTTATACGTTAAAATGCATAACATTGCAATACTATCGGTAAAACTGAGTCTCTTTTCAACTCTCTTCTTGAAAAAAAGAAAAAGATTCCGTAAGGAACGAGATTCTTTGTCTTGTAAAAATGCCAATCCCAGCAACAAAGAGATTGGTAAGAGTTGTCATTGAGTGACTTTGTCAAAGAATGGGTCTGCAGTGTTATGCAGACTCCGGCAAGTATCGCTTCTGCAACGGGACCACCGGAAAGAAAATCACTTGACCTTTGCAAGATGTTCTCAACGAAATAAAACTGGGTTCCTAATGCAAACTTGTCTGTTTCAGGCAAGTCTTTTAGTTCCACTACAGAGGAGTGCCTGATTGTAGGGGATTTCTGAGCAAAATCGTCACAAGAAGCAAGGTATAAACCCTTTCCTTTGCTAAAGCCTAACGACACACTATTTGGTCGCGTTTCTACTGACCATTGGAGTAGTCGTCTTCTTCGTGGATTACCTTCTGTGGAGTAGTCGAATTGTGTCAATTCCTTATGCTATGTCAAGTAATAAAGAGGGATTGTCCTTTCTCAAGGCCGTCTCGTTCCAAAATGGAGCAACCTCTGCATCTGACAGTGTTTCGCTTAGTTTCAGAGGAAGTGATTTCTGGAGGGTCACTCTCAGTGCGAGGAATAGCAGTTGTAGATCAAGGCTCTTCTCTTATATTTTCAATTTGCACCTTTGGTTTCTCTGTTTATCCTGCCTTTGCCAAAAGAAGTGGTGAAAAGACCGACAGTACCAAGGTTAGGGTGAATAGACAAAGTCATAGTCTCTCTTCCNGTGCGTGGTTTGTCCTTATTCCTATTCCATCGTTAAAAACTCTTTTTAGGAATTTCAAAATCTCATTCGTCTCGTAGGCTTGTTCGAAAGGGGAACTATATAGATATCGATCTATTTGCTAACCAGTGACTGGTGGGTTATCCACTTGTGTTTGAAGTATAAGCACAGAAGAAGTTTCTGAAGTCCTTAAGCTTTTGGAACCGAAGAACTTTCGAGAAGGACTGTTTGACAGAAGAACTTTGCTGAGAAACTCAAAAAAAGATGAATCTAACTAGTTGAGCAACTACTGAAAGGTACTCTGTGTGCCGTTTGCCATGTATTGCAGTACTTCCGTCTCCATTGGGTTTCGAATGGTATCCGCTCCAACGTTTGTAAGGGTTATTTGGATGCATTGCTGTTATCATTTCTTCTTTAATGTCGTTCTCACATTGGAGAGTTTCATTTTGGAAGGAAGTTATCTCTCTGTTGCTCAAGATTTCACTATGCCTCTTCTTGTGCTAGTCGCTGGTTATTTCATTCTCAATACGAACCACTCTCAACTACTGGAACAGTCTTATAACAGAGTCTCGGAGAGCTTTGGCATACTTCGAAATGCATTGTGAGTTGTTCTTTCACAAGAAGAGGTCGAAGCCCTTTTTATGCAAGAATCTTGCAAGGTTTCATGAAATCTTTTGAATTCAAGAGCAAACTATTTTGAAAGCTATTGATGTCGATACTATAAAACTATTGGTTTTTTCACTTTGCCAGAATGATTGAATTTAGAATTATCATTTGGTTTTGTGCTGTCGTATTTTTACACTTTGTGAATGCAAGTTTGATAAAGATGTTGTATCTTTGTTTCTGTGAAATCAGTAAGAAATTACGTTCCACAGTGCCATTTGGCTTCCCTACGTGTTATTGTCACAAAAAAAGTAAGAAATATAGAAAACGTGCGGCACTTGAGGTCTCCAAGTGATCTCAAAACTCTGTACACTCGCTTTTAGCTTCTGAAATCGAAATGGATTTGTAAATAAGTTTTTAAACGGCAATTCAATCCGATTAAAATGACACAATTCATAGGTTATCTTCATAAAATTCTCAATGTCCCAAGTTATCCTACGCTCTGCCTAGTATCGAAGTAGGGATACAGAATTTTTGGGTTCCTTCGGGTGTTGTGCATCCTCCCGAGTCTGAGTTTCTCCGCTATTCATTTGTGTTATCAAATGGGAATCTGGAGTAAGGAAACAACGTGGTTCAGTATTCTGTTTGACTGTCATAATGAAATACACAACTCTGCAGAAGAGATTTTACAGTGTATTGAAACATCTTTTTATGAAGTTGGGAAAAAGTATTTCGTTGAGCAACTTCCAATCATTATACATGAAGTATAGTCTAAATCATACGTATTGTGGTAGAATGGATGGATTTCTCATTGCCCAAAATAGCTTCTGACACAATTTGTTCAAATTTGGTTTCTATTTTATGAGTCAAGGATACTAAATAAGTAGTCGTAAACAAGAATCGGTATGAACTGCTCATACTGAGACGGTGAACTGGTCTATGAAAGAATTTCAAAGTAACCGATGTTTATAAACTTCCAAGGCATTGTGACTATTCTGTTTTTCTTGAGATTCAGTGACATTCTGTTGGTAATGAAAATCTTTGTCCATTCTTTAAAAAGCTCAAAAGAAACAATAGAAATGAGCAGAGATAGAGAGTTGAGAAGTAGGCTGATAAGAAGAACTAAGATGTTGCAGAAAAGATTACAAGAGAATAGATGAATACTTCTGAAGATGACCTATTTTTGTACATTGGTTGGTTGTTAGTTTTTCTCAAGGATAGGTTTTTAATACTATCAAGTCACTCGTTTGCATTGAAACAGTCAACAGAGCAAATACAAAAATGTCGAGTGCAAACAAGTAAAAAGCAGCAGACAGATTTGTAAAAAAACTGATGAAAAAAATACTCCAAAAACCAAAATATTGTCAGTTTCAAGTTGAGCAAAAAAGGTTATAGTCAAAGTTCAAAATACGAACAATGTCAAATATGAGAATATGGAAGAAACAAAAATAAAGAATAAGCTATGCTTCACATGTAGAAAGGCTAAAAACAAAAATACCTAGAGAGAGAGATCGACAAGTGTTTACCATTATGAAGGAACAATTTGTATATTCAAGATGTAAAACTGCAAGAAGAAGAGATATTGAATGTAGAAAACATAAGACAAGGAACTAAGGACACGCATGAAAAAAATAGTTATGCAGTTGAAATCCAAAATCGAACTTTCGTTTTGTCTAGTTCAATGGGGATTGAAAAGTAAGATACAAAAAATATTTCAAAGATTGCCGGAATGCGTTGATGGCGTAAAAAGTTCAAGAAAGAGTTTCAAAACTTGTCAAAGAACGGAATCAAACTCATCTTCAGTATTTGTTTCCAGTGTGATAAAACAAATATTCAGTAACAAAAAGCTATTACTTTGGAATATTTTCAGCATTGGTAGCTCCATTCACAACAAAAAATTGACAACAATCACTTTTTGAATGTTTGACACCGAGATGCAATAAAAGAAAGAGTAAAAAAAGAAATCTTCATAAAGTCTTATGAGAATCAAGATGATTGTATTTATTTTCATGACAGTCATTCTCATCTTGTTTCCTTCTGGGTATCTTGAATACTGCAAGTAACTGGACATTCTACGAGCAAACAATATGTAAACCAACTATAAAATGCAATGACAACAAAACACTCCAAAATAGACTCAGACTCCTTTCTAAAGGACGTTTATCGTGCATATGCTTAGAAATTGCTTCTATTTCATCGTACAATATATTTTGTAAAGAAGGAGATATTGCTTACAGATATCAAGACAAGATGACAAGGAAGTCATAGCAAAGATCGTTGGCAAACTTATGCACTCTCTGAGCCGGATAGTGACTAGAAGACCGTCCTTATTACCCTCAAAACGAGTGATTCAAGTGCTCACAATGATTGAAAACAAAACTACTTTGAATTTAGCAACATATGCTGCGTTTTAAAACAGCTTTGCAACCTGTAAAACAATGTTTCTTGACACTTTCAACTTGTAGTAATTTTCTTCCAAGGCACGAAATTCTTATAGAGCAAGTCATGAAAGTTACAAATAGAAAAATTATGGGAGTTGTGATGGAATCGAGTTGGCGGACAGATTGATGGATAAGTTTGTCAGTTGCTTTGCTTTGTCGTTTGACTCTACCCTTTACAAGCAGTGTACAATCAATATAAAGTCGACAAAAGGTAAAGTAAGGAACAAGAGGCTTTCGTTTTTGGAGCAAAAGTTTTATAAAACCTTTACCGTATTTGAACATGATTCCTACCAGTTCTTGCAACAGTGCCGTTTGTACATATGGAGGATTCTTGCTTTCTGGAGTCACACAGAGTTGTGATAGTGTCTTTGGAAGATTTGTTGACTTTGAGATATTTCTACCTTTCAGTTTTAAGATTGACAAAAAGAAGTATAGTATTGTTTGGCGAATGAGTTTGCCTGACTTGTCAGAAGATTGTAGACTCAAAACCGTGGCCTCTATTGTTGGAGAAAAAGTACAAGTTGGCGAGAAGTATTTAAAGTTGGGCAAGAAACTTTTGGAGATATTACACAGATGGTTATTCCAAAAAAATTCACCTATGATTTTCCAGTAGAACGACTTGCTGGTAAAATCTCGAGAATTTTGTTAAGATGAGAGTTTATTAAGATGTGGAATAGTTCCTTCGTAGGTTTTGTGGAAATAGTTTCCATCTTCGACCGAAGCAGACTGTTCTCTTAGCCGCAAGTGGTCTAGGGACGAGCAGAGATCTGTACCCCACGGCGGTGTTTTCAAGGTATTCTAGGGTTCTCCTTCAGTATATTGGAAACGCAGCTGTATAGTTAAAGTATGTTGAGAGTACCTCACAAGTAGTTCCATTTTACTTGAAAATGTTACTGTTTGTGAATACCCCAGTTTTAAGACAAGTGACTATTGTTCTTTGAATGACGCTCCTCTTAAAAATGTTATGTATTTTGGCCTGAAAACGAGGAAATACAGCAAACTTATGGCTCGACTTTTTTTTGGTTTTACACCAAAATAGAAGTGATGAGTACAATAAGAAATTGTTCTCTTTTTACATCAATATCTCTGTTAACTTTGGTAGTATTATTGCGGAATTCTTATTGCAGGTTCGCAACATCATGAATTTGAAGATAGGTTACCCAGTGGTTTTACAACCGTCAAGCATTATATGGAGCCACTAGATTTGGAAGAGAGTTTGAAATGTGGCAAAATTTACATGACTTTCCAACTCTTCTTTGTCAATATTTGCCAGAAGTTGTTCACTTACAGGATTGGTTTCTAGAATGATAGCGCGAATGGTAGCACGCACGAGAGAACAACCAGATGCCAATTTTGAGCAGTTGACTGGAATTTTTAGAAATTATCACTTCCCAGAAATGAAACAGAAACATAAAGATTACGTCGACTCGTTGAAAGACAAGGCTGAGTTTTATCGATTACTTGGTCAGTTGGTTCTTGAAGGATATCCTATAGAAATGTATGTATGTGATGGTGCCTATCGTGACCGTGGTCTTTTGATTACTATGAAGAACGGACTCTTACGGTTTTACAACAACATAGCCCGTGACATTCTTTTTGACACCTTATCAAATGTATTTTTCAGTGAAGATCGTCTCATTGAACTATCAAACAGTTTCCGAACATGGGTAGGAAGAGGAAAAGGTGACTATTTTGAGCAACTCTTTCTCCTGTGGTGCCTTTACAAATAGCCAAAACTCGAGCTTCGTTCACGAGAATACTTGCAAACGATAAACTTTGAAAGTAGGAAATGGATAAGATTTGATGGAAAACAGTTTGATCCTTTTACATCGAAAATAACGAATGCCTGTTGGGTCAGGTTTATGAAGAATTATTCTCGATTGGACTTTGCTTATGTCGAATGGAATGATAACGATTGGAGATTGTACCTTTTTCAAGCTTCTATTTCATCTTTTCCAGAACACAACAGAGACTTTACTCGAAACTCGTTTGTATCTCCGGAAAGTTCGCAGCTTGCTTCTTTACTACACGCACTTTTTGGCATTTTCGACTTTCAAGTATCGACTATTCGAGATGAGTCGGATACCATAATAGATTTTGAAGTAACAGATAGTAATGACCAATCTTATAGAGACCGAATATGTATTTTGTATGTCACTCCACTGACAAACAATGAAGCCAGAATATCTATTGCTTCAGTTTTCATTGATTTTATAACATTGGAGAGAAGACGTTAGTTGGTAGAGATATAAAACAGATTTTTCCTGAAACAAGACTTTTGAGAAGACTTTGATTGCTGACTTACAAGTTGAAAAGACGAATCATGAAATGTACTTGGGTTTTCGATATGTGTTGTGGAAAGAAGGGCTCATCAAAGAATTCTTTTGTGAGATTCNGTATGTAAGTTGCTGACCAATGAAGTTCTGTTTGACGTAATTTCACAACTAGAGATAATATTTTTCAAGAGTTTTCAATATAGTTCTATCATACAACTAGATGCGACTCCTTTCCACAGTACAGTTATCAAGAAAGTCATAAAGGAAATTTTTTACTATCACAGCAAGTCTTCTAAGAATAAATATACAGGCATCTTTCACCAACAGGCATATAGCTTCGGAAGTACTCAATCAAAAGACAACTTAAGGGTGGGTTTGTCTTTGAGAGCAAAGTGCTCTTTGGCTCTTTGGAAAGCCATTGTGGTGGACAACACGTTTCATCCATTCTTCCTTTACAAACTTTTATTACGTCAACGGTGTAATCGTTCTCTATGTTGTACAATGAGCACCTTGGTACGTTGAGTATTATCATACATAACAGAGTGTAAGCGTGAATTTAACCTCAAAAAGACTCGTGATGATTTCACGTGTATATGAAGGCTTATATAAGGATTCTGTCTGCAATCAACAATTCGTATTTCGTAGCAAAAGGAATGACACACTGGCTGGCAAGAGAGAGATAGAGAGAGAAATTGCACGCGACTCAAATCTCCCTTTCATTGATTATGGCCCAAAATGACTATATTAGTGTGCTGTTTGGTATATTAGATAAAACTCGGTTTGGTCAGTTTTAGAAATTTTGGAAAATGAAGAATATTTACTTTGCATAATAAAAGATAGAAGGAAATCTCGAAGTATCCGTGCAAGGAAGGGAAACTGTTAAAACTTCCACCAAGTTCAAGACTGTGATATGCTTGATTGTTCGCGTTGCGATCGAACCAAGATAATTGTAACTCTTGACCTTCAATCCTTCTTATCGTAAGCAGATTGTCTATCCATCTATCGTCACAAGTTTTTATATCCTTGGATCAGCTTCATATAGTCAACCTACTCACCGTAGAACACCTTACAAATAGTATTTTTTGAGATAGCTTACAGTTTTTTCTTATCCTGAAATATTTCTTCTATCTTCAAAAAATGAAAACTTGAGACTCTTCTCTTTATGAGATATGCATAACTTGAAAGAGATATTTTCCAAGTGCTTATTCTTTTAGACATTCAAACCTCTTTCAAGAGATCAATCAGTGCTCTTTGAAAAATTTTTCACCCTTGCAACAAGTTGAAACACACAAATATGAGTCAAGTCATATCATTGGTTCTATCTAAATGGCTCAAAAGATGAAAGTTCATCATCATCCACAACTATCCACTGCATATTCTTGGATATTTCAATATTGTTTTGCATTACCGGATTCTGAGTCCATGTTGCATAAATTAGAGTTGCTCAAAACAATGTGAAGTATTATTCTTATATCACAGTGAATGAATGGCGTTTTCTTTCGTTGAAATGTTTCAGACTCAACGAAAGGACATTTGCGTTAGAAAAGCTATGAATACACAAGACTTGAATATTTATTAGTGAGAAGGAATATAAAACATTTCAAGTAGGAGGATTGTTTCTCACATAATTTCTCATACCAGTAAGAACCTTGACTCGCAACAACGTATCATCGATACCAACTTGTTGCAATATATCCGAACTTATGAATCCAATGTCTCGCTCTGAAAAAGTCCAAAGGCATTCATAACATTTACTCGCTTCTTCCTCATTTAAATGACAATATGCTTTCAAAAAGTTAATCCAGTCAAATGGATTTTGTTGCACCAAACTAAGCGAAGAAGTAGTCGCCTCGTCTCGAGTATCTTCTTCCACTTGCATAACATTCCAATTCATAACTGGATTACCCCTCTCCATGGATTGAATATTCCTCTCAGAAGACTGCTCAAATGGTGCACGACTCAACAGGTCTATCAATGAATTTTCCAACAGATTTGAAAGTGGTCTGAGTTGGTCCAACCATAATGGATGGTCTCCAAAAACTCTATCTAGATCTTCACTAGCCTTGCAACCTAAAAAGGATTTGAGAGAGCTGGTAGAACATACTACAACTTGACAATGAGGAGGAATCCATAGCCATTCTTCCCTTGTATTCTGTGGTTTTGTCGCAGAATTGATAGGACTAGAGACAATATGATTGTTATGGTCTTCATAATAAATTCCACTATCCAATACCCAATTTTGGTTATCTCTCAGCTGTTTGGATACTTCTGCAGTATACTTGTTGCTTACAATAAACTGAATTGCCATTATATTATGATTCTCCAAGTCCAATTGTGACGCAACTGGATGTAAAAATTTAGCACATTCTGCTTTAATCATAGAACGTCCAACACCAGGACTTGACATTTGATAACACTTCAATGCAATCCCAATCAAATAGATCCTCCGTTTGTTCAAAATATCACTTGCACTGGTTTCAGTTTCCATGGATATTTGCTCTACAGAAGATGCATCTTGTCCAATAAGAATAGAATTGTCGCTAGTTTGTGTTACTCGAATAAGAACATCAGGTCCACTGGAGTTTTGCCTTGTAGGAATAAATATTCCATCATTTGATAACCAAGTTTCAAACAACGGCTTCCAAGCACTCACATGATAAGTTTCTTCGCTGGCACTATGAATACCAACAACTGTGGAACTCAATGCTGGAACATACTTGAGAATAGGATCCTTTTCGAATTCTCCTAACACTCTCCGCCCAACTTTTATAGGAATATCTTCTACAAGACTATGCCGAAATAGACTCAATTCACCCAATCTGGAACAAAAACACCATCGAACATAAAGAATAAGAGTAAATATAATTTCAAACTTGAAACCACGACTAGAAGGTGAGTCAAAGCGACTAATGGATGAAAACAAACTACAAATAAAACGAATAGGAGGAACATCCCAGCATTCAATTTCGATATACTTTAAAGCAATTTTTGGAAAAACCAACTTGACAAATGTTTGTTCTATTGGGTTGAGACTTGCTTCAATCTCTTCACCGTGTTCATTCTTAGAACAATTTTTGTAATAAAAACCAAAATGATTAGCAATATCCAGAACATATTTGGAATCAAGTCCCATAGATACAGCACCCAACAGAGTCTCTTCCATAGGAATACGAAATTCTAACATACTCGCGAGAAGCATAGCAGTGAAAGTAGTCATTGCCTCTGGTGTCCTATGAGAAGGTCTCACCGAAAGCGAAGAGTCAGGAGGAATTTGCTCTATTCTACTTTGGATTTCATCCTCTGAAGGATCAATGGATCTCGAAACAATTCTACAAGTCTCGCACAATTTCTTTAAAACATAAACAACGTAATAAGGAACACCACCAGTATAACTATGTATTTGTTTAAAGAACCAATCGTGTCCTTCTGGATGATTAGGAAAAAGAAGCTTTAGAATAGATTCATTATGATACGTCGTATTTTGTATAAAGAACTTGACAGTCTCT